GTGTCTTTGCTGGTGTTTCGTAAGCTCTGCCCTTCCCTTTGCGATCCTTTATCAGAGGAAACTCGGCCTGATGCATTGTTTTGACCACATCGGAGAATGTCGTGGACCCCTCTATGTATTCGGTCTGTGAGATACTCGTTATTGACGATACTGGGATTGGGGAGTCCGAAAGCATTGCCCCGCATTGAATATAACCGCTTGCGGTGGGCGACACAACAACAGAGGACGTGTTAACTGAAGAATTCAATCAGTTTTAAATTCAACATCATTGGAGCTCGGACTTACCACTGTTGTTATTGTACCCACTGGGACCAGATGAGGCAGCAGGGTCTCGCCTGATACCTGCAAAGATAATGAGATGTTGCTGTCAACACAACGCATAGTAGTGCTCACCGTCGCTTTCGTCGTAGAACAGGGACTCCATATTACTGCTCAAGTGAAATGACCCCCCGTTCCAGGTGGTTGAAAGTGGTGATGGAATTTCCGGTGCATCATCCATCGCGTCTTTTCGCTGTTGGATTGCGGCTGTAGAAATTGCGTCCTTCAAGATGTCAGTGCGGTGTGCGTCCAAAAATTCTTTGATAGTTTCTTGCGTGGTCTTCTTGACCACATCTGCGATGGCCTGGAGCGTCGTCCCATTGGACATATTCTTGCGCCTGATTCTGATTGCCTCTGGAGGCGGATAGGGGCCAAGACCAAGGACACTGTGCCACTGATCTCCAAGCCATCTGTGCTTGGACATGCTGTTGTTGGACAATCTAGGGACGACTCCTTGGATGATGGCGTAGTGGGCATGGTCCACACCAGTGGAGTGATCGGCGGATTCAGCGAGGATGTTGTCGGCTTGATCATAAGAGTCGTCTGGAGCGATGAATTCACGACCGATGGTTATCGCGCCCTGGCGGAAATCTCTTACTCCCCATCGACAGTCGAAGTAATCGTGGTTCCACTGCTGAATGTTGGCGGAAAACCTTGTAGGACTGGTTCTCTCGCCCTCACCGACGCACAGGTACCTAAAATCATATGAATGAGTCGTGTCCAGAATAATGCATGGTTCAGGACAATGCTCACGTCCTGTACAAATGCTCGGCCTCTGCTCCATATGCAATCCCAGCAAGGATAGCTTCCGCAGTGCGCAACCCCCCCGCGATCATTTCGAGGACCAAGAATGCGATGTCCTTCGGAACAAATCCTGGGGTGCACGAGTCTCGATCGGTGATTCCAGTCCTTTTGCTGTAGGCTGTCAGGAGGAACATTTCCATCCCCTGCATGAAGAGGTTGCGATGCCTGTCCGAATTGCTAATCTTGTGGTCTATGAACTGAGTTCCGCGACATGAGATGTGGGTGGTGATGTAAAGCAGATGGTAGAGAGGCTCCCAGACGCACGACGAGCGTCTGAGCAGTTCCTTGATGCCGGGGATGTTCCATGCGAGTCGTCCTGCATTGTCGACTATTGCCAAATCGTAGTGATCCACCAAGTGAAAGAACAAGGCATGGCGATTTTTAAAAAAAGGGTCCTCCGATACGAACGAATAGCCACGCGTAGAGCTGGTGAGGTCGTCCTTGACATGCTCCGGCACCATCTTCAACATGAAAACGTGATTAGTGAGGGCGGAATAGCGCGACTTTGACACTTGGAGGAGCCTTTGTATTCCGTCTCTCAGCTTGTCCATGTGCATGGTGTGGACGCCTATCGTGATGGATTGAACGTCTGGATCGACATAGACATTGGGTTCTCTGGTTTGACTGAACACCAAAGAGGATGCATATTGCTGCATCTCATAGATGATATTGAACGTAGTCGGACGGCCGAGGCGTAGCGCCCGATCATGAACACGAGCAACGCGGCTTGAGATAAAAAGGCATGATAAGTGTGTCGAAGCGAATGAATAGGGAGGCGTGCTCACTCATGGTCGTCGGAATGCACTGAGTCCGTATCCTCATCTTTGTCCATCAGCGCCTCGAGGAGGGAGGTGACGTTGCAAAGATATTTAAACTTTGCAAGATCTGGTGTAAGGACGGACGCTTCACAGAAGTTTCCGTCCGCACGCAACGCCCTGAGCCAGATGGCTCGTTTGATAGGGTTTGCCCATCGCTGGCCCATGCACAAATCTGGATCTGTATCGACTAGGGACCACGCCAAATTATGGTAGAAAATCATTCTCTTTCGTGGGGAGGCATTCTCGTCGCCCAGGACAGTCACAAGTTCCTCGAGACACAGGGTCTGCGCAGCAGACAGCTCGAACGAGAAATCCAATGGGAATCCGAGGTGAATGCGCATGATGTTCCTCATGAATTGAACAACGAAGTTTGGATACTCGATGTTTTCATCCGACACAGGCCTCCAATGATTGTCCCTAGATGCGTCCATCACAGTCAATGATGGAATTATTGTGGCGCGATAGAACTGCTCACGTTTCTCGCGGTATTGCCTCACCATACAACAAAATCTTCGACAGGCTTAACCGGTGAGGATGACCGTCCAAGATGGTGGATGCCCTAGTCATGTGGTCTCGCACTGCAACAGCCAGACAGGTAAGAATGCCGCCAAATTCATCATCACTATGCTTTTTTTTTATTTCTTCTGCTGCCCGCCTCTGCTTGGGATTCATTCGGATTTCTACCTCAAACTTGTCCCAACCCATGAAGCGCATCAGGGGGGTCCTCTCCCGTTCGGTATTGGCTGGAACGACCAATGAAAGGTCGACTGCAGGTAGGAATGTAGCCTTCAGGGTGGATTTTACATCGGGTCTGGCAGATGGAAGGACGTTCTGCCCAACCTCAAAATAGGAGTTTCCAACAGCGGTAAAAATGTGTTGGACCTGACAGGACCGATGCTGGATCTCCTTTAAGCCAGTGGCGCCGTGCCTCTCTCTGGCATGGCGCTGAATGGTTCCTAAATCCTTGACGGCATACACGCAGTCAGCGGATGCAGTGCATGAAAAACCTTCAACTGGAGACGCAATCATCTGTACAGGGGGTCCACCTGCTTTTGGTAGCTTGACATGCTCCGGCTTCTCGTGAACATTCGACTGTGAACAATATTCTAGGAATGACACCATGGTTGCTGAAGGCACCTAGTAGTCACGTGGGATGTCCATGTCACATTCGAGATGGACTGTGCAAGACATGAGCGTACCTGATACACATGATGATGCTTTTTCCTGTGTCCAGAGACCATCCCAGAGGTCAATGCGGCCTTGCACGAGTAGCAGATAAGGATCCTCAAATGGCTGTGAAGGCACACGCCGAGAGAATCTAGAACCTCGTTGGACATCAAGTAGTCTACTGAGGGCGACAATGAGACAGTGCTGCAGTCCACATCAAAGGAAGAATCTGCGGATGTGTGATGGACACTACGTTAAGCGGTGACCTTGAAATTTCAGTATATGTATGTTCACCTCCGCTGCAGATATCCTGATGGGACGGAGGTTCTGGGACTAAATCGTCAGACCAGACATCCTCGGGGCCTTGATCAATGGGTAAACATGTGACAGCATAAATTGACATGTTACGACTGACATATGACGTTGCCAGTCCCATCATGGACACCGCTGTCCTGAACGAGAACCTGTTTGGAGGCTACGACTATGGAGGTCAGTGTGACTTGATGCTCGCTCGGTGTCTCATGAAACTTACCAAACTCAGAAGCGTCAAAGACCTTGATTTTGACCGAGTCATTGTGGACGACGTTGATGTGCTTCTGGATAGCTTCACGCTTTTTGAAGACGATCTTACACTCCGGGAGCGGGCAGGTATAACGCCCGTCCGATTGGCCTACAACATGCTCGTTCCCATCAATCAGGAATGTGATAGGGACGGAGTGGTAGCGGTATCGGTGCTTTCGCGCGATCTCGTAGGTCGGGAATGGTCCCATGCCGCATCCTGGATGGTCACAGACGTCGTTGTCGGACATTTATATCAGTAAGCAAAGTGTATGCGATGATAAATTGAGAGATGTTGTACTGTATCGTTGGATGACGGATGAATGGCGCTGGCAAGGTTTTATATGATTTCAAACATATGGGCCTGCGCCTGCAAGGATGGAAAAAAAATACCTGAAGGCGTGGCATGGTGAAAAAAACACGATGGACTAATGACAGCATTTACGGAAATATCAAGAACGAAAGAGGAGACGGCGATCTCGACGCACGACGATCGGAGCAAGGATTCTGTTCGAGCACTCATGATATGTGAGGTTAGGCCATAATACGCGGAAAATAAAGGCTGATGGTCACCGGAAATGAGTCCTCTCATTCGAGGTTCATCCACATGAAGAGACGTGCTTGTCTGTATCCAGTTAATACGATTGAAGCGCCACCTAAAAAAAAACTCTTTAATGTCGGAAGGAATGGAGAGTACAAAAATAAGACACAATGTTCGGTAACATTTGCATCATAGTCGCGTGTCCAATCATGTTCTGGATGGAAGGGAGTCGAATGGCAGCCGTGAACATCGGATGAAAATAAATATTGTTCGTGGATATATGCATTGCGCCCAATGGTGGAGTAAAGCTATTTTTGGACAGTTGAATATTTTGCATGGGCTGAGCGCACATTTACTTTCCATTAGTTGCGAATATCTCAGCAGAATGCCTCTGCAAGCAATCACATCTCGCGACTCATTGCATCGATCGCCAGAAAGTCCATACTTGGACAAGTCCTTGGTTCAAACAAAGATTGCCAAATTATATGCATGAGCCGTCGACCCTGCTGAAAATGCTCGAATAGCACATGCTAGTGACTCATCAAGGGCTTCATGGATCAGGAGGTGACCTAGAACGTGCAGGCATCACAGATGTTCTATGCATGCGGACATGTTCTCCCATGAACTGAGATTCTGTGGCGCACAGGTGATAAAAAATGTGTTTAACCTTACATATGTATTTTCGTCGCTCATGCAGGAAGCCAGCATGGTTCACAAGCATGTCGACATGTGATGGAACGTCCCCAACACATGCTAGCTGACACCCGCAGTCATATATGGTCTTTAAAATCAAGGATGGTCCAAAATAAAACGATTGAATAAGAATATGTCGAGGAACTTGATCACACCAGTGCCCAGCTGTTCTTGACATGTGTTGTATGATACCTGGAGCTGACTGAATCGTCAGTGATGGATGCACCAGAATGAAATGATCTCTTTTCATGAATCATATATGATCCATGACTTCAAACCGATTCGCATCAGGACAGTGATGGACAAAAACAGTACAAAAGGCTCTATGATCTAAATATGCAGGTTAAAGTCGATGGTGATGTAAGAAGCATTCACGGCCTCGATCATCTTCTTCAAAGTGCCGATAGCAAGAAGAAGGCAAGTTGTGAAACGATCCTGCTGTCACCCGAGCCATTAAAGCTGCGGGTTTTAATACTAAGATTCATAAATATACAAGTGGAAAGAGTGCCCTCACAGAACGAGCTCGCAAAACAGCTGCTGGGGATTTACATAATCGTCCATCACAAGCAACTCGGACAGGGCGATGCCTGAAAGTCTAAATAAGTAAGGGTGATGGGTTGACGCCTGATTATAAATAGGTGAGAGTGATGGGGTGATGCCTTAAAGTCTAAATCAGCAAGGGTGACGGGATGACGCATCCAGAAGCAACTCGGACAGGGTGACGGGGTGACGCCTGGATAAGCAAAGGTGACGGGGTGACGCCTATGGATCTAAATGAGGGTGATGGGGTGACGCCTGGCGCCTATGGGTCTAAATAAGGGAGGGTGACGGGGTGACGCCTGGATAAGGGAGGGTGACGCCTATGGATCTAAATAAGGGAGGGTGATGCCCAAGATACTGGATAAGCGAGGGTGACGGGGTGACGCCTATAGATCTAAATAAGGGAGGGTGACGGGGTGACGCCTATGGGTCTAAATAAGCGAGGGTGACGGGGTGATGCTTGTAGCACCAAGGACAGTGCCAAGAGGACATATTGGCGGATGGGAAAAGAAGCGAGGGTGACGGACAGCCACTTACGACACCTCATGGGAAAAAGAAGGGGTGACGCTGACAGCGCCAAGGGCAAAAAATGGCGGATGGGAAAAAAAAAGGTGGGGTGACGGACAGCCACTTACGTGATGGACTTCCATTTGCGGCTGGGGTGACGGGGTGACGTTTACAGGGGTGCGCCCGTCAGACCAAATAGATAGGTTGTATAAACTAAGTATCGTAAACTTCCGCACTTGGCACTGTTCCATCTGCGGAGGTTTACAATATGTATATGATTGCATCTCATTGTACGTGCATTGGTGTGATTCATTTGATTTACTTAAGTCAGTACGCCATTGAAACTGTTGCGAACGCGGATGTCAAAGTATATAATCATATATATATAATATTGTTCATATGTTTACCCCATAGGAGGGATACAGTAGGTTACTTACATGTCTATCAATGATATATTGGGTGGTTATAGTGGTCAGTTTGTGTGATATATGAAATGGTTATCTTTACACTTGATATATGATATATATGCTGCATTTCTTAATGATACATTGCCTAAATCAATTTGACAGGCTTGCCTTTTTTGTTTTTCAGGGCCAGGGGGCTAACATAACCATATATTTAACTGAACCCATTTACAAATATCCTATATAATAGATAGGGGTGCGCCCGTCGGACCAAATAGATAGGTAGACGTATTGCAGTCGATTCTCCTGGGTGACTCGGACATTGCTGCCGCCGTCTGGGATGAGGTCCACAGCTTTGGCGACTCCAAACTCTGCTGTTATCCCGCATCAGAAAAACTATAATCCGAGCGCACATTAGGAATAAGCAACTTCAGTTGTTTCTGCAATCCACCAACGTTCATAGCGTATGAGCATCAGGTTATACAACAGATTTAAAAAAATCATTACCTCCTCTGCAGAATGAACACAGTGCAGATCTTGTGATAGAAATTTAATTTCTCATATGATAACATATTACATGTGACACTATGCAGCACACCTTTGTGGAGTAAGTGCAATACAGTAAGTAACTGGGATCTTAGACTTAAATTGCTGTACAAATAATGGTGGTTATAATCCTAGTCCGCTGGTGACGAGAAGAATGATACAATCCCTAGGGATCAAATGAGTGAACTGGTGATCGTTGCAAAGTACATTTGCATCATGTTTGGATGTCAGAATCATCGTGGTGAAGGTGAGTATGCTTCGAGCCAGTCACTACGCCCATTCTGATGCCCCTGGCCTCGAGAACTTCCATATCAACCTTGGTCGCCCCTTCAGAAGTTTTTAGGTTCTGGTACGAATTCGACGGAGCGTTCCAAAATATTGAGCTTTGATAACCGCCAGCGTACCTGGGATTGGAGGTGCACCAGGGGAAGGTGACCTCAACTCCCGAGAATGTCTCCTACAAGGTTGGAGTTTCGAATAGGAGGCGGCTTCACCTTCGCTACCGCCCCATTCATGATGCAAGCTGTTCTTGCTTCCAGAGAGCTGAGGAAGGGAGGGTAGTAGTGGACTCGGCCCAGAACTCGCACGACAGGGCCCAAGTCTGTAACACACGCCATCGCTGCCCATGCTTGGAAGCGAAATATCGGCAGTGCCTCCATGTAAGGTTAAATAAGCACCGTGGGTATTGGAGTACCTGCGATAATCAAATTCTGCGCGACCTTGCGTGATCGTGCCATCAGCAGGGAGCATCAGTTGGAATGGAGACGTCAAGGACATGCTAGACGAGGATGCAGGAGTGGATGACGTGGGGGAGATGGAACCACTACTAGGAAAGAGATATGAGGTCGTTTCTAAGTGATTGAGTTGCGTCTTCTGCTCTTCAAAATGGCAGTTTGCATATACATCAGAGGATGTCATGGTAGGAGAGCCTAGAAGCTCTATCATAAGTCATAAGATTTGTAGCAGGAGTATTAACTAACCATTAGCAGACAGTGTCTGCGCTGCGTTGTGAATACATGGTCCGTCCCCGTTGATAGGTTGCATCAGATACGAGTAAGAACCATATCTTGATACTCGGGCGTTCGTATGGTGCCCAGCTCCACCGGAGGTTATCTGCTCGGTCTCCACGTTGGTGTAAGAAAGTGCAGGAGACTGAGTCACGTATGAGTGAGTCGGCGCGCTGATATACGAGCTGCTGCCAAGGGAATTAGACGTCTCATCGCTGGTCTGATATCCCTTGATATCATCACTATAATGACCATGCGACGAGGAGGTACGATTGTTGATGTTGGTTCGTTGAGGATGACTCGGAGAAGCAAAACGTGAAGGGAGCAGGGGCAAGTCGTCAGATTCAGGAGCCTCTTCTGTCTTCTTCGCCGGCCAAAGGGCTCTCCAGAACCTCTCACGTTCGCGCAATTCATGTCTAAGGCGCGCATTGTCTTGTTGTAGATCCCCAGCTTCGGATCGTGCTTCACGACATGAATCCTGAAGCTGGAGGAGGACAGACTCCAGACTGGTGACTGCCACATATAAAAAAGATGAGCTATGAAGGTAGAATAAGCTAGGGATAACCTAACCTGTCTCTTCAAGAGTCGCTATGTAGTTTGCTCGCCTCAAAGACATGTGAATTAACTTGGCAGGGGTTCGAGAACGTATGGCTCACCTCTGGCGGAAGGTGGCTTGGGCGTTCGCATTTTTCTTTTTTCGGAGAGCAGTATCAGACATGCGGGTGGTAGGATCGTTGTCAACGTCTCCTTTGAAGTCGGATTTATCAGCGAGGGTGAATGGCCAACGTCGGCTCTATTAGGTATGTGAATACACAGGTTCAAAATGTTAGTAGGAACAATAAGGCTAGCAGAGGTCGCCTCCCTTTTCCCAACTGCTTACACCTCTATTTCGCTCAGACTAATCGATCAAGGCTTGCGCCGAGTGAAGACCATTATAATAGGCCAGATCCTCCTGCAGCAACCTGGCGGCCAAGTTCAGTAGGTCGTCTCATCAGCTCACTCGCCGGATGAACACTCATGAAATTTACTGCCGCCTCTGACGTTTTATTCCACCAGAGCCAACCTGTAGTAGAATCCGCCAGTGGGCCATGCGGAAATTTGCGAAATGCATCACCAAGAAAATTTCCGTGAGTGTGTTGCTCAGTTGTTCGTGTTCTGGTTTTGAACATGACTGATATTATTCAGAAACACTCCAAGTGTTCTCGCAACCGCAATCCTGAGATATAGAGTGCCGAACTTAAAGACGCTTCATTAAATCGAAATATCGAGGTAAGCACTCGAAATCGTAATCTCAGGTCAGCTTGATATCAGAGGCGCACAGGGCGGCACATCACAACCGCATCCATTCACCGACAACAAGCATCTCATCACAGCTGTGGCTGCGTCAACCAAGGCACATCCGGAGAACCTGCTTTGAAGGTACTCCCATTAATTTATCTATTTTTCGTCTCTAATTTGTTGGTCGTGCAGGTTCCCGACATCCCCTCTGGCGCACAGGAAACCCCTGATCCTAAATCGATTCATGTCGAACTTCAGGGTGCCCATGAGGATGCAGAACACGTGAAAACACTACATGCGCTGCCAGCATTGCCCCAGCAGGTTTTGCTGCCGTAAGTGATTTCAACACCACATACCTCCAACGCCTGAAATCTTTTGACGCTGCCATTGAGAAGATCGCAAATGTATGGGCTACTCTCATTTGTTGGTAGCGAACTAATCAAGTTATAGGTGCATCTATGTGCAAAGATGGTGTTGGGCGCATTCAATTCTGCTGCAGCCAAAGTTTGTTCTATGTTGCCCGGAGATCTGACTCCCGCTCAGAAGTCATGGTTCCATGCAGATTATTCTTGCTCAGGTGGAGCGCGACGAATCGGTTCAATGCCTATCCATAATGCAGACCAGTGATTGTATATTCGCCTGCTTCGGCAAAACCACTCTCGTTCGACTCATTCCTTCCACATTTTATCAGAACCGCTCTATCTCATCTTACAACCCGGATTATCAACAAGCTGAGTAATAGGTCACCATCAAAACTTAATGTTCCCACACCAGTTGAACCGCTTGTCTCTTTCATTCCTGTTCACCACAGTCTCAGAAGGTCTCGACACGTCCTATAACCAGGTTGGGTGTGCGGATGTGACTTCCGCGTGAGGGTCTATCTGATAGGTGCGCACCTGATAGTGTGCCGCCCTAGGGTGACCCACCCTCCTCGACTCAGAATATCAGGGAACAGCACTTTCAAACTGCCCCACACTGCGCTCGAAAACCAATAGCATTGATTTTCGTACAAATGATATGCCGGGGCCTGGAGGTGTACCAGAGACAGGACGGTGGACACTTGAAGTGCTGAGGGCGCAGAAGATAAAGGAAAGTCAAAGGTACAGAGCCTGCTGTATTGTGTATATCTGACTTGAAGTTCTGGCGCTGCATCGTGGGGGGAACCATAAATAGATATGGAGTCGTACGCGTTGGTGTCGGATGATGAGGGAGAGACTAATTCAGATGATTGTCTGAGGGAACGGTTTTGTCCTTGCATGGCACGGTCTGCAGACACTACAGCCTGAGCGGAGCAGCTATCGATCCAGTGTCTGAAATAAAACAAGAGGAACTCGTGTTCGGGATGACCAGCACACTTGTAGTACTCCATGCGTGCCAGTACACACTTTGCATACAGATTACCCTGGGTTTTGTCCCAAGAATCTGCCATCGAGGAACGCCAACTCAAAATGGACGCACTATTGATATCAGGCCCATCTGGACAGTGAAACTTTAAAACTGGGAGTCCAGGAGGAGGCTCTGACATGAATGCACTACGGAGGGAGGCTAGAAAACGGCTAATCCAGGACCGATTTCTTCGGTCTTGCTTTGAAGACATTGTAGATTGTCAAGGGTTTGAACGAAGGAGGCCGGCGTCAAGAAGATGTAAACAGCTGCAAGCAGGGCTTGTCGCTGACTGGGTCCATGTATGTCATATATACATACTTGTGAAGCCGTTTGCCTCGAGGTTATATGATGCCAGCAGCCATAATAAGTTTCAGGCCTTCCATAGGTCAATCTGCCGTGCCCGCACGTGTCATCATTCTAAAACCCACATCTTGCTCGGCACAGTACACGCAAACAGATTTTCTGTAATCCACAAAGTTCTCAGCTTGACGAAATGGACGACGACGACGAGCACTCGGCTTCACAAGCGCACTCATCAAAAGGTGATCAAACAGATTGGACAGAGGACTCGGACGACGACTTGTATCGATCAATAATATCCGACAATGGTGAAGACTATGTAAGTTCAGTTTCCTTCGCTGATTGCTCCTAGTGGACAAAATCATCATTGCGCAAGATTCACTCCGAGCATTTACCAATACCATTTGTCCTAGTTCATATGGGTCCATGACGGAAGTCAAGTTCAGCGCGCTGGATGGCTTGATCGTGAAGCCTATTGGCATTTATGGGAGCAAAGAAGAAATAGTGCAGCTCTTATTGTCTCTCGGCGTTGTCGACGACTACATGTGAGATACCAAGTTTGAGCTGCAGATTGATATCTTAAATAACTTTTCCCTTGTAGAGCAGTGCAGCTTGTTGTAAACCACAGCGAGACCAGTGTTTCGAAACCAAGCCTTCGTTCTGGACTGTACATCGTCCGATCAGATCGTGAAACTATCTCCAGTGAACAATTGTTCGTCATCTACTGGCTCGAGGATGCCACTTGAAGCGACTCAGCTCCTTCATCCGTGAAACGCAACCGTGTTATGCACTCATGAATCCTATTCACCAGGTGTAGGTGCCGTCTCTGGAGTTTGTAGGGTGACATCCACTCGATTGTTTCAAATTAGGTGTGGGGTGGCATTTCCGGTACTCGCATCACCTTTGACACGTCTGAAATGCCAGAGTCGAGCGAAATGGTTCAAATGATAGAAAACCTGAACCTCCGACGTGCACTGCTAATAAAGCTTTTGGATACACCGAGAGTCCAGGTAATTCAAAGTGTCAAAGTTGAATTGATACAACGCGAAGCAGTTGACCACAATGACTGGCCCCTGTTGCATCTTTCCAATGGTGCCACCCTACACGCAAGGCTGCTAGCCGGCGCTGATACCTTTTAGTGACTGTGTTATAAGCTCAGTGAACACCTGCATTGGTGTCGAGCTCTTTACGCCAGCAAGGTATTTGTCTTCATCTTCCTCGAGCACGTCCATTCATGCTTTCAGCGAATTTACAAGTCGCACGTAAGAAGAATCCGATGGAGAAGGTGGCGTTATCATCCCTGTGAGGGTTCGCTTGGCTCACCGTATTCTAGTTTGACCTTGCCTCAATTACTGATGCTATGGCCAACATGGAAGGCGATGAGGATGTTCCTCAGATCAAACTTGGAGACGCTTCATGTGCCGCCCCATTCACATCCAAGCTGTCCCATGTCGCTGCCAGTGAGTTTTTGTACATCTATTGTGCAAGGTTCCTGCTGAACTTTGAACAGTTACCCACATTATCAGGCAAGGTCGCTGTACTTTAGTCGCTACCATTCAGATGTACAGGATTTTGGCGCTGAACTGCCTGATCACTGTGTACAGCTTGTCGGTTCAGTATCTTGGCGGGTTCAAATTTGGTGAATATCAGGTAACCGTTAGCGGAATGTTGATGTCCGTCTGTTTTCTCTGCATCTCTCGGGCCAAGGTGGGTTCTTGTTTGAATTTTTGTAGTCATACTGAGTGTTCGACAACAGCCAGTTGAAAAACTTTCCCAAGAGAGGCCGCTGGGCAACATCTTCAACCTCTATGTGCTATTATCCGTGCTGCTCCAGTTTGCCCTACACATTATCTCGCTCATTTACATTACGAACTTGTCGCATTTCCATGAGCCGTAAGTCTCGATCCCATTCATCCTCACAATATGCTGAGTCCTGTACAGAACTGGTGTTATTGACCTCGAGGCGCAGTTCGAGCCCAGTCTCTTAAACATCGCCATCTACCTTCTGGGTCTCTCTCAACAGGTCTCCACATTTACTATCAACTTCCAGGTAATTTATTTTGCAGAGGACGCTGAAGTTGATCCATTGACGATATCTCTTATAGGGTTGCCCTTTCCGCGAGGGAATCCGCGAGAACTCGAGCTTGTACTGGGGGCTTGTCGGTGCTAGTGCTGTGGCATTCTCTGGAGCTACGGACTTCATGCCTGAGTTGAACCGATGGTACAGAACGTCGAGATGGAGGGATCGGTACGTCATTTTCCCAATTTTTAGCATGACAATCTTATCGTTGATCCTTCATCCGTTTAGTGAGTGACGTTGCAAGTACTCGTGTTCAGGTCAACTCATTTGCAAAACAGTCGCGCCCTTGTAACTTTTATTCGAACACATGCGGAGGCGCTGAGATGCTCAATTTTGAAGATGTCGAAGAGCGAGATGGTTGGTTTCATTGATATCTTGGTTAAATCGATCGATTAGCTTATGTTTGATTTCAGGTGTTCGTCTCTCGTGGAATGTATGGCCCTCTTCTCGGATAGAGGCGACGCGGACTGTGGTTCCGATATCAGCGCTCTATACTCCATTGAAGCAGCGAGAGGATCTTTCCCTAGTATTATACGAACCCGTGACGTGTAAACCGCCTTGTCGTGCTATTCTCAATCCATATTGGTATGTCTCTTCTCTTCCTTCCTGAAATTCTACTGATGATGCGCCATACAGTCAAATCGTTATTGGCAGAGGCAAACTGTAGATTTGTCTGTTTTTCTTGACCCGCAATCCTTTCCCGCCACATTATAAAGATATCTCTAACACCAATCTACCCGCTGAACTACTTCCCAAGTACACGACGATTGAGTACACGCTATCTCGTCCCGCTCAGGCCCCACCTGTCTTCCTGTTTGTCGTCAATACCTGTCTAGATGCCGATGACCTCAAAGCACTTCGTGACGCTCTTGTCGTCAGTCTCAGCTTGATCCCACCATATGCATTAGTTGGTCTCATTACGTTCGGCACAATGGTATGTATATACACTTGTTCTTTCATCATTCAAGCTCATTGCTTCAACCACTAGACACAAGTTCACGAGTTGGGCTATGCAGAGTGCAGCAAGTCATATGTCTTCCGTGGCGGCAAGGAGTACACACAGAAACAGATTCAGGACATGCTCGGACTCAGTACGACAACTCGCGCCGCACCCCGCGCCGGCCAACCCATGCCCCAACAAGCTTTTGGCGCTGCGCGTTTCTTGCTTCCTGTCCAGTAATGCGAATTTCAACTCACTGGCATTCTGGAGGCACTCGCTCGTGACCCTTGGCCAGTCGCCAATGACAAGCGCGCTTTACGTTGCACTGGTGTGGCCGTCAGTGTAGCCGTTGGACTCCTGGAGGTGAGTTTATCAATTGTGGTGAGGAGAGCGTACGGGTGACAACATAACTCAGACGACTTTCCCTAACACGGGCGCGCGTATAATGGTTTTCGCGGGTGGACCGGCAACGGAGGGTCCAGGCATGGTTGTCAACAACGAACTCAAGGAGCCTATTCGCTCTCATCACAACATCAAACGGGACAGCGTCAAGCACTACAAACGTGCGGTAAAGGTTTGTCCTGAATCAGTGACACAATGTACCATGGCATCATAGTTTGCTTTATTTTAGTTCTATGAAGGTCTGGCGAAGAGGGTATCCAACAATGGCCACGCTGTCGATTTGTTTGCTGGTTGCTTGGATCAAGTGGGCTTACTAGAGATGAAATCATTGCCCAACTCGACAAACGGTGTCATTGTCCTATCTGATTCGTTTGCTACATCGATCTTCAAGCAAAGCTTCCTGCGTATGTTCAATAAGGACGATCAGGACTTCTTGCAGATGGGTTTTAACGAGATGTTCGACGTACAGGCAAGTCATCTCGCATACTCTTCTACATGACCTTTTGATTTCAATATATTTAGACAACCAAAGAACTGAAAGTTTCTGGCCTCATCGGACATGCAATCTCCGCGGGAAAGAAATCTGCGTGCGTTGGCGAGACAGAAATTGGTATTGGTCAGACGTCAGCCTGGCGAATCAACTCCATTACGCCTAGGACATCTGCTGCTATTTACTTCGAGGTCGTTACTCCTATTTATTTGGTGGGGCGGGTGCACCCCTGCAAGCGTCACCCCATCTAACTAGGCGTTGGCTGAGCTTGTACAGCACGCGGAGGGGATTGTTGGGGCTAGTACAACCGCAGTTCGACTACGGCCCGCTCCGACTTGGCGTTTACCGGTTTGCCAGTGTTTTGGCTATTCTAGTGAGCTAGGCCATTTGTGTACAGTTTGGTCCGGTTCGTTGGCTGTACGAAGTAGAGCTGATCGCGGTGAAATTGACGGTCCAAGCACGGGCTTACCCACGAAGTGAAGATTCCCCGTATTTGACAAGACGGCGCTGCTGGGAAAAGTTGGAAAGGGATGCGAAGGCAAAAATAAGAACGATCTTGAAAACATGAGCTGGGCACCAAAGTAGCGAAGCAACGACAATAAGCCCACATCACCGTTCATGACACCAGGTTTATCCGCGGATTCTAGACAGACGCTAGGGACTTGAGGCCTTGAGGGAGAAATGCCCAATATTGACGGGTGTTAGCTGCGATGATGCATGGACCTAGCAGTCAGCGCCATTGCCATATGCTTGATCCCATTGCTAATAACAATCATAAGATGCCGATAATGAATAAAATAGGGAATCGACTAACCTGAACCCAGCGCTCACCCTTGACAAGCTTTCAAGGCCTTTTCTGCAGACGTCTCTGCTTCAGCATCGTCCTCCTGTGCTTCGATGAGGGCTAGGTGGCCGTTATAGGCTCCTCTTCTTAAGTAACTCACCGCCCAAGTTCTCCGCTACAACGCACAGCCCATAAATTACTCAATGCATCGCCTGCCTGAGACAACGGAATATCGACACCTTGGGTATGAGCGACGTTGTAGAAAAGCATCGCAAGGCCCGTCATGAACGATTGGTTTTGGCTGTGTGCTGGCCCTTGTTCTGGAGCTTCAGAGCCGGCCAACGAGGTGAGCGGAGTACGGGACGGCGAGGAGGATGGAGAAGACGATGTAGAGGGAGAATTTGAGGTGAGGTGCAAAGGGTGTTTAGCTGTCCATCTATGCGTGAGAGGAGAGAATGGTGAGTGAAAAAGGTCGGTCAGAAATACGATAAGCGATGGAAGTCAACGCACCTTGCCCAGGATTCACTCCCTCGTCCTGCTCTGATCCAAGGCATACCAACACCGAGCCTCCTGCAAGACCACGAAACTTCAAAAGGGAGTTTGATGCCTAGGTAGAAAGTAAGAAGTCCCAGAAAGTGGACGGTATAAGTTATCGCGGCGTTGATGTGATCCCCTATGATACGTCCTACGTAGTCAAATTCTTGGCATAGTAAGCAATTATAACGTACGTCTAACATCTCCCGGTACTGGAAGAACTAGTCCACCAATAGTCCACTCTCCCCTTGCGCCTTGCCGTCCGCCGAATGCGACAACGTGAAAGACCTCCGCGAGCTCTTGTACAAGGCCCGAACGTGCTCGAGCAATGGAGGCGTGCGCCTGCGCTGGGAAAGGGTCTCCCGTAGGGTACGGAGGCGGTCGCGCTCTAGACAGATTAGAACAGTACATATGAGCAAGGGCAAGACGCGTACTGCTCTTGCAGTCTCTTCTCACTTGCAATCTTTGCGCGAAGGAGACGACCAGATTCGATAGATTTACATGCTCGAGACGCACGAGAAATATACTCATCCTTGTCCGAGGGCAAATGGTGAGTTTGAAGGCGGAAATCATGTAGACTGTATGTCAGGCAAGGTCAGCGTGGGCTGCGGGTCATGACGGGCGTTTTGCGTACTGGTTTTTGAGACAGTTTGCGCAATGGTACTGACATTGCCTCATCTCACAGTTCTTACACTCCATCGCATCTTCAGAAGCTTCAAGAAGGGCCCTGTAACAGTGTTGAGCCTGATTTAGGTGTTGAAACGTCGTTGCCAGTGAAGCTTGAAAGCACCCAGCACCGAGCGGCTGCAAAGCGCTGGATGACGTAAGTCGTTTGTGATAGGAACGTCGGCCGAGGGTGCCAAGAAACGCGTCCCGTCAGTTTACGTCGGACTCGGAAGTACTGGCTTCGGATACGCTTGTTAGGCGCCAGCATAAGCGAGCTTAGGAGTTGGTGTGCGGTACCAACGGGGAAACGGGCGCAATCAGAAATGATGATACATAGTATGGACAATGAGTCAATGACGCAGATGACACATGGAGTGAATGTATGTATAACAAGTGGTAATATTACAATATTGGGGTGGGCGGGGGTAGGGAGATGACTGTAGTTGAGGATTTGAATGAATAGGTCAAGTGTCACAGATGAGAGCTACTAGCATGCTCGAGTCAGGGCTGAGAATACCCGACGGTGCCAAAAATAACATACCATGCTCACCAGCGCTCACTCATGGCATAGCCAGAGATATGGAGGGAAGCAACCTAATAGTACAGCCTTAGTACATTGTTTTCCTCAAGGGTCTGGTTGATGATAGAGTAACTTACTTCAGATTGAATTTTAATTTCTTCGAGGGTCTTCAGGAGCTGAGCAACACTCCCCGCGGAGGAAATTAGATTGCAGAACATTGTTATTCGTGTTAACTTCGGAGAGTGATTCAAATTGGGAGAAGAAGCAGGAGCGATACCAGCGGTTTCCAGAGAGTGGATCGCAGGGGGGTCTGAATCAGATGCGACTTCTATTGCTGAAGCTGTCGCAGGAGTTGTTTTCAATGTTAATGTCATGCTACACTAACGTCTAAGCTTCGAGGAGCCGACGGCTCCAACTGCGTATACTCTTATTTGGTCTTGTGTGAGCTCAACAACTCTCCCACACCGGTACCTTCACTGACCAGATCTTGTAGAGGCGCCTTGTGGTTGAAAACATGATCAACCTTTCTACACAAAGCACTCGACAGTCTTCCAACTCTGAACGTTGAACGTTGAACACTTGAACGCACACCCGCAAGTTCTAGTGATCTAGATCTCTTGCACACTCAACGGTATGTGCTATTCTCATGTACGATGATTGCTACTAACTGCCGCATCCTTCACCACTTCAAGTTGCCACTCGTGCTCATAAAGCAAAATCTTTGAACTGGGCGGCTGTTCAGACCGTGATCAAGGGGCTCACCTATTTGGTTTTGTCAGTCTCATTCTCACTGGATGGTGCTCGCATCGCGTCTGGTTCGGACGACAAGACTGTCCGGTTGTGGGATGCAGTGACGGGACAGCCATTGGCTGAGCCCTTGCAGGGGCACACTGAAGCGGTTAACTCGGTCTCGTTCTCACCAGATGGTACTCGCATTGCATCTGGTTCGCAGGATCACACTGTCCGGCTGTGGGATGCAGTGCCGCCATTCCATGAGTTCATCGAGCCACCTTCCTCCGCACACTCTCTGGACATAACACATCGCACACAGGAGAGTCCGAGTCCTATCATATCCGACACTTGGAACAATCACTTCATTTGCTTCTCATACACCTTGGGACACGCACTACGCAACCCCGCTGACCTGCTTGAGGGCACCCCTTATCATCATTCCGATTCAACCTCTTTCTTGCTAGGCGCGGATGGATGGGTGGTGGGACCCAATCATCTTCTGGGTACCTCCAGCTTCCCGATACACATTTTATTCTCCTGACACTGCAATGGTGATCCCGAGAGGATACGCTGAGCTTGATTCGAGCAAAATGGAACATGGAACACGCTGGTCAAATTGCTGAGATGCGTGAGTTCTTAGTCTTTCCTATCCGTTTCTTGCAGCTTCTAAATTTAACACATCCAGCCGTACTCCACGATAATGGTATTGCGGCAGTTGATTCAAGGAGATGTCAGATAGAAATACATGGAGTTACGCTCTTTTTCAGCTCTTCGTTGTCGTCGTATTCCCATATCATTGATTCCATCAGCATCGAGAATATTACTACCATCGTCTTTTACGCAATACATTACCCGATGATATCCAATGCGCGTGCATGTATGCAGGCGTGATGGACTCATACTCAGTTCTGAATTCTGACGGAATCATCAGTACCTATGTAGGGGCAACAAGTTGCCTGCCACGACTATTCCTGAATTCAAGAAAAAGGGGAAAACAAAGATCGCCGTTTCCCCGAACAGTCGATCTCCAGGAAGGGGAGTACCGCAGCACCTCGGTGTTGCATCGCTGAAATGAGGACACTGACCAGTGATTAACCTGTATATATGAGAAACAACTATCTCCACAAAAAGTCTTCGAGAAAACTTTCATTGCAACGCATCCGCAACCATCGTCAGTAGCTCCTTCATGCTCTTCCCAACATTCTTGTCATCCTTCTCTATGACCTGCCACACGGGCCCGTGATGCGGCTCAGCGGCGACGCCCTGTTTGATAACCTCTTCCACATATTCCTGTAGAACTCGATCAGTAAGCATCTCAGGTGCATGACAGGACAATCAACGCACGGGCGTACCATGCTGGCGCTTGAACTTGAGCCACCATGCCCAATGGTCTCCAGAATCCCTATCCTTCTATGTAGCTACACTCCTCGAGAACCACTGCCTCGCCTTCTCAATCTTCCTCTAAGCTCCTCCAGCTTGCTCGCAAGCACCCATAAGATAATCTCCTTCGGGCAAGCCTTCAGGCAAACTCAGGGAATTTAGATAGGGCGGCGGAGATGGTTTCAAGTGCTGCAGTATACTGCCCTTTCTGGCGCTCGAATACAGCAGATTTCATCCAGATCTGAAAATTACCAGTCAGATCGATCGTCGATCTTGAGGTGAGACACTTACCTGCTCAGTATCCGCGACTGTCTGTGCACATACGAGCAGCTCCGTTGCGACATCCAGTTCGCCATTCTCGAGCTTGACGGCAGCGAGCCAGATTTGCTCGCTTTCGGGATTAGCGATGAAAACCCTTTCAAGAACCTCGTGCACCGCCGGCACGTCGCCAGCCAGCCACTTCTCTTTGGCCGACATAAGCCAGAGGACTTCCGCCTGCGGGCAATATTGTACTGCCTGAGAGAGCACTCCATCAAGTGGTTCCCTAAAAAAAGATCAGTACGATTCATACATACCGCAAAAAGATCATCTTACATGGTGCCGTGGGCCTTCTCCAAATCCGCAGCCTTTCTCCAGAGATTCCGCTGATCCGGGAACACCTTGAGCGCATTCGCAAGCACGGCCCTTGCAGTCCTGACCATGTCCCTTGCCTCTGCGCTCTCCGCATCGCTAACCCATGTATCCAACCTGTCCTCCACCTCGACCTCCATACTCACTGTAGCTTTGATGATTGCCTCGCACGTCCGCAGGCTGCCGTCGCTCTCACACCGCTCCGCCTCCTTTACCCATTGCTCGCGCGTGAGCAGCACCTGGTGCTGTCGGACAGTAAGCTCAATGGTCTTCTCTACTAGCTCGAATTCTTTGTTTCTGGTTTCTGTGGACTTGTCGGGGTCGCCCGTGGCCCTTTGCTCGAGCAGGCGTCCAGCAGCAATCCAGATTTCGTGCGACGTAGGAACAGACTTGCGGGCTTTGTTGAGGACAGCTTTGGCGCGCTCAGGTATTTCGAGACAGGCAAGAGCGAGCCAGAGCTCGACGGAAAGAGGGATCACCTCCACGGCAAGGGAGAGGAGTATGCGTCCGCTTCTTCCTGGTAAGATTACCCACTTCTGGTATGCTCTCCCACTTCTGGTATGCTTTCCCACTCCTAGTCGGTGACGACGGACAAACCACACTTCAGGTCAGCGAACTGTTGCTGAATCTTAGGGCGCTCGGCTCTGTGCTTTGCAAGTTCTGCATTCTCTCTCGCCTCCCTGGATAGAAAAAAAAAGTGAAGTGGTTGAACATGACAAAATGATGCAACTAACAGGGCCCGACACCGTGAGTCCATCTTCTGATCGACGTCATCGTATATTTTGGCAGCTTCCTCATCATCCTGTTCATAGGTTGTGCCAGCAAATAGGTCATATTCATTGTCGGGGTCTTTGAATTGTTCTGGATCGATTTCGGGCTCCTCGCCACACCTAGCTTGGCCTCGCTGTGTAAAGGATAAGTGAAGTCTTCTACAGAGCAAGATTCGGACACACGCAATGACCTCTGCAGAAGGACCTTCTCTGGCAGGACCGATATCTGAACGAATTGTGAAACAAAAAGCGCTGTGGTAGTGTTAGTTTATGGCATCCAATGATATATGCGAGACACTGACCCTCGACCGAGACCAGCGACATATGATGCTGGCGCTGGCATTGACAAGAACGCGAGCTTGTTTTTATTTGACGCCATGTTGGTTAGTGACCACGAAGCGGTAAAGAGAAGGCTGGAGGCTGGAGCACGTCGTTGTCGACGATGTTAAAGCAGGAAATGTGCGATGACTAAGCAAACTTAACGCGATTTGTCACATGGCATATACTTTTACTAACTTACATAACAACAAACATGTACGTGGTCAGTCACCTATTGCTGGCATGCGGGCGATGATTTTGTACTACTTAATTGTTAAAAGTCTCGACTTCGAAGCGCAAACACCACGTCTTGGATGGTGCCCGTGGTTATGGTGAATGCGAGAGCAGAGGCCAGGAGGACGTCGCATATGTGCGACGTCTAACTTATCGATATCTAGCAAATGACCATCTTAATGAGCATCCAAGCACACTGGTTAAACTGCGGTGCTTATTTCCATTTCGATCGACATCTACGAAGGCTACTATATTCCAAAAGGTCAGTGTATGGACTGAGAGCCCTATCCCTCTTCTAAAACTGTTTCTTAAGGGGCTACTGTAATACCCAACGCATGGTGATTCGTCATATCAAGTGAACAAAGATCAGACATAACCATTTCTTATGCAGGTTTATGGCGCGCAATCCAGATAAATTTCCTAAGCCGACGAGGTTCATACCCGAGCGTCACATGTCAAAAGTCGCCGTCAAAGAGCCGTCAACACACGGCCCTGCCAGTGATGACATTTCCTTTTTTTTTGGATTTGGAAGGCGTATTTGGTAGGAAGTTTAGAGTTTTACAGATTGACGGGTTTGCCTCACCTTTCAACAGTGTTGGACGACATGTTGCCGATGCTTCTTTATTCGCCGCAGTTGTGAATATTCTAACTGTTTTCCGGTTGGAACGTGTGCCAGGATGGAATGTCGGGCCTGATGCTGAAGGAGTGAAATGGACCGGAGGCTTAACGACGTGAGTCATCCTTGGGGATCCCTGTATTTTATCTGAGCCAGGCGATGCAGGCACCCTGTATTCCCGTGCATATTCACCCCTCGCCACACGAAGGAAAGGGTATCCCAGTTGATAAAAATGCAATGCTAAGAGCTGTGCGGATATGGTTCTGGGGTGAAATCATGTATTACCTTTATTTTTAGTGTCGTTGGCTTTCGTTATCCGTCAGCATATTCAAGTTTGCTCTAGATTCATTACGCAACATGGGAAGAGGTCTGCCACCTGCCAAATAGAGGTTAAATGTAAGGCGAGTCCGATGCATCTTGTGCACACAAGGATCTTGGGAGTCTGTTGGATGGAAAAGTGATATTGCAGTAAGCTATATACATGCGTTCGAAGGAGTGACGTGGTGACAAGCCAAAGTAGCTGCTAGATACGAAAAACAACGGTATTCATGCAGGATAGACAGTCGGATTCGAGCGCTGGAAAGCACGGACCGCTCGACTTGATGGGATGGGATAGATTCTGGAAGCTGCGAAGACAAGAGTCGGACGCATGTATGCACTGCAGATGTGCATACTATCGAGGACAGCAGGTATGGCAATAGGGTGGGTGCGTTACAGTGATGGAGGCGTAGGCACGAACAGCCTTAGATGTCCTGGGCGTCTATTGAAATGAGGCGCACCATAAAACGCACCATACACCCTCTGCAGCTTAGAGAAAGACACAATCCCTCCAAAAGTTTAGCCTCGTCCGTATTCCATACCATCAACATCCAGTAAAATGTCGGAGCTGATTACAATCACCACTCCCCTGCGATTGTTCAAAGGCCATAAAGAACGCATAACTGGAGTCGCAGTTTTCCCAGATAAACGTCGGATGGTTACGGGCTCGCATGACAAGACACTTTGTCTGTGGGACTTGAGGACAGGTGTTGAGTTAAAGAAGATGGAGGGGCATCGCAATGTGGTGTTGAGTTTGGCGGTATCACGAGATGGGCAATTGATAGCAAGCGGTGATAGAAACGGAAAGGTCATCGTCTGGCACGGAGAAACTGGCGAATTACTCACCAAAATAAAAGCACACTCCAATTGGATCTCCTCGCTGGATTTTTCTCCCGATGGAACAGTACTGGCCACTGGTTCATTGTTCGATGAAATGACGAAACTGTGGAATACCAAAACCTGGCAGCTGCGAGGAAATCCGATGAAGTGTGGTCGAGCCAGCTGCGTACCGTATTCACCGTCTGGAGAACTTATTGCCACATGAAGCGATATTCGAATTTACAATTCATGGGCACAAGGAAGTGCGTCGCACAAGTTCAAACATTCAAGCTTCCCAGTGAAAACCCACTATGGCGTGGCACGATGAGAACGGGCGTGATATGATTTTTTTTCTCGCCTATGCAAAAAATCAGAGACAAACATATGACGTCGGTAGGCATCACATATATTGCATGATGGGGCACGATCTCCTCCGACGACATAAGTTTTTCGTTCTATTTTCAGATAAAATCTTATCACACCATATAATGTACTACAGTAGAATGCATGGATCGATACGACGAGAAACAATGTGCTACGACAGCGCGTGATATTAGTAGTACTAGGTATTGCAGCAGCATAAAAGCAGGTGCAGGGCGTGCAGCAGCAGCTTAGGGAACTGCACAGGTAAACTCGCGGGTGTGGGCAGTCGTACCCGTACCCGCACCCGCACCCGCGGTGTGGGTATCAACACAATGGACCCAGGGTATACCTGCGGGTCACTGTGAAGAGCACAGGAAACAACGCGCGCATGATCGACGATAGATGGTGGAAGCTCGGTGTTGAGTGACATGGATGGTAGAGTACGAAAGATGGGGGAACACTAAGCAGAGAGCCAGAAAGTGATGGCTGCGGCACCGTCAGTGTCCGCTAAGAACCTCGGAAGACGAGATCACGCACAATCTAAGAGCATGTTATGGCCAGAGCACTATCAGCGTGGGGTAAGCAGGTCAGAAGACGAGAACACACACAGACTGAGAGCAGGACGCGGCCAGAGCACCATCGTCATCGGGTGTGCAGGCCAAAAGACAGGAACACGCACTCACTGTGAGTGGGACGCGGCCAGAGCACCATCAGCATCGAATACACGATATAAAAGACGAGATCACGCACATACTTTGAGTGGGACGCGGCCAGAACACCATCAGCGTCGAGTACACGATGTAAAAGACGAGATCACGCACTTGCTGAGAGCGGGACGCAGTCAGAGCACCATCAGCATCAAGTACCCTGCGTGCAACGTAATACGCACAGACTAAAAGCAGGACGCAGCCAGAGCACTATCAGCGTGGGGTAAGTGGGTCAAAGGACGAGAACACGCACAGACTGAGAGCGGGACGCGGGGTAAGCAGGTCAAAGGGTGAGAACACGCACAGACTAAGAGCGGGACGCGGCAAAAGCATCATCAGCGTAAGGTAAGCAGGTCAAAGGATGAGAACACACACAAACTGCGAGCAGGACGCGGCCAGAGCATCATCAGCGTCGAGTACGTAACGTAAAAGACGAGATCACGCACTTGCTGAGAGCGGGATGCAGCCAGAGCACCGGTAAGCAGTCCAAAAGACGAGAACACAGAGTCCTCTAGTAGCTCACAGGACTGGCGGGAACCCATGTGCACTTTTTGAACGCATATACCCACCCTTTCGACTTGTGTTAGTAAAAATCAAATCTGTTTATGAATATTAACAATACCACTTACACCTACGGCCTCAGTGGGAGATGAAAAATCGGCAGTGAGGTCCTGTAAAAACTGAGATCGCGATGATGAAAAAGAGAGAAGACGACATGATTGTAATAGTAAGAAGATAAGTTGACTTGTACTTAGGACGACTCAGATACAATGATGATATCATGTCACACCGTCACACGTTGCGCGAGAGTGCTATGATGCAATGCACAGCGTGTGCGCGATACGATGCGAAGCCCCGAAAGAACGGAAGAAACGATGCAAAACGTGAAACCGTGATGTAACGATCTAAGGTACGACGCAAAAACGATACAACAAACAACGCAAATGTGACTACAATTTGTTTTTCATAATCTGCCCTATTTCACCCTATCGACGACGTTACAAACAGAAAAAAAACAGATCCCATCGTACCACGCCATAGTGGGTTTTCACTGGTATTCAAGGCTCATACGTCATGGAACACGTCACTCGCGTGGACGCCCGATGGCACACGCCTTCTCACAGCCGGCGATAGGCTCGATCCTACTATACTACAACAACCTGGAAGCAGGTCGGTGATCCTTGGACGGGCCACACTGACTACATCCAAGCCATTGCCATTCATCCTGCTGGCACACTCGTTGCATCCGCATCTAGTGACTACCATGTTCGTCTCTGGCAGCTCTCAGATCGACAAACCATTGCCGTCTTCGAGCACTCATCCTACATCGCATGCGTCACTTTCTCCGTGGACGGCAATCAGATCTTCAGTGGAGGTTGCGATGAGATGATCTCAGAGTGGACAGTACCTCAGGGTATACATCCAAAGGCATGTTTCCGTCTCTGATTCATATACCACAAATCGAGCATGCTTCTTGCAGACTATTGCCACCACAACAGCCCTCGATGCATGCATAGATGGAGACTTATCTACTGACGAAGAACTACTCATGCAAGACATCAATACCGATCCGAACAACCATACTCCCTACGTCCATCGCTCAAAGGCATGTTTCCGTTCTTGACTCATATATACCACAATTAGAGCATGTTTCGTGCAGATCCTAGCCATCACCACCTCCCATATCGCATGTCTAAATGGAGATTTATCTACCGCCGAAGAACTACTCACTCAAGATATCAACACCAGTCCAAACAACTATACTTCCTACGCACATCGGTCATTCGTCATGGTGCGAAAATGCGACTGGGACCGTGCCCTTCTGGACGCAATCAAGGTGAGAATCATCCCCGCCGTACACAGGGCTAACTCGACGGTGACACAGTCCATCAGCATTCAGCACTTGTTGACGGGCTATATTACCAAGGGTATTGCCCTCTGTGGAAAAGGCCGTGTCCTGCATGTGAGGGCAGCATTTGAGGTTGCATCCATGTACACGGGCCAGGATTCAGAAATCCTTCATTTTCTGCTATTGATCGAGGTATGTTACATTTGCCTCGCATACTCTTCCCTTCATCGCGTATTTCAGGCCATCGCGCTCTTCAATGCAGATCAACATGACGAGGCAAACCTGCTCCTCACAAAGCTCGCTACCGGTTGTCCGAATACCGATACTCTCGCATGTAATATCGTGCAAGTAAGTATCATCCATGCTTGGTCATTGCATCAACACTCATCTTTACAACTCGCACATTAGGCATATCTACACGTTCAACTCGGAATCAAAGCCTTGGATGGCGCACGCTACGACGAAGCTGCTGACTATTTCACTGCCGCTCTCGACTCTCACGATTCATCATCGAAATCGAACATTCATGAAATATGTGAGGACTTGGTGGTGGTACGTCAAGATGATACATGTATAACGCTTTTAATAACTGAATCTCTTGTCCAGCTCTTTGGCTCGGACCTGAAGTCCTTGTGGCAAAAGGCACACCAGAAACGCTGTGATGCACTCCTTCGGGCGGGCAAACTCCAAGATGCCGTGAAATCATACCAACACATGATGACTTCGAGTGACAAAATCACCAAGGCTGACTGCCTTGATTGGTCTGATGGTGAGTCTAGAACCCGTAATGTCGCGCAGGCGACAATCCTCACCTGTATTCTTAGATTTCAAACAGGAATGCAGCGCACTCTGCGCTGCCAATGGAGAGGCTGCCTTCGCCGGAAGCGATTACGACAAGGCTATTGACCTATACTCGATGGCGATTGACCTGGATTCTACATCCGATATCTTCTTTGCAAGTCGCAGCCAGGCAAAGTCAAGTAAAATGCTATGGGAGGATGCGCTCCTCGACGCGCGAAAGGTGCGATGGCATCCACATTTTCGTAGCCAATGTTGACTTCGGCGATGCATAGGTCACCGAACTCAATCCTTCGTCTCATGTTGGGTACCATTTGTCATACTCAGCGCTGCGTGGCGCGCAACGTTATGAAGAAGCCATTGAGGCCTTCACAATCATGTTGTCCAAGTTGGACAATGCTCCCGAAGCTCGGATACGAGGTAAGACATGGAACACTCGTGTGTTGTCTCCAAATGCCTATCGTGTTCTGTATATCTGCGTCAGCAGTACGTCCGTCCATCGGAAGCAGAGGACGCTATTCGAGGAGCGGTTTGGATTGAACTCAGCAATGCCCCCCTTCGTCTACTCAACACCTCTATGGGGATTCTGTGCGACCGAGCAGCTAAACTCCTTCAAAACAAGTCCAGAGTACAAGGAGCTTTTGTCATCCATAACGAAGCGTTCGGATCTCCAAATGGAACGCATCAAGGAGGTGGTGGCGATGCACTTCTGTTGCGTTTTGCTATCACACAGGTGGGAAGAGACAGAGGTGCTGCTGCACCACATCCAAAATAAAGATGTGCGCGAGTTGAAGGGACTTGGTGGCATCACGAAACTGCAGTCGTTCTGCAAAATCGCTCGTGATGCGGGGTATTTCTGGGCGTGGATGGATACATGCTGCATCGATAAGAGCAACAACGCTGAGCTTGGAGAATCAGTCCAATCCATGTTCGTCTGGTACCGTCACTTGGCGCTCACCATCATCTACCTATCCGATGTCCCTCCTTCATCCCAACCTGGTGCACTAGCAAGCAGTGTTTGGAACGAGCGAGGATGGACCTTTCAAGAGTTTGTCGCTCCGAAAGTCGTTAGATTTTACCAGAAGGATTGGTCGTTATATCTCGACGATCGCTCTCTCAACCTCAAGCAATCATGAAGGAGTTGGAGGGTGCGACGGGAATAGATGCGCAGGCCCTGATCTCCTTCCGTCCAGGGATGAGAGATGCTAGACAGAAACTGCAATAAGCATCGAAGCGCGTCACCACTGTGCAGGAAGACACCGCGTACTCGTTATTTGGTATCTTCGACGTCCACCTACCTGTCATCTATGGCGAAAGGAAGCAGAGCGCCTCGGCCGGCTCCTGCAGGATATCGTGTCTCGATCGGGCAACATCACTTCCCTGGACTGGGTCGGGCAATCGTCTGAGTTCAATAGTTGCCTTCCAGCCGACATCATCTCATATGCGGCCCCGCCATGCTCCCTACCATCATGGTCTGAAGATGAGATTCAGGCAGCGGTCTCTTCATTGCGAAACGTTGTGCCCGTGGATTCAGCTTCGAAGTTGTATAACCTGCTCGAGAACATGGATGCTCCCCTCTTCGCAAACTGCAGACTCCGTCTGCCTTGCATCGCATTCCGTGTCACGGAAGTCAAACGGGAGCGGGGTCATACTGCCCATTCCACGTATGGAGTAAAAGCCGATGGGCTTCGGGACTTGCTAATCACCACGGACGAGACCCTAATTCAATTCTCGCGCGCAAGGCCCACTCAGCAGGTGTTCCATCCATGGGACCGTCGTCTCCTTGGGCTGCCTGATTTTTCAGAGCAGCTCACCTTTGCAGACGAAGGGGAGAGCGTAGGGGATTGGTCAGAGTTCCAGTCTGGATTAGACGACAGTGACGAATCGTCCAGCAACTATTTATTTGGTGGGGCGGGTGCACCCCTGCAAGCGTCACCATCTAACTAGTCTTCGTGTGGAGTTAGTTATCATTCGCGCAGCCTGTCATGCACTACCTTTGGATCAATTAATCTTACTTTAACTCTGCCCTCGTTGTGCGCACGATTTGTGTTTGAAACAGCTTGAATTCAATTCAATTTGGTTATACAAGTGTAGCAAAATGGGCGGCAGTAAGAGGCAGGGATTCCAGTGGCTGGGTCAAGGCTGCATGCCTGACATCCTTCTCCTTTGCGCTGTGAGCAACTGTATTTCCCGCACGCCCGATGTTGTTATATGAACACAAGAAAAGGATGGACTGGTGGGATGGGGTGTATCATACACCCTGCCGTTTGAGAGCATCGAAGATGGTATTTGAAAGTTGATAGACGCTGCGGGAATCGCGAAGTCCTTCCCAGGCCTCGTGGCCGAGGTGTTCCAGACCCTTTCTGCGTGCACGGTCGAGTAGGACACGAAGATGCAAGGGAGCTAGTGACATTGTGACCTGGGGAGATCGTTGTCAGGGTCAGTGATCGGAAAAAAGGATGACTTACTTCTCTGAGTGCTTCAACATCCTGAGTGTGTTGGACTCTCGCTGCGTCAAGGTCCTTGCGAATGATGGCAAGATCATTATCGATGCGCTCGTTGTCCTTGCGCAAGCTCTCGTTCTCGTTGGTGATCCTCTCAATCTCACCGCGCATGCCCTCGTCCTTAGTGAGAATCCTCTCGTTCTCGCTGCGAATGCTCTCATTCTCGGCGAGAATCCTCTCATTCTTTCCTCGAATCTCCGCAATCTCCTTCTGCATCGAGGCCAGCATCTCCTTAAGCTAGCTGTCCATAGTCACCTGAGAGGGATTGGCCATCGATGCGAGATTGACCGTTGATGTGGAGTCAGCCCTCGACGCGGCATTTCGTTTCCTAACATTCTTGGCTGCGGAAATCTGATCAGTGTGTCTGTAGACTATTCGAACATTATAACATACATTTGCAAGGTGGGACTGTGCTTGGTTCAGATGTTGTGGCAGTGTCAGTCATCGCCAACGTCGTATTGGGTTCCACGGGTGTCTGATTGGCCTGTGCATTCCGGGCCAACTTGAGGTGGTTCTTGATACGACATTTTGTGTCAGCATTAGGAGTGATTATGAGTGTCAGACCGTCGGGGTGGCAGACACTGAGCATATATGAAGGCTTAACAACTTCAAGAGAAGTGTGTCAATGATGAGTCGGCCCCTGCAGCAAATGAAAAATACATCACGTGACATATGGTTGGAATTCGGGAAAATTGGTCATGGCAAGGGGGACCATTTTACCCCTTGCCATGACGAAGCTGCCGGAATTCGGCAGCCTTGCCATGACCAAATTTCCAATTTCCGACAAAGGAATCATGTTTATTGTCTCGTTGGAACCGAATACATACATTTGGTGGAGATTTTATTTCTTTTGGTCCTAGATCATCTGATCCGCTTATTGTTGATGCTATAAACAACTGTAAGTTACAAGTGTCGATATGCAGAAAACTGTATGTATGAGTACAGAAATTACTGTGAATGGTTGCTGAGCTCAGTGAGCTCAACCCAGCTTGGCATGGTTGTAAACATCTGCAGAAAATCATCAATATTATCCACCTCCTCGTCGTTGGACTGCTCGGTTGCTCCTTGGTTCAGTATTTGCTCTTCCAAGCGAGACGATTGACGCTCGGCAATTTGTCGAAGCATCTTGACACAATGCACAAGGAAACGGCCCACATGCTCATTGATGCCTGAGGGGTAGTAATCTGCCAGATTGCTTAAGAAATAGAGCTTCTGCACGCCACATGCCACAGCGTTCAAAGTCGCCCAATGATCCAAATGGCACGATCCCCTTGGAGGAAGCACTCCATCCCTATAACGCACGCAAATCCAGATAAAAACCCACATAAATGACTCCAGATCGTGGCGATACAAATGTTTGACTTCGCCACGTTGACCCTGTTCCTTGAGAAGTTCGAGCGCCATGAACGGCACCGTGCCTGTGCGTTCGTTGCCCCGAGGACCTGCGTCATCCGCCAACGAGGATAGATCGTAGTCGTTTAAGACGCCTATGAGCTTTCCGTCTTTCCTGTACCACATCATATTTCCAGGGCTCACATCTCGGTGATACACCCCTTCCTTCCACAGAGTAACATGGCCTGCATGCTGTGTCAACGAAGAGCCTCGTAAATGCGATGAAAATACGTACACAGGATACACTGGCGCCATACATTGAAAAACTCTATCCCACGTAGCTTCGTAATGGGCTTAAACTTGCGGAATACGAGAATGTAGAGCACGCGACTGCCCTTTATGGGTTCTGGCACGCCGAGCGCTTCTCGGATAGTGGATGTCGGATTCGTGAACGTGTGGTGCCAGAGAAGCTCAGGAATATGGTCTTTTACGCTAGCATGCACCTTAGCGATCTCCTCGACCTTTTTCAAAATCTCCGGCTCGCTAGTGCGACTCGCCTCTCCCCAAAAGATCTTGGCTACCATGTCATCTTTCGGGATGTGCGCATATTTCTTGGCGAGCGTTTTGCTAGTGACAGGAACCACATTGGTGGCGCGTCCTTGTAGTCCGTAGTGCGTCACTCGTTCTGCGTGGCCAGTATGAAGCAGCAGATCCACTGTTCCAAGATTTTCATCCTCGATTTCGAATTTGTGGCATTGTACCCCCTCATTTTCATCTGGGAGGAAGGCCTCGTTGCGGCCCCAATCCTCAAGCTTGAATCGTTGTAGAGCATACAACAACACCATGAATCGCGGGAGATCTTGAAGGAAGTTGATGCCTGAGCTTTGAATGATTCCTTGCCGATCATAATACCAGATCCAAATTGTATCGTCTGAAAAAGCGGTGGTAAGCGCGCGACCTATCCAGACAGACGAACGAACACACCAATGACGACAAGATTCAGCAGATGATTGACTCCAAGATTGGCCGCAAACATTTCGGCGGCATAGAGACCCATCTGGACGGTCACATCTGGATCGGCGTCCAGTTCGTCGGTCTTTTTTTTCTTCGTTGTGGCAGATTCCAAAGTGTCATGGGCCAGGCGCTTGGAGCTCCCGCCCTTGGAAGACTGGGCAGTAGTAGGACCGGAAGATGGAACTGCAGCTTCGCCGGTTTAGTTTGATCTCGAAATTCGAAATACAACCACTTACGTGCTGTATGGGATGCAGGCTGTGTTGACGGGGTTTTCGAAGGGCCTGGCGCCAGGTCTTCAACCTGAAGATGATGCACCGGCAGATATTCTGGCTTGGTAGGGACGTAGCCTTTCACTTTATAGGAAGGGGGCGGCGGCGCTGAGCCCAATTTCTTCTTTCTCTTGAACTCGATGCAAGCTAGAATATCTTTCCAGCGGAGGTTTTTCGGCGATGCCATTGCATTCTTATCCATGTGAGCCTTGCGCTTCTCGTCGCGCTTCTCGGTGTCCTTCTCGGTGTCCTGGTTCTTTGTCTCAAAGGGAGCGCATGCGCTGTCAAAAGGAAGAATCACGAGGTCGGGCTTCCTCGTTGATGTCACCGTCTGGTGGGTTTGATGCATGGGCATATCGTTCTGCTGACAGATCATGTCCACAGTGGGGACAGGAGCACACATTCCATCAACTTTGGTCTCTTCAAGACAAGCGAGCGCGATGTTAGTAGCTTTTATAAAGGGGCTGTAGTATTTGTTTTCGAGTCCTGGAAGTACGCTTATAATCGTTGTAAGTATGAAAACCCTCGATCATGCAAAATTAGAGGAAGCACTCACTATTCGTGAAGGGCTGTCGCGATGTCCGAAGAATTTGCCAGTGCAGTAGAGACTTGTCCGTTGCAAACCGGCAGAACTGCCTGGAGGCATTTCTGCAGGAGCTCAGGCTGTATAGTGTGAGGGGCGCAAGAACTGCGCTGCAGCAGGGCTTGCAGCATAGCATCTACATTGCACTCCTTAGTCTGCTCAATGTCCCGCTGAATCCATGGGCGGATTTTCTTAACCCTTGATGGGATGTTAGATGGCACTCAGTCATACAAGAAAGGTGCTCACTTCACGCCGACCAGGTCAATGTTCTCGCTGACGACGGAAGCCCCACGGCTGTTTGGGGTGGATTTCAGTTGGCTAGGGCCATGAGCTTGTGCATTTGCGCGTGGCGGAGTAGACGATGTGCCTGTCCCGCCAGCAGGGGACATGACGCTAGGTGTTGTTGTTGCGCTGACTGAGTGTCGTGAGCAGTACTGGACCAGCTGGCGGAGTGGGGAAAACTAAGAGGACAAGAAAGAACGACCGCTTCCTGCTTCCCTTATATCTGGTCGACAAACGTGACGCAACTGTGGTAGACCGTCATCGATCAATCTGATGCTGGCGGTTGTGACCTACTGTGGCAAATCCAGTTCGACTCCGACCACGCGTTCCGGCAGCTTCGTCATGGCAAGGGGACCCTGACCAATTTTCCCGTTTGTTCAACTTTGCAAGCCACGCGGTGTCACGTGGTCTGTCGGGGGGCGGTCAGCATCAGTGAACTGGTGAACAAATTAAAATATCATATTAGATGTGGAGAACGTCGGGAACGACGCAACATCAGGAAACAGCCCGATCACCATTTGCACCATAGTAGTGGAACAATACACCGCAACTGTGCCATGTACACCCCCAACCGCCGAAAACCTCGGGTAGACCCAGGTGCCGTGCAGCCTCCTGCCGGAATATCCCTGCACCATGCGTCCAGCTGAGCAGTTGCGCCATTCGCTTCCTCTATTCGTTTTTTCCTCTCTGCCACGCCATCGAGTTCGTCGTTCATTACACTCCTCACTCGCTCGAACAGTTTTCTTTATACCTGCCCACCACTCCCTTTTAATTGTCGCATCATAGTTTACTCCTAGTGATTTGTTTAGTCATGCGTCTTATATTAAATATAGTCCGATCCGTCAATCGTTCTAATGCTACTCAAGAGTCATATGACATGCTCGAATTCGTAAGCAGTGTCCCGCCCTCCCAGCGGCTCCACCTGCTTGTGTCCCATCCCGAGCTAACGCTCGGTCCAGCCCAACCTAATAGATCATGTCACCGACTCCCGAGCCAGTCGAAGCTGGAGTGGTAAGCCTTACAGCAACATTGACTATAGTTTTCGCACTATATATTTCTAGGCAATTTAGTAATTGTCTGAGAAACCAACTTGAAGTGGGTGCAGGATTGACGAGACCTGCATCCGGTAACTTGAGCATATAATAGAGACACCCAGGGTACATTGACGACCAGGGCCGTTGTCCACATCAGGTTGGCATGTTCTTATCATATTTCGAACATACATCCCAGAAACATCTCATGCCACGGCTCGAACAGATATCAAGTTCAGTATGTTCAGTGACACTGTCAACAGCTCGGAGAACTCAGTAAGCTGGTGCGTGTATGTATTCTCTTGTTCATTAAGTTCATCCAACCTCAGTTTAACCCAGCACAGATCGTGATCTGTCCTCATGACAGCTCGGACCCACAAGTGACAAGAGTTGCAATGCATCACCCTGTACGTGAAGATCATCATTGAATAACATAACAGATCGCTGGTGGTAAACAGTGAACCAAGTACACCAAATTATATCCTGTCAGCACAACCTCAACAGTCACTCCTGAAACGTGCTGTCCAATCCAGTATCCAGACTGTCGCCATAAATATCCATCACAACGCTCGTCCGCACTTCAATCGGTTGCTAACACATGACCTGAGCCCCGGACTATCACATAAAAGAGCAGGGTTGAAAGGCACGAACCAGATAAGACGGCATCCGCTGTGATGGTTTGAATGTCGAAAAGCGAGGCATATGGGAACTCGCAACGCCTTTCACAGAGGGAAAAGTCTGATTGGTCACTTCGAGTCTTTTTCGGTTGTTTAACCTGGTGGACATTTTCAGATAGAAGATATTACTTGAATTATGACAACGCACGATGCCAAAAGTGATATCGCATAGACTTTGTAGAGTGTCAGCTAGGAATTAAGGATGACAACTGAATCGGACAGACGTTTGCTCTGGACTTGGACAAACCCAACGAACGCGAGATTGTTTGGTAGACCGAGAAACTGATTGAAGTTAGTTTGTGAAATGAGCTTCGGCATCTACTTACCATGATGACCACCAGAACTGCACAAAACCTATAGAAAGATAAGTCCCCGGATTACAGGAGGTTGACTATTAAAATTGGCAGTAGGCTTACGATGCGACAGCACCAGTGTTGATGGTATACAATAGGAGGCGGTTGAGGACGTTGTCAGTTCTAAAGGCAACAAGGTGAATTTGATGTAGAATTGGGCTGACTGATATCGTACCTTTTCATGCCTGTGCGACGTTTTCGAAGGTAAAGGCATAGTGTAAACGCAATCGCACTGTCGACCACTGCTGAAAGCACCCATCCAACCACCATAGTTGGCTGGCGACATATTGAGACCGACAGACCTGCAGATAATCGTTGGGGTACATACATAGATGCGTTCTCTGAAGATCTCCCACTTGGGATAAAAGAAACTGTTCAAACTACAGTCAGCAGGTAGATCATCCAACACAGGTGGCGCGTGCTTCAAGGAACAGTTTGCAAGTCCAAATCCTGCCCAAAAAGATCAACGGCAGCTCGATCATATAATTGAAGGTTTTACCGCAGCGAATGGTTGCAAAAATGACCTATGACAAAGGCATGAGCGAAAAAGTTCAATGTCATAGACATGTATCCTACGAAACAAACAGCAATCCAGCGTTTTTGCGAAACTGCACATGCAATTGAGGAAGGAGGCAACTGCATGTATCGATATACTCACATTGCAGTACTCGCCAGATGAAGCAGCTGGTATTGCACATCAGCATGAACTTTGAACATTTATAATAATTGAAGATACGTACAGATTCACAACATAGGCTATAATAAACTGTGACTGTGTCACTACGACAAATGTCAGGCAAAATTAAAGTGACGTACACCGATAATATATGAAGCCTGGTGGAATGTGGGGAGATCAGCAGTAAATTGTTTGTCTGCACTAGCTGCTTGCGGGTATTCCCCTGTGATGAAGGCTGAATGAACCGGAGTGGAAGTATAGTAGAAATTGACGCACCACACTGTGTATTCCAAGCTTGTTATATCTCCAAAATGCATGATGAGATAAAACTCAACGGCGTATATTGTCAATGCTGCATGAGCAGTCTCGAGAATCCTGAAAAGCCAAATGTAGCAGCTCGTGATGACACGTCAACAGAGCGATGCTCAACATACCAGATGAACGCTACCTATGACTATGTCAGATAAGCTGTGATATATATTCGCCTGATAGATTTACCAGACACTTCAGAATGTTCCTGTTATGTTCGTATGCCTGCCAGTAACGAAAGGTCTGCATGCAGATGACCCCATACAGTAGCATGTTAGCTAGGGCACCACAAAGCGGTCCTTGCATGATTGACATCACAACCGATGTCATATTAGCAGGGAGGGCAGGGCGGGAATCTGAAGGGACAAAGAAACGACCTTATCTACTGTATGCGTGGGAAACTGTCTGACCATCTCGGTGAAGAAATACAGATTGTAGTTAGTGATACTGGTATGGTGATGCTAACAACTCACTTGGCGTGATGTCGGTAGGAAAACACCGCATCGAAGAGCCAGTAGAAAGACACCGACGTTCTGTGCGATCACAGGATCCATGATCATCATGATGGTACCCATATTTGAAATCTCATTAGAAATCTGATCAAGTTCATTTTCGAATATGTATTTGAATAAAGGCCACTCACAAACTATCATGATATCGTTTCATTGTAGAGGATAGTCACTATCCCTAAGCATGAATTCGATATCCAAGTTCGACCTGCAATTTGGCAGATTAGTACTCGAAGCAAGCGAGGTCCTTAATTGCTCCGCCTTCGTGATATCATATGCATGAGATGCCTCTAACTCAGTCCCTCGAAATACAAAAGGCGCAAAAAACGTTGAAGTTCCAGCCTGACTATCTGTTCCATAATTGTTTTTGTGAATGATGGATGTCGAAAGCCACGCCATGGGCGAATCCTGAGAGTTATTTAGTCAGCTGAGTTTTATACCAGGCGCTAGAGTTTTACGTATGGAGCAGCTTTTTGTCATGTTGGCACGGCGGCCTGCCCTCACTCACCTCACCAACAAGTCCAGTCATTATCAGAAAGAGAAATCGAGGTGGTCAGTTGACGCTGGTAGTACATGTGAGAAGTTCAACTGACTACAAGAACGGCTATGCAAGAGTTTAGCGAAAACGCAGCTGAGCATTTTTATATTGACCTCGCGTGTATAGGCTATACGGCGCCTGACAAAGGCCAATCCCCGAGTCTGAATCCAGACTCGTCCAAACTCCTCGAACAATACATCATCCTCCCTTCTTCTGGAACCTTCAAAGCTTCATATCCAAAATTTTCCCCAGTCTTTGTCCTTGTCACCAAGGGTGATTCAGCGCGGTCTGACCCGGAAGGAGAAAATTGGTGCACAGCTGCGGCATTACATGCGGATGGGTGAATCAATTTCAAGTCCCAGTCGTCCCACTCACGCAGCGCAAACGATCTTTCTTGTCATTGCTGCGCTCGTACAGAACGCAAAACCCATCAGCTCTGAACTTGAACTCCCTCATCGGCAGAATCTGAAGGTCAAACCCCACTGGGAAATCATCCACTCTTCTCACCGCTCGCAGCTCGAGCGCTCAAGTCTTATACGACTGCGAACATACCCTAAGTCCCTTGATATGACGCCTCCTGTCAATTTGCATCACACGGGACGAATATGAGTAGTTTTCCTTCCACTGGGTACTGGAGGGTGTCGAGAAACACGTACCATCAGCCAGGTCGGTGCTGGCTTCAGATACGCATGAAGCTTGGAAGGTATGGACAATAGTTAGTGCTACTAGAACTTACATGTGTCTACTGTTTCTAGATCTCTTATCTGTTTGCATACCGCTTAGTTTAGGACATGTCGCAGGGGCACTTGTGTTCGTCTGAGTATGAGTCATTGTCATCCTAGACTAGGGGACCGGAATGGAGTACTATTTTGTACAGTTCAGGCGACATTCATATACACTGTGGTAGTCCAATACAGGGGATGCCCAGGAGCCTCACATGTACACATGATTGTCGATCACATGGTTTTTTTTGGCACCCTGGGCTCCAAGTATGTGCAAGAAGGGTCTGCTCTTTCGGCTGATCCCTACCGGTCCCTAAGCTTTTCTATGTTACTCCATCTGATTGCTTTTGCCTAAAGTTGATCCATGTTCGCTCAATTGATATAGAACTGCCAGATCCTCATCCGCTCAGCCAACGACCACATGGAGCCATCCCTATCCCCAATCAGATTGCTCAGAGGCCACACTAGTTGGGTAGCAGAAGCAGCGTTCTTGAAAAATGGGAATAGACTCAAAGTTATAAGCACATCCTACGACAAGACTGTTCGGATTTGGGATGTGGAAACGGGCAAACAGGAAAACTCGTTGGAGGGGCACGCTAGTGGGACTTTTGGACTGGCTGTATCAATGGATGGAAGGAGAATTGTAAGTGGGGCACAAGATGGAAAGGTCATCGTATGGGATGCAGATACGAAGGAGTTCATCAGATATCTGTCGGCATCATGCAAACGCTGTTATTTGCATCCACTTCTCACCTGATGAGAAATGACTTGCCTCGGCATCAGAGGACGGTACACTAAAGATCTGGGACGTGGATACAGGAGAATTTGTGTTCGACATTGATGATCATATGGACGGTGGCCTATTCTCGCAATGGAACCAAAATTGCAAGTGGGTCGAAGGATTGCACGGTTCGCATTTGGAATGCAATGACTGGCAAGCAGCAAACCCAACCACTCATCCATGGCAAACCGGTGCTCTCAATAGTCTGGTCTCCGGACAGTCGTCGTCTCATTTCTGCCTGTAATGATGGCCAGATCTACTTCTGGAGTGCACCAACCGGTGCCCAGCTCGGATCCCCACTGCATGCACATTCTGACGCCGTTAACTCGTTGGCAATCTCCCCTGACGGTGAGCTGATAGCCAGTGCGTCCGATGATCACACCACGCGGCTGTGGAGCACCTCTACCCGCAAACCATTTGGTCGTGTGCTCACTGCTCCAGCATGACGATGAGGTATACATAGTAGCCTTCTCGCCGGACGGCTAGCTTGTCGCCACCGGAGGTTCGCAGAACATAATATTTCTGTGGGACATATCACAGGAATCCACCATCATGACGAATGCGGTATCACCCTCATTCGTTTCCCCAGCGTCCAACATCACGAGCCACGTCGCCCAGGTAATGAATTTGTGTCTTGTCTGTACGGTAGCATATCTGATCCAAGTTTTATTCAAGCTACCAGCAAGCTCTGATTCCCTTTCGGCCTCCTCTACACCAGCATCGGATGACCTACCGAATGGAACCGAGTTGTCGTCAGAAACTGTAGGCTCGCGTGATGCTGCTAGCTCATCTTCCCCATCTCTTCCCCCTCAAAGTCACTCCCATCATGAAATCCCCTCTCCAGTCCGCACCTCTCCTCCAGTTGAGCTTCCGGATGGAATTCAAGTACCTCCAGAAAACGTGAACTCGCGTGATGCAGCTGCATCTCCTTCCCTGTCTTTACCTCCTCAAGGTTCCTCCCATCCTCGAATACCTTTTGCTTCAGCTTCCACTCCAGTCCAGGCCTCACCTCCAAAGTCGTTTTTGAAGCGCTTTTTTATGCTCAATAGGTCTGCAGCGTCTGTAGACTCCAAATGGTGGAAATTCCCGCGCATTGGTAGCATCATATATGCAACCCCTTCGCTCTGTGAGCATGTCCTGAATTTGATCCCTAGGCAACGCAGGCACCGGAATGTGGAACCCCACGCAGGTCCTAATGGTGCCTAGCATCAATACGCCTATGAGTCCGCTTTTCATGTCTTGTTTGGCATTATCTTAGTAGACTCTTACTAGGTATTAGTTGTCACACTTTCCCCTCGTTCTGTCGTGTTGTCTCTTCCCTACCTATGCGATCCGTGTGTTGTTGACTGACTCGGATGTTGACCGTGCTTTCGCGGTCACAGATGTCCACAGAAAATTCCCTTGATACGAAAGTAGACGCAGACAGAAGGAAATAAGTATGTAGTAGGTAGTGTAAACTCGAACACGGTGGCTGCCTTAGCGCAGATCTTATGCTGAGTCGGCGATGAACATACTATACTACAGCTATCGATAAAAAACGGGGGACGGAACGATGCATGTCACCTACAGTCAAAATGACACCCCAAACCGTCCTCCCATTCATTTAGAAATCGAATACATCTAGCACATACACATAACATACATGAACATCAATCTAAGACAGGTACAAACACCCATCCAAACGCCCTAACCTCATTCCCCTTCATCCCCAGGTACCTCTCCGTCTCATACAGCCAATTCACACTCCCAGCAATACAATACCGCAACCCCCTCACATACCGCCTCGTATCGTCGTCCATCACAGCACACGCAGCGAACTGGCGCTCAGTAGCCAAGAACCCATCTGCGCTCTGCTTCACGAGCGTGCCCACGTACGCAAGCGCACTCCCGAACGAACAATTCCGGTCTTTCATCAGAACTGTGACGATGTTGATTCGCGAGCTTGGAGTCATGCCTTTTGCGCATGAGATCGCGTCCTGGAACAGAAGTTGTAAGAATATAGACATATTGTTTCGCACAAACACGCACCTCAGACCATGCTATAAGATCACAAGCCTGGTCTGTCAACTGCTTTAATACCGGATGCGAAGACACCCGTTCTGGGAGGTCCAATCCCCCCGCGTACTCAATCAGGTGAAACACCATCTTTAAACCTGATGCGTTTCTTCGCAGATCAATATATGTCTCCAGATCCGGGATACACGTCGAATCCAGCGAATGAAGACGTCGCCTTGCATCGTGATACATGCGCATGGATCGGTGGAAACGCATGTACCACGCTGGGTTTTTGTACGCGACGCGACTGAGTCGATCGGATATCCTTTGTACGCGTTGTCAGCGAAATCAAAGACATTCAATGGACCGTCATGGGAACTCACAGATCAAACACCTCATTCTCATTCTCATTACCACAACCATCCTGCTCCTGCTCATACACCAACAAACTCAAAAAATGCGCCCCCAACCTCAACTGCGATAGATCCGCACCAGGATAACACAAAGAAGCCCATAAGCCAACTTTTATCCCTTTCCACTCCAACTTCAACCATACATCACACAACCACGCCTCGCTCGCTCGAGATACGGACCTACAATGCCGATTTACGCGTAGCTCAAAGGGCGTGCATGAAGAGAGGATGTTGGGGAGTTGGACGCTTACTGTGCGTGAACAGGGTCTGGGAGTTGGCGATAATGAGGAGTCGGACATGGAGTCGTGTTCGCGTTGTGGGTCCTTGTTGAATGACAGGGTAGAGCACCAGCCTGAAGGATGAAACCCAGGGCGACGCTAATTTTTCAGGCGTGACGGACACGGGATACGACGTAATGATCCGACACGAGCGCTTGCTCATATTAGGCGGACAATAAGACGAACCACGGTGTCCGTTCGCCGACATCCATGGCCATGAATTTGAGGCAGGTGAGTTGTGACTAGCAATAGAACGGGACGTGTGAGGAGAAGACCATTGTTCTTTCTCCCAAGACAGCCAAAAGACAGCTGTGATAAAGGTATGTTTTTTCCAATTCATTAAACACGTTAAAGCTACGAAGTGCACGTGACAGTACACGTGTTCACGGCAAGTACCCGTTGCGGCAGCTTCGTCATGGCAAGGGGTAAAACGATCCCCCTTGCCATGACCAATTTTCCTTGACAGGGTTTAGGTCACGAGATATACTGTTTGCGCACGCATGTCAGTTCAGTATCTGGGTATTGTGTTAGCGCACCATTTATCTTGAGAAGTCGACGAAACAACTGCGCATTTCGCCAGAAAAGAAGACTGGGGTGACCTGCAGAGCCACTGGAGCAGTAAAGTAAAATGAAGTTGCACCTCTTCATTCACGCGATCTGAGATCTCCAATCAAACTCACGATAAAGAAACTCGGAACCAAAAATAGACTCGGGTTTTATGGATGACTTTTAGAAGTTCCAATATTTGCTTGACAGGGTTTGAGTTGGATTTTGACAGGTCACAAAGTAAACTGCTCCGTATGCAGAGCAATTCCGCCCACATCCATACCCATTGTCAAAACCAATCTCGCGACTGCATTCTGCCCATCTGTCGTCAAGCTCTCTGGGCCGCTAGCACAGACCACGACCCCCCCACCCAAGCCCATTAATTTCTGGCTTTCATCACATTGCATGTCGATCGAATCTTCCTTTTTATATGATGACGGAAAACTGATGAAGTCCCTGAGAAAATTATGGACAGCTGGACGCGAAAGTGTGACGATGGAGTTGGGGATATGAAGTACCGCTTCTGGATCACAAGCCCGAGAGCATGTGATGAAAATAGAGATGTGCAGGTCGTGGTGCTATTCGACACTGCCGTGACAATATCTATCAGCATTGGAGCAAACCATTCTACCTGACCTGTGCCAATAGATCAGAACGATGTAACACCCGTAGTCAAAAATGAAACACTGAAAGATCTAATGCACCAAGTGAATTCGATTCTCCTCGTTCGTTCTCCCTGACTGCGGCTTAGTTTGACAAACCTGCTGACGATGTCGTCCAGCAGACCAAGAGTGAATGTGACGCCAGATCCCCCGGCTATGAGAAAAACGCTTTCGTACAGAGATCGACACTCGACCCTCCATAAGGACTGTCCAGCATGACTTGAACGAAAGTACCCGAGTTGCCCTCCGACATATTATTGATTCGTAAACGTTCTTGTTCCCTCAGAGTATAGCTATTCAATGCCCGCGTCCAGTCTCCATCATTTCGTGCAGCGAGAAGGAATCCAGGTGAGGAAAAGCAAGAATGGGAAGGTGGTGCCGAGAGAATAGTGAGGGGATGTGATTCCAAAACTCTGTTGGAGAAGAGAACGCGCAGTCTGACATGCTGGCCAGCAAGCCAGCCATCGTCGCAATTATAAACGTGGATCTATCAATGATGAAGTCAATAGTTTATCGAATAACGTTCAAGCATTTGTTGTACCATAGTCATGCGAGTGTCCTGCGCAGTCTCGTCCAACAGCAGCACCTTCTTTCGCGCGCTCCCAGGCTATGCCGCTGTGTGCAACAGAGGTTGTTCTAATCACTCCAAAGCAAGGAACATACCGATCTTCGAGCTCCCCGGCATACGCACTGACCCGAGAAGCGGTACCTGGAAGGGAATATGCGAATGCGCTGATTAGGGCTGCGGGAGGGAGAAATATACGTGTAGTAAGTCCGTGCGAGCGAGTGAGGACAGACATCATTAGGGCAGAAATTCCGGTGTAGAACAGTCCGGATTTAAGGGCTCTGTAGGATCACGGAAGGATTTTATGCGAGCTGTTCGCAGTTCAATGGTCAACGAGGGCGTAGTAGTCGGCGAGACGATATAACTCACTTTCCACCTTCTCTTCAACAGAGATCCACCGGTCTATGATACCTTGCGTTTTGGAGTGGATGCCGGTGTAATAACCCGTGATCTCCCGCCGCACCATTCCGATTCGCTTTTCTAATGCTGACGGGGTGTCGAGTAGAATGAGTTCGGATATGGGTGTAGGGTATATGGAGAGTTATATGATGTCACTAATTCAGAGAATGACATGTTGTAGGAGAAGTAGATACCTTCGTCTGGTCAGAGCTCAAGGTCCAAGATCCCAAACCTTCAGCTGCATTTGCAAGTTGCAACTACACTCGCCTCTGCAGCCATTGCAGTAATTTCCTAGAGTACATTGAATGTGAGTGTGTTCAACGTCTCGTTTGAAAACAAACCTTCAGTTTGGTCGGGAAACAGTATATGTCAAATACCGAGTGGATCATCGATGTTGGCAAAAGGTGAAGGAGGCGTGGGAAATACATTGTGTGCACATACTGCTCGATGGTCCCGAAGGCGGCCTTATTCCATGCCGGCATAAAGGTATCTAGCATTGTAACGTGCGGCGGTACAAGATTCAACGTTCAACAGTAACGCTTCCGGTTACGTCAGTTCTGTATGGTAATGCTCATATTGCTGAGTCGCTGGTACGAATCCGGGTTAGCTCAGGACCCATTCTTGACGTACAAGAATGTACTTGTAGCATCTGAGCAATGACCAGTTGCCAATGCTAGGGACCATGTTGAGGTCGGAGACAAGACAAGTGGAGCTTGACTAAAAACTGCAGGTTGACCTAAGTTGAAGGTGTGATCAATAAACAAGAAATCAGAAACAGGTTGCCCACAAACCCAAAGAGGGTGCTTGGCTAAAATCAGAGGCCCGGGTTGCTAGAGGATCCAAATACTGATGCAGAGACGGCAGAGCTAAACCCAAACTCGTTCATGGCGCTGAATGCTGAATCATGTCTAGAATGCCATCGTCCCGAATACATTGGGAACGGATGTCAGATTTGAAAATGCAGACTTTGGTGATTGTGGTGCGAGTTGAGAAGAAGGGTTAGCTGAAAAATTTAGATGAAACTCGAAAATTATTGAAAATTATCGTGATTTACTTGAGGGACAGATGTTGCTAAATAGTCGACGCCACACCCAGCCGGATCCGAGGCTCCAAGTAAGGGCAAGTTGGCTTGGTTCAGCACTTGACAAAACATTGAATTTCTTCAACCACTGACCAGAAGATGCACCACACTCCTCCTACTATCAATGCTCCAGTCAATCATGGACTACTACTCCAAACTTCTGTGCCTTCATATGCCTTGCGGCGTAAATTTCGGAACTACCTACCCCAGGATTTCCATCATCAACCAGCAATGCTTTCTCAACCTCTGCCACCACTGCAAAGTGCTCCGGCAATTAGTATGACGAAGAACTTCTCCTCAGAAACATTATTTGTGCTTGCTAAAGCTGTCAAGCAGCACAATGTTCTATGCGCCGCCCATGGAGGGGTTACAAAAGCATGGGAGAGTGTTGCCAAGGACCTGCGAGGTTTTGGCGTGGATGTCAGCGAGCGCACACTACGGAGTAAACTCGATGCTCTTTTAAAGTGGCATGTGGTAAGTGTTTGTCTGTTGCGATTGAGTAAACTGAAGTTTCCATGCCACCAGGATCCCAACAATTGCCCCAAAGTCATTCAGGATGCGTTGAAAGATATGACAGAGGCCCGCAACATGCATGAGGTCCTTGATGGTCTTGACAATCTACCAAACCAAAGCCAAGTTGGAACCAAGGAGAGTGAGAACACAACAACTACTGGAGTAAGATTTTTCATTTGCTCTTGCACCATACACCGAAAGATAACGAGGAGTCCCAGTGTAGTCATCACCAGGGGGTCGGAGTACCGGACCTCATGACACCTGTCAAACGGTCTCATAGGCGTGCGATGCTCACTGATGACGAAAATGAAATTCCTGTTGAGTGTGCAAAGCGGGTTAAATGCAGCCACGACTGCAACTCAGATTTGGAAGTTCAAATTTTAGCTCTGCTGGCTTTAGAACATGCACGCAATGATAAGACTGATGCCTTGATTGAGCAGGTGACAAAGTCAACTGAGGCTTGCCTGAAGGCTGTGGAGAATACACAGCAACAACTTCTTGCTTTTCTCAGAGATAAATCCATGCCTTTTTGTTTTTAATTGCTATCCTTTTATCATATCAATGACCAATGACCCGGACCACCTATAGCTAATGTCTCCTGTATCTATAGCTCCCCTTGGTAGTATTGTTTATATTTTGGTCACCCATCCTTCAGAGCGGGCTCAGGTAGTAAATTGCCGCCATGGCACCCTCAGGCTGCCGCACCACACCAGAACATTTGAACTAGCAATGTTACTTGTTGAACTCATCAACTAATTACTGCTGATTATCCTGCCTGTCAACCGTCAATATACCGCTACTCCTCTTTTTTACACTCTGTAGTACTAATGACACTCTTCATACGTTCGAACTTCGCACCGCGTATGTACCAGCTCAAACAAACATCATATAATTCCACTCGCTGACGAGACGGTACAATCAATCTCCATGCAGTCCTCCGCACTTTCAATGGGGATCTCCGTAAAACCACGTTTGGGTACTAGATTCATGACGACTTCGGCACCTATGGTGACAACGTGGCTCTTCGCGTTAAAAACGGCACCCTAATCGCTTTTGAGGGGAAAAAAACAGTATCGAGTGTCCTTTCTGGCTTACCCGTTTTGAGCCCGGAGTGACCCATGCCTGAATCATGATATGGTTAATGTTGGCATCGTTGACTTTGCCATACGCTTGCATATCATAGTGAAGCAAGATATCCTGGATATATCATGTCGAAGACAAGTCTAGGTATTTCAGGTTGTAAAATTTCGCACATTTTAGAAGCCAAGCAACAAGGATACATACTATGTAGGTCACTGCGGGAAAGGATAACATCTTTCTGTATGTCGGGGAGTAGTTTTGTTGCATCCTGTTGCAATACCTCTTGGTTACCGGTGAAGACATGCTGTACTCTCACACCACTGTTGACTTGATACGTCAAATTCCGCATCGTGTCGTCCCACGAGGAATCAATTTTGCCAACTGACGAAGGTGCACAATCGAGAGGATCCCGTATGGGCAAACGATGGTGTGGTCCTCGAAGTGCCTGTAGCGGATCAATGTGGCAAATCAGGGCATCAGCATTGGTCGTTGCTTTTCCCCGCTCCAGTTTACACCACCGCCATGATCAGTAACGTTCGACAACGCTAGTTGCAGGAAACATGGGATACATTCTGGAAGCTGCAAAGACAAGAGTTGGACGCATGTATGCACTGCAGATGTACATACTGTTGAGGACAGCGGGTATGACAATACGGGTGAGTGCATTACGGTGATGAAGGCGTGGGCACGAACAGCCTTAGACGTCCTGGGCATCTATTGAAATGAGGCCAGCAGTGAAGCACCATAAAACGCACCATACACCCTCTGCAGCTTAGAGAAAGACATAATCCCTCCAAAGTTTAGCCTCGTCCGTATTCCATACTATCAACATCAAGTAAAATGTCGGAGCCATTATGATCACCACTCCCCTGCGATGGTTCAAATTTCAAAGGCCATGAAGGACGCATAACTGCAGTCGCAGTTTTCCTTGATAAACGTCGGATGGTTACGGGCTCGGTCGACAAGACGCTTTGTCTGTGGGACTTGAAGACAGGTGTTGTGTTGAAGAAGATGGAAGGGCATCGCAATCTGGTGTGGGGTTTGGCGGTATCACAAGATGGGCAATTGATAGCAAGCGGTGATAACGGTGGAGAGGTCATCGTCTGGCACGGAGAAACTGGCAAATTACTCACCAAAATCGAAGCACACTCCAATTGAATCACCTCGCTGAATTTTTCTCCCGATGGAACAGTGCTGGCCACTGGTGCATATTACGAAAAAAATGACGAAACTGTGGAATATCAAAACCTGGGAGCTGCAAGGAGATCCGATCGAGTGTCACAGGCTATGTTCACTGTGTACAGTATTCACCGCCTGGAGAACTTCTTGCCATCCTAACAGACCAAAATATTCACATTTACAATTCAGGCACCAGGAAACGTGTCACATCTTCAAGCTTCAAGGCTTGCACGTCATACAACTTGTCACTCGCATGGACGCCCGATAGCACACGCCTTCTCACAGGCGGCGATGGCAGGGATCATACTATACGCGAATTGGATACAACAACCTGGAAGCAGGTCGGTAATCCTTGGACGGCAATCACATCTTCAGTGGAGGTAACGATGAGATGATCTCGGAGTGGACAGTATCTCAGGGTATACATCCAAAGGCACGTTTCCGTCTCTGACTCATATACCACAAATCGAGCATGCTTCTTGCAGACTATTGCCACCACAACAGTCCTCGATGCATGCATAGACGGAGACCTATCTACTGACGAAGAACTACTCATGCAAGATATCAACACCGATGCGAACAACCATACTCCCTACATACATCGCTCAAAGGCATGTTTCGTGCAGATCCTAGCCATCACGACCTCCCGTATTACATGTGTAAATGGAGACTTATCTACCGCGGCGCTGAGCAGGAGGACATATCATGTTCGGGTTTAGGTCCCGCCCTTCGGATTCAAATTGTAAACCCTGAAATTGTTGCTCTGTGAAAGCGAAAGAATCTGGTGAGAACATTAAGCCGACTCCACAAGAAATATTAGACGAAGTATACGAATCACAGAACTCTTCTGAACGATGTGACACTAATTTCCGTCACCGCCAGGTCAAGGTTCTGCTTCTCACCGGCTTTGAGACTACTGCAGGTAACATGCATTCATCTAGCAAAAGACCGCATGCACATTCTCACTACTCCTTGTATTTTAATCAGTCACCATGACAGTATATAGGTTCCAAACAGTCCGCCGCTTTCACAACTTTACAATGGGCACATTAGAACATATCCAGACATTCAAACGAAGCTTCGCGACGAACGTCTAGAGTTCAGACCAACCTCCCTGACATGATCTTACAAATAAGCTTCCTTACCTAGATGCCGTACCAAACAAAGTTCTCCGCCTTCACGCAGCAGTCAAGGAACTTGCGCGATGAGTGCGTATCCAACCAAAAAAATTATTCAAAGCATTCAAGCTGACTATGACAGGCAAATCCTTGCGTACAGCTGCCAATAACTCTACCAAGAGCATATTCATTCCGAAGGGGACGGTGGTCATCATTCCACTTGCAGCACTCAACTGTTCTGTTAGGGCCTAGTGCAAAGACGTCCCGCCAGCTCGAAAGTCCGCATATTGCCGGAGAGACCCTGCAGGGTTACCTTTATTCTATTGACATTCCGGGATGGAGCGCGGATGTGCCTAGGGAGGCTCTTTGCATTAACAGAGTTTGTTCAAGGTACGCTGTGCACTGTCAAGATTATTATTATTATTAGTTCCGGTTCGTTTTGACTTTGATCGAGTTTGGACTCGTCCTAGATTGTCCTTGTACATGTGTTTGAGATGGCGGATGGGACAACGGTGCTGATCGTAGAGTGCTTGGGGACTGTGCTGGCAAGACCGAGGGGGTGCCTCTCCGGGTGCGTCGCTATCAAGTTTGACTGCTAGTGCCAAATCGTCAATTCTGCAAGTCATCTAGATAACGATATATGAGCCTCGACCTTGTGCTCCGTTGTCAAACTCCCTGTTGCGCATTCTGCTTTGGTTTCGTTCGCAATGCGCAACTATTGTGCCCGACAAAGTATGTGGCGAGATGTGTCAATCACACCCTGGATCAACAGGGTCTTCAGGTCAAGCTCTAGGACGATAGGCATTAAAGGAAGTGGCGCGAATATCACGGACCGGTTTTGCGCGAGGGCAGCGCACGTCACAAGATTAATGACTAGGAAAAGAGTTGGGCCCCAGGTCTTTGCCACATTAATGATAGGAAGTTTCCGGATCCTAGCCTGTCGGGAGATTCAGATCTCCAAACACACTCCTGTTCATTAATGTAAATCAATTGCACTTGCACATGATTACTGTTTATCCGTAAGATCTCTGATTTCTGGCTTTCTTGTATTTACATGACACAAGGGTATCACAATTAACTGGGTTAACAAGGGGTATGCCTTCAAGTCAGTCCATCAAGAAATGACTCGATCTTAAAGTTACATAAATAAAAGTCCAGATAACTAAATAGCACGCATGTTACTGTTTAAAACAGAACATGCAAAAATGTGTGAATACGCTAGAACAAAGAAAACAGACTTTAACGTAATGAGTGGTAGACTTTCTTGCAGTCTTCTTATCCTCGACCCCATGAACCCTTTCACTGTACACGACTGACATCCTCCTCCCCAATCTGTTTTTCTTCGCTTATTTGCGATGTCGTTGCAGTGGTGTGCTGCGGCTCGCGGCTGCCGGAAGACGCTGGACTGGCGCGGCTGGCAATGTGCCTGCCTCTGGCAGACGGAGGTTGGTGTGGCCTCAACCTAATGATAGTGCTACCTACGACAACGCCCGAAGGCTCTACCCCTACTGACTAAGCTATGCAAATGGTGGCAAACACCCGCCTGTGCCACCCCCCGCTGGAGGGGTACCCCACTCCAACGCACCTGCATTGTACTCGCTACGAGGCATGACTTCATTTTCAAGAGCGACATAGTCGTATGCAAATTCGCCCATCTCCGCATCGTCGACACCGAGGATCTCGGTCTCCTCGTCGCAACGGATCCGGAGGCCGGGAATAAAGTGCATGACCCACAATATGATGGTCTATAGACGAGCAAAGAGTCAGATAAAGAAGGGCGGAGAAAGGATATGGGCATGAGACTGACAGTCATGACGAAAGAGTAAGAAAGCCCAGAGACAGAATCTGCGAGTTGGATGCCGAGTTGACGGTAGTTCTGGTCAAGCCAACCTCCAGGAATTGTAACAACGCCATCAGCACTAGCAATGCTTGCTTGAGCGAAGAGACCAGTAAGGACGTTGCCAGCAATACCGCCAATGGCATGCGATGCGAAGATCTAACATAGAATGAGCATCGATGATTCCATGCACACATGGTGTTCACATACATCAAGCGTATCATCATACTTGAAGATGAACTTGAGCTGGGTGGCAAAGTTGCAGACGGTACCAGCCATGAAGCCGAACAAAACAGCAGCCGCTAATTCACGTCTCAAAAATTTTCAACGAATTATAAAAAGTAAAACTCACGAGAACCCACGAAACCCGAACCAGGAGTGATAGCAACGAGACCCGCGATAGCCCCAGAACAGAAACTGACAACAGACCACTTGCGTTCAAGACGATAATCCCAGAGCATCCAAGTCAAACCGCCGACGCTTGCAGCAAGATTGGTAACAATGCACGCCTGGGTTGCACGCAAGTTTGCGGAGAGGGCAGAGCCGCCGTTGAAGCCGAACCATAGGAATACCATGCCCAGGATGACATAAGTTGTGTTATGAGGCTTGTAGGCGAGGCGCTCTGTGCCATATCCGCGACGTTTTCCAAGGTAGAGTGAGATGGCAAGTGCGGCAGTACCAGAAGAGATGTGCACTGGGGTACCTCCAGCGAAGTCAAGACCACCAAGGACGTACGACCAGCCTTGTGAGTTCCATGTCCAACAGGCGATGGGATCATAAACGAGTGTAGACCAAATAAAAACGAATGCCAGGAGAGGACCCAAGCGGCTGCGTTCTGCGATAGCACCAAGGGCAATCATAGGACTGGAGTTACATGAGTGTTCTGAATAAGAGACCATACTAATCATAACGTACGTGATGGCAGCGAACATAAGCTGGAAGACGCAAAATACGATGGCCGGTACTCTGGGACTACCGATAGAAGGTTGGTTTAGTACATTTCGCAAGGCAAAGTATTCTGACGAATAGCGGTTAAAAGTGGAGACTTTGAATCCTGAGGGAAAGCATACTGAGGTTGCCAATGTACTAGGGACTGGCAGTTTCGCTGAAAGCTAGAGAATAGCCCCAGAAGAACCACTACAATGTCGATGAGCACATAGAGCGTAGTTAAAATTTCATAAAGTGTGACGGACCTGGAAAAAGACCATAGCAACGGTCATCATACTGAGGTAGATCATATTGAGGACATTCTTCCTCCTGAGTAGAAGAAGCCAACCCCAGGTATCATGATCCATACTAGGGCGGTTGATGCCAATGTCCAGGCAATATCACCCATATTGAATATGGTTCCAGTAGACGAATAGAGGTCGCCGGCTGGACAGTGCTGGGTTGAGCATTTTTTAGGAGAATGACGTAGAAGACTCACAAGCATCGTAGGTAGCGTTCACCATTTTGCCCTTAATACACGTTGACGATGGGATGGGGGCTGTGACGAATTAATGTTCCTGCAAATAAAAGATGGACGTACGCTCCTTGAGGAAAACCCTGTGGGTAGAATAGATGCGGGTCACTGAACGGTATTGTACTGTCATCCTTCCCCTCGATGCAGTGTTCGCTCGACCGCTAAGCAGGGAAAAGTAGGACATGACATGTGCACCAAAATCTATTGTTTGTCTTCCTGATCACAGGAAGAGTCGGACAGGATGTGATTTGTGATGCATGTAAGTAGCAGCGATAGTGGAAACAACGCATGTACGGCTGTGTTTTATTACGAATCGGAGTATCATGGAAAACATTGTGTATTAGCGAAATTCGATTGGTACGTGAGGAAGTGACGGAATAAGCCCTGGTCAAGACACACGTATGGATGTGTAGTGCGTGCGCAACATACAAGGGTATCATAACGAAGCCTCCTGTTCCCGACACGTGTGCCAAGACGTGCCATGCGCAAGACAACTCAGATCGAATTGAGAGACACGATCGTGTATAACCAGTGCGTTTCCTGGGGCATACACCGCCGGGTGCAAAATGGGAGGGATCCAGAGAAGAAGGCGTCCGTCAGGACCTGCAACCCATCCATCCTCGTTCGCAGCAACAGAGACTGGGTTGAAGAATCCTGGAGAAAGGAGGAGGCGGAATGACTCGGAAGAGCGTAGGATGGGTTAGGTGAAAAGCATATCGCAGGGGCTTTGGAAGGGTGGGGTTGGTTGAGAAATTCTATATCCCACACACGGATGGTCTTGTCTTCTGAACCAGATACAATGCGCTTGCCATCGGGTGAGATTGGGACAGACAGAACGCGTCCGGTGTGCCCTTGGAAAGCGGGACCCACCCCCTGGCCAGTCTTCATATCCCACAGCCGCACCGTCTCGTCATCTGAACCGGAGACGATACGACGACCATCTGAGGAGATCGCAACAGTGTTAACCGAGCCAGTGTGGCCTTGGAAAGGGGTCCCCACTGCCTCGCCAGTCTTCATATCCCATACTCTGATCGTCCGGTCACCTGAGCCCGATACTATGCGAGTTCCATCCAGCGAGATTGCCACGGAACGAACCTAGTTACTGTGCCCTTGGAGGGTAACCAATGCCTTACCGGTTGCTACATCCCACACCCGGACTGTTTTGTTGTCTGAACCTGAAACGATGTGATGTCCATCCGGTGAGAATGCGACGGACCTAACATGGCCAGCGAGGCCTTGAAGAGGGGCACACAATGCCTCGCCAGTCTCCGTATCCCACACCTGGATCGTTCCATCGAATAAACCACATGCAATGTGTTTTCTGTCTGGTGACATTGCAACCGAGAAAACCCCGGTATTCGTGTGGATTATATTTTCCATCGCAGGCCAATTTTTGACGTGGCTAGCAACAATGCGGGGGGTGTGAGGAAACTTTGCAGCGAAATTGCGAAATATTCTCGACTGCGTTGGAGCGAATGGTAAAGCGGACAGGTATAAATGGGGAGTACTGTGCAGAATGGTGGTTGTGAAAGTTCGAACGAAACGCAGGGTGTCCCTGATAGCGTCACTAACACACGTAAACCCGCCATGACCCTACAACCATCCCACTACTCGTAAGAATTTGTTGGGAAAAGAATGACCTTGAGCTACGCACTGAAAACCAATCTGCAATAGATGGGAGGGATGCAAACTGCGCAGCTTGGCGAGGTATGCAGGCTGAGCTTGGTATTAATATGATGATGTTGTAGTTGTCGGGAAGCGGCCGCGGCAGGCTGAGGAGCTTGTGACAGAGATCTCAGCTGGGTCAGTATTTGACGGAGCTCATATTGAGAAACACCTGCTTCAACAAGCTTGCGCAGCTGAAGCCTGGAAAGATAGAAGAATGCACTGATGTGAGACGAGATGTACAGGGAATGCAGTGAAGACGCTGACACGCTGGTGATATGAGCGAGCGAAAAAATAGAAAGAGGGGTGGCACACTGACCAATAGCACAGCCAACGCCTCCCAGGCGCATAAGTAAAAATTAACCTAGAATAAAACATAGAATCAGCAGACGCCCGGCAATATTGATGGTACTAACTGAAGAAATAAGAAGAATAGGTAGAGCCGTGACAACACTAGCCCGGCCCCGGCCCAGTGAGGCTGGCAGTGGCAGTGGCTGAGTGCCAAGTACTGAGTGCTGAGTCAGGACAGTGGGTCCATGTTTGTACCTAGCATATCTACTTGAAGTTGAGACTTAGCCGTGAATTAAAATTGTTTGACTAGCTTTAAGCCTACTTTTGGTTCCCCGGTAACAGTCAGTCTGATTAAATCTCCATGACGGTCCCCACAGTAAGTCGTCCTTCATTGATATTGGTAATTACTAATTTTGACGCTGAAGCCACAGCCTTCTGAGCTTCTACCCATAGAAGCAATCAATGAAAACCTTCCGACCACTAAACACCGTGACATTGCCAGAGCACAGACCCTGCACAATGTATGCCTCGAACTTCAGCAAGAAAACGCAGAACTCAAACAATTGGTGGGGCGGTTGATAGCAGAGTACAATGAGTTGGCAGCAACCCTTACTAGACTTGCTGAGCGCTACCACACTGTATGTTTGATCTTTTCCTTGCATATTGTGTATATCATTAAATGCCAAATTTTGTAGTGGGTCTAGTAGTGCCTGCCTAAGGGAACAAACCGGCAGCACTGGGGGTAAATAATGGTAGCCAATATTTTAAGAAAATCCCACGTAATTGATCACGATCCTCTTCACGAGTATACATCCAGCACACCATGGGCACTTACTCAAGGATGCAGGTCTAATGCGAATCGCGGTGTTGATATATGCAGACGACGTTGGTGCCAGTACAGATGGTGGAGCCGGTACAGACGATAACGCCCCAGGAACAATCGTACTGACGTCTTGATCGCCCACTGCTTTATGGCTAGTGGGCCGAGAATCTTGAAGTCGGTAGCTGACAGTATACCTAAACACGCTTTCCTAGCTCCGGCTCCGTCGTATCTACGCCAGGAACTAGCCGTGGCGCTCGAGATCGTCGAGATGGTTGGCCGTCACCCCTCTAGGCACAATCGTTGCTGTGCGCATCTTCTCCATGTGCCCATCCTCGCCGAGAGCGAGCTGACGGTGACACGGTCTCCACTGATCTCCGTCGTCTCGACGTGGCCTGGCTTCCTCTGGGGTGTGTGCGCAAGAGGTGTGGCCTTGACGACACGAGCTACACGGTGAAGGTCGAATTTGAGCGGACCTTGAGAACAGCGATGTTGAAGCGATTGAGGTAGTGTAGGGCGAAGTCGCTGATGAATGAGCCTGCGATGATGACTTCGATGCCCGAATCGGGGATTTCTTTGAAGATCTGATTATTGAGTGATAGTTAGTAGATGTAGAAGGTAATTGGATGAAGGAGAGTATACTTTTTCAAGTTGTCTGAAACGAGTTGAAAGGGTTTGAGGGCTGCTCCTGTGTGAAAGGGGACAGTAGGCTAGACGTCGATAGATATGAGCCGCTTCATAAGAAACCATAATCAGTATGAGGAAGCGACTCACTTTCGAGTTCACCGAGGGCTTTGGCGCATGCGAGTTTGTATCCCTTGATGACTTCGCTACGGTGGAGGCCCATCACAGGAAAGTTCACTGGTTTCTTGAGTAGTTCTCCTGCGAGAATGATGACCATGTTGATAGTCACCCATCTGGATTGAAGTTAACAAGTAGATACGAAATGAGACGGAGAAGGACGTACCAAGCTCGGCTGCTGGGCGAACGACTCTGACCTCCCTGATTATGGTAGCAGCATCGGATGTTACGAAAAGTCAGCCAAGGTGATTTATTCTGCACTAACAGAGTTAGGATAGACATGTCTAAGTGCAGGACACGTACCACTAGCATTGCTCTTGAAAGACGTTGGGAGAAAAAGGACGTGCAGCATGGATTGCATAGCGGATGTGGTGAATTTTGTGAGAAGGTGAAGGGGCTGGAGGAACGTATACCTCAGGAATCGTTAGTATCTGTATCTGCCCGACTGAGTGAAGTGCGTCGCAGACACATTGGAGGTAGCAGGTGGGCAGACATTCAATTCTGCTCACGACACATAAGATCGAGGACTTAATAACCACAGAGTACGCTCCTTGTCAACTTCAAATGTTGCAATTGACTGACAGTCCATCTCCCTGTTTAGCGATATGTCAGGATTGCGCGATTATAGACTATTTACTGTGTGCGATGCCGATGCAGACAACCCATGATGCGAGTGCACATGAACTCAGTGTCGGCAGCGCCGCCGCCGCCAGGGGCTGCATACCAATGCATGGGCCATGGACATCAAGGGGGGAAGGAGCACGATGTGAATGAGGCAAGCCAGGAGAGGGAAGGAAGACGAGGAGTGGGCGTACCGAGTGTCACTGAGGTATTTGAGCGCTCAGATATGGTTTACCATCACCTCCAGTGGTGGCGGGCGGGCATAGAGGCAGCATTCCTGACAGTTGGCGGGCAGCGGGCAGCAAAGGGGCGGGATGATAATAATAACCATGAATCGCACGCTGATTCTACTCCGCCTGAATTTGCCGAGTGTGCCGAGGGGTGCCCAGACTTCTACCCAGACGTAGGCCTGAAGTCTGCATAGACTTGTGCCAAGACCGGCCAGAATCCTGACATTCACATGTGTTGTAGGGCTGCGATGATGGAAAATTGGTCATGGCAAGGGGACCGTTTTACCCCTTGCCATGACGAAGCTGCCCGCTTCTGGCAAACTTAAAATCTTTGTGCTCTCGCACACAAGCCCGTATGATTTCGAGCATTTATGACGCGCCTATCGTGCGATGCAACATACCGTCATCAGATAGTGCCAAGAGAGCTGCCGCACCGCCAACGACACAGTAAGATCGATCATGTACCAACAATTTCAGTATTTGCGAGATTTCTTCCAAGATGACTGATCGAAATTCTTGTGTGACAAATTCTCTTTCAAAAGAAGAATCCTGAATCCCTACAAGAGTGTGGAGTGCTGTTGCAGCGTTCCTTTGTGAGTCCCACTTCTGGTGGTCCAAGGCCGCCACTATGGCGCGGAATATGGCAATCTTAGTTTCTCTAATCAACTCTTTCCCGTCAGCTGCAATTTTTCTTAGCATATATCATTATGCATAGAAATGTGTGCTCACGATAGTTGGATATGATGTCCAGGAAATCAAATGCTGCATGATTCAGCGTTGGATCGCCCTTTTTGAACATAGTACAAAGGGCCGCTGTTGTGTGGGCTTTGAGGATAGTTGCCCTCAGTTCATCTATACAAGTGTTGAGATCTTGGAAGGGGAAAAGCAGCGCACAAGCTTACCGTTGTGCATGAGGCGTCCGAGCACTTCTTTACCAGGTTCATTCTCGACCGTCACATTGAACAATCCTTCCTTGACAGCGCTGATGATATAGTCATGCGCAGATGGATCAATCATAGCTGTTCTGATGTTGTCTGCATTGTGTTGAGGAAGATTCCATGATGACATCGGGTGAAAAACTGACCGTAGTCCAGGATACGAGAGAATGCGTAAGCCACAAGCAAACAGTTCTTCCGATGTTTTAAACGATTGACCAATGTCACAACGACACCTTCCTCGATTGCTTTGAGTCGTATGTATGCTGAAAAAAGCTTAGCAGCAGAAGAGATGCTATCATATAAGACACTCACGGTGCCGGAGAATTGACAACATCGCGAGAATAGCTCTACTACTTGTTTCGTGCTTTCGACTTTTCATCAGCGACACCAATTTCTCGATGAATCTTCTTTGAATCAAGTCAGTCTGAACGTCAACTGGAGGTCTGCTAGTCAGGCACTATATATGAATGCAAATGCATATATCGTACTATGGCTCGCAAGTTGGCCAAGGATTTGGATAGCAGGATCCTCAATATCAGTTAAGCGATGTTCCAACATGTCGACCAAAAGTGCGATAAAACCACATCCTGGGTCGAATAAACGATCACGGAAGGTGTCTGGATCATGCTATGAGCTCATCAGTCTCACGACAGCGACATGCGAAACTTACCGTGTCTTGCATACGCACATATAACATTGCCCACCGGTGGTGAGATGTAAAAGTCGTGTTGCTTCAAATGTTTGATAAGCGTAGGAATTAGATCTAGAACCTCAGCTTGCGCTCTTTCTGCAAGGGATTGTCAAGCATACGCCTACGTTTGAAGGAACAACCGAAAATACCGTCGTGGACAAGGGCAGCAAGTATGCGTAAGGCCGCTACCAAAATTTCTTCGTCTGCGATAGGCGTTCTCACTTTGAATGTAACAGCACGTTCAGGTCGAAAACTCACGTTGGCTGCCAAGAACATCGGTGATGCCCTTCGCGGCCTTTTCTGTCACAGCCGGTCGGTACAGGTCTGAAGATATCACAGTCACAAAGTGAATATCGTTCCGGTGGACTAAATTACGAACCATAGCTAGAAAGCAACGACAAAGTCTGTGATACATAAATTTGCACCATCAACGACTTGGTTTCGGAGACCCCTCCTAGGGCTAGTACACGCTGTAATGTTGCTTCATTCAAGATCTCATTCCCCACCGCGGCATGCTTGATTAGGGCGGGGAGGGCTCTGCAAGCTCGAATCCGATCAATATCGTCCCTGCTGTCCAGCATTTTCAACACGTCAGCAGCTGCCTTTTGGAAGTATTCTGCGTCAAGTTTGGGCACTGCAGAGAGTGAGAACACGTCTATGCAACAGGTTCACCATGACCTACATAGTTCGCTTAGTGCAACGGTAGGACTAACACATACTTTCGGATCATCGCTGTAACGGACTAGCTTATTTAACTGACTCTCCCAGCTGTCCGATTCTTTGATCGCAGCCCTTCCTTGTTCTATAAAGCCCTTAGAAGATAAATCATAACAAAGAAATGAAACACCCACCAAATGAGGCCATGAACACCAGTCGGTCAACCGCATCGAAACACTCCACTCCGTGTAACTGGATATCTCTTAGAAGCGAGGGCACGGTTGATTCATCAAAGATATCCTTCTCCCACAGCTGACCCAGTTTGGAAAGTCGTCGTTGGCTGGCTGGATCATTCCAGTACAGCAATTCTGGCCAGACGTCGAAGTCCTTCCAGAATTTGGCCTTGGCTCTATAGTTGCCTTTGAACAAGACAGAGGCGTGAATCTTCTGTCCGGGGAGAATCACCCGAGGCGCGCCACGATGGAGCCTTTAGGAGATTCTAGTGAATTCATCGGTGCGCGGCGAAAAGCTTAAAGCACGTACCCGAACGCGTGACTGTCTCGAGTGCCATAAACAACCCGCTTGACAGGAGCGAATTCGAGCAACCACCACATGCTCCTTAGTGATTCGTACATCCTCTTCTGCAGGTCATCCATCTTCCAGACAACTTCGGTGGGCTTCATCCTCAAGCCTGCCTCGACAGCCTCCTTTCGCATCCATAGCAATGGAATGTCGCCTGATTGAAGCTTCTCGTTGAGTCGATTGCCTCCGCCACTGGTAATGTCCGTTATTGAATCAGGTTTGTAGATATTTCAAGGCATTCGACATACATGTCCGAGTGGCTACCTGCAAACCAACTTCCTTGATGCGGTCGGAATGTGATCCTTGTGTTGATGCACCATGGATATACTCTGGAAGGAATTTGACTCGCCGCTCATCCAAGGCAAGGGCATGTCTGAAATAGCACATATGGTGGTCGCCGTCAGTGGTCGAAGGTAGCGTCTTGCCCCTCACAACGCCAACCGAAGATACAGTATCCCTTGAGATGAATGAATAAACCTATATCATCCATGTTCCAAAGGTGAAAGTCTTACCATACGGCGATGAAATGGATGTGGACGTGCGACCTGCAGAATGTGCTCTTGAACGTTTCAGCAAGTTCACTCGCCCAGGCATGTCTGCGCCGAGATTTTCTCTTTGAGGCATTTTCATTTATTTTCGAATATAGCTCGAATGCACTGAAGGTCGCCGAGATGAAGATAAGAAAGAAACTATGGCGCAAGATGAAACTGTGCTTACAATGGTATTTGCTCGCTGTTGCCAGGAAGAATCACATCAGGAATAGGGCTCCGTGAAAAACTACCGAGTTTTTGACGTTGGAGTTTTTGACAGGTTTTTAACGTGTTTTTAACCAGTCGATAACTCGGGGTTGATATTGGGGTGTCAAAAACTAAAATATATATGTATATGATCTCGGGAACATAGCCTATCGAATTCTCCATCCGAACATCCGAAATCACCGAAAAATCGTTAAGATATGACCGACGATCTGTCAACGTTGTCAACTACCGTCCAATTGAGCGTTCGGCTGAATCGGCTCAATGATTGCAACAAAAATTTACCTTGATGAGCTTCTTCGAGGACATTGGGCGCAACAACGCACAGTTGAGCCACCTCCGAAAGGCACTCGCACAACTTCCACATAGTATCCCCCTCGGAAACTCCAAGATTTCTTAGACCATGACAATGCAGATGTTCTCGTGGTACTGTGCAATCTAGTATCTGACTGGTGTCCGTCTTGCTTACTCACAACTCGCATTCGCAGCACTTCGCAGTGAAAATTTTCGATGTCACCGTCAATTCGATGGCGGATGAGCGTACAGCGTCAACGATAAACGATGAATTGGTCGAACTCCACGTTACGCAGCTCCCTCAAAAGTTCTACCATTGTCAGTCAGGTTCAAGTTCGGCAGTGGGCTTTGATGGATCCTGAACGTGTTCGCGCTGTCCCACTTTTTCTTCCTCCGCCTTCTCACTGTCCTGTCCCGTAGACCAAAAGGCCTCCCTCAAAACCAACAGTTAAGTTTCGTGACCTGGACAGTACTCTTTTCGATGTCGATCTCGATAGCAACGGTCAGAAAAGGAAACACGACAACTCCGAGTCGCAAGCAGAGGCTAACCCGGAGCCGCAGGACTCTAATTCAGACTCGGAGGACAATTGGTTGGAGGAGAGCGAGGACCCAGAGATTGAGCGTGATCCAATGTACAGGTCTTGTGATACGAGAGTACTTGTGGGTAGCGAGGATGCTCATCTTGATGCTCCTCGATTGTTGGACTTACTATCAGAGAAGCCGGTGGAAGGGGCAAGCAGGACACCTCAACTACAGGATAGCACAGTTCCAATGCCTCCGGGAGGGCCTGTCCAGTGGGCATTTGCATTACCGTAGCGAAAAAATGTCAAAATGACCTGAAAAAACGCATTTTTTGAGTCTGTCAAAAACTGGTCAAAAACTAGTTTTTAACTCGTGTCAAAAACCCCTCGAGGGTGGGGGTGAGTTAAAAACTCGTCGTTAACTCCGTGGGTGATTTTTCACGGAGCCCTAATCAGGAAACCGGCGAGAAAAAGGTTTTTATAGGTGCCCACGTCTCTATAGTAGCAAGAACCCAAAGCAAACTCGACGATGCTTTAAAAGAGCTTGAGGTTCGTGACCGAGATGAAACCCTCTGTTCGTTCTGAATGTCGTACATAGGCCAATCGCCAAAGCCCAGATCAAGTTTTCAAAGCCTTTTCCTTCTCCCTCGACACCGCAAAGGAGTCTGCTGCTGCTCTCCAAGCTGCTAGCGATGCCCACGGCGGCAAAGTCCCAGATGCAGTTTTCGCATGTGCAGGTGCTGCGAAACCTATGTACCTCCTCGAAATGCAGCCAGAAGACCTCTCAAGTGGAATGACGAATGGGTACTGGATACAGGCATGGACTGCATTCGTGAGTCGATTGTTCAACTCTTTCAGATCATGGACAAGAACATGACGTTTAGCGAACAATGAACAGGCTGCTGCTAAACAAATGGTGCGCGAGAATAAGAAGGGGAAGATCATGCTGGTGTCTTCGACGCTTGGATATATGTCTTTGATTGGATATTCGTCGTATTCGCCTGCAAAGCACGCTCTGCGTGGTAAGTAATGGCTGTCTGCTTTGCTCTGGGGTGATGCTGATGACACGCTTGGTAGGACTGGCTGATTCGTTGCATTCAGAACTAATGTTGTATGGTATCGATACTCATATCCTCTTCCCTCCGACAATGTATACCCCTGGGTTTGAAGAAGAAAACAAGACGAAGCCGGCTATTACTAGAAGGATTGAGTCGGCGGATGAAGGTCTGACAGCGGAGCAGGCTGCTGCTGGATTACTCTCAGGTATGTCGTCTCGTCAGACTACAGCTACAACTTTAACCCAACCTTTGGCCTGGTTAGGTGTCGAGAAAGGTCATGCACGCAGCACACATCACCGCTGATCTCATTACGAGCTTGTTCCGAGCTTCAACGCGTGGTTGTGCACCTAGAAGCAACGCTGCTCTCGATTTCGTGTTGGATTTGGTTGCTCTTGTATGTCCCTACCTTATCATGATAAGTTTGAACTCGTGATTAACGCTTGACTGTAGGTTGGCATACCGATTTGGAGACGCTCGGTTGACAAGCAAGTGCTTGCACATCGCGCTGAACATAGGGAGTACTTGAGGACAAAGGGATTGGTTGACTGAGGCTGGAGTGTTGAGTTTGCAGATATACCCCATAGCTTTGCTTTCGTATTGCCATCGACTGCGTAGGATGCAACGTTCATCTCTGCAGTCACGTGCTTGATATTCTTATGAGATGACCACCACCAGGTTTGGTCGAGAACTTTGTAGCTAAACGTTAAAGCTCTAACACAGGTCCATTCTAGTGCCAAACTTTTAAAGCTCGCACTTCCGCTCGTCAAAAACCATGGATTCACCCAAGAAGTGCTGTCCTTGTCGGCGTTGTCCCTACCCACACCACTAGCTAATCCTCTCCCAGACGCGAGCGTGACTGCGCTGTTTGGCCCAGGAGACGATGCATGTAGGACGCTCGTGCATGCGTGGCTTGATGATGCAAGGCGTAGGATGAAGGAAGAGTCGACAGAAAAGATGGGAATGGGAGATGTGTTGAAGGCAAGGCTGAAGAGCAACGAACCGGTGCTGGAGCACCTTCCAGAGGTAATTGATATTTATTCGTTAAAAATTATCTAGTTGATGGTTGTCACGCAAATTACTTATGCTTGGTGTTTTAGGCATTTGCACTCCTCGCTTCCTCACCCTTATTACCTCTACTTCTGCTCCCGGTGGACCCTGCGCCGATAATCAAACATACTGCTCAAGTATCTAACCAGGCGTGCTGGATCGCTCATGGCGATGTGCAAGAGGTTTGACACTTCTTTTCGCATGTGTTTAACTAATCTATAACTAATTCCACTCCCACCAGTCATCTTGGTACACCCGCCGAGCAACCATCTCCGCCATCTACCTCGCCGCTGAACTTCACCAACTGACTTCCCCAAAGACAGCACCGGCATTCTTGGATTTGCTCCTGGAGAATGCTGAGCATGCAGGAAAGGCTTTGGACGAGACGGCTTTTTTTTGCGAGTTATGTTTGGAAGAGCTGGAGAGGGATTGTAAGGAGTTCTGGGGTGTTGGTTTGATCCTGAGGGGTGCGGGGTGTCGTTCACACGCGAGATATATGCATACTCGTTAGTTTCTAAAACTACATTTTCGAAGTTGATGCGTGATGCAAATGTCAGGTCTAGTACTGACCAAAGTTACCATATGTGCACGACTTCACGGCGGATAATGCTCAGATAAATGAGGGTAAAGTGGAGTGCGCACATGGCATCGACACCATATTGGAAATCGCTCCGTCCTTAGTCTTACAATATGTAGATGGGAATATCAATGGCTTACCGATTTACTGATGTTTGCAATGCCACCGAGAGCACCAAAGCAGAGAATAGTCGCTACAGCATTGCTTGAGAACTTAAAGCTTAAAGTACAAAGGAAAATAAAAATTTCTTTGATGCTGTAGCTGTGAGAGATGGAATCTGCGGAGCAAGGTTCAATGTGATGTGATGGCCACAGTAACATCAGATTGAAGCGCAGCCCTGGCCAATGACAGATCAATGCATAGCTGACCATAGCCATGATATGATGGCATAGTACAATGTATCAACACATAGCCTACATCAGATTGAAGCACAGCCCTGGCCAATGTCATTGGCCAGGGCTGTGCTTCAATCTGATGTAGGCTATGTGTTGATACATTGTACTATGCCATCATATCATGGCTATGGTCAGCTATGCATTGATCTGATGTGCTGGCACTGCCAGGCTATGCATTGATCTGATGTATGCATGTGGCTGTGTTTAGTAACATGTTGATCTGAGATTCAAGTTAGTAGTATGGGCTATGTCAGGCTATGTGTTGATATGCTATCTGCACAGTATATAAAGAGATGTGAGCAGCAGATATTGGCCAACAACTTCAAGCATATCATTCTTCTAGCTTACTCAGGCTGCTATACAATGTCCCACCTCACATCTCTTACTGATGTCTATCTCCATGATGAGGACCATTCCTATGCTATTCAAGAGCCCTTTGTATCTACCTTTGGGAACCTGCTATCCATTAATACTAGGTTGCTCAGGAATACTGAACAGACAATTCTAGATAAGCTAGTTGAGGACCTCAAGTCCAATACTAGCTATGCCAACTGGGTTTGATTCTATTCTATATTTTTATATCATACTAATCAGTGCTTTAATTTAATAGCATTCTGTTGTCTATAACTGGACCCAAGTGACCATTGGCATGCACTTGCCCTTGCATGAGTCTCTCAGTCTTTTTGTCTCTGTGCTTTGGAAAAAAACTAAAGGAGCTTCAAACCAGGAGCAAAGTAACTATGAAGTTCAGGAGATGCTTAAAGATGCTAAGCAACAAGCTTTGAGCACTGTAAGTTTTGAACACCAGTATAATTAAATGAGATATCACTCATAATTTTCATTAGCTCAAACCTCTTTCAAGAGTCACTTGGCAACTGAATTTGAATGACATGGCCTCAGACTCAGAGGATGAGTCAGAATCAGAATCAGATTTCTCTGAGGAAGAGATTCTGAAGACAAAGTCCAGAACTTCAAGTAAGTTTAATCCTTCTACAATGATACATTATTATATTAATATATATAAAAGACTATTCTGAGAACCAAGCTTTATCCATTTGTCAAAGATGGAAGAATGATCTTAAAGCTTACTTTATAGCCTCAAACATCCCTGTAAGTTGTATATTTCTTTGTATTTCATAAACATTAATATTGTTCTAGCACACTCAGCTAGTGATGACTGAGGAACAGATCATTGAAGTGATTCAGGCCTGTCATAAAATAGGTTCAAAAACTTATAAGAGTACACACTGGTTAAATGCTGTGAAGGTCAGTGATATAGTAAGACTATATTATTTACATTACTGATCCACTATGTTTATAGGAATCTGGTCTTCTTGATATGGTGGCCTTCATTTGCAAACCTGATACCTCCCTAGAGTTATCATCAGATCACCTTGCTACTAGTTTTAGACAACATCAGTGGAAGAATAAATTTGGTCTTGTATTTGGTCTATGGTCACTTGGGCTTCCCACTAGCAGTACTGCATCTCAGGTAAGCATAGTTCCAGATATTCTGATCATACTGCTATATTCATGAAATACACTTCAAGGCATCACTGGAGCTTCATACTATTGTCAAACCCATGCTTGACAAAGGATCCAACAAAAAGGCTAAGAAATTTCCATTAGGACAGGCCTTTATCCAAGCACTAGATGAACTTGACAATACCCATTGTTTAATTCCTACTGCTTCTCAGCCACTTGCAGCAGGCTTTCTGAATAATGAAGAGTCATTTATTCAAGCCTATCACTCTTGGTTATACCCCTCCATAATTGCTCGTGGCTATTCTGTAAGCCTTTATTTGATTTATACATGACATTCTCCTTAGCTAATGAATTTTTTCATAGGTGAAGCATGAGCCTAAAGAGTTATATTCTCTTATCAGCTCACAGGTTCTAAATCGAGACACATTTGCAAAGTCCAAGATTTCTTTGAAATCTTGGAGACTCACCTGCATCATAAATGAAGTCATTGAATATCGAGAACATATCAAAAGGGTCAGGAAGGAAGTATTTTGGATTAATAAAGCTCAAGAAACCTTGAAAGTACAGCAACCTCTTACTGACAGTGGACAACAAGGTATAGTTAATCTTACATTCTAGTATTGTTGTATGCTAATTATTATAAAAGATGATAGGGATCACTCACGCTCTTGTATAACCTGCCTTAATCTTCCTAACCAAGACAAGTGCTTGCAGAAGATGGAAGTTGAAAGACGATCAGATGCTCATAAATTCCAAGGATCTGTCATAACCTGTGCAGATGTTGATGACTATCCTCTACCCAAGGTATATAGCACAACTAAATCTTAGGGCTCATCAAAACTTACACAATGTTGATAGACTGGCAGGAGCAGCAAGATTACTACTAAGCCAGTATGCTATCACCCAAATAGCCTAGGTTTGACAGAAGTCAGTGCAAGTTCTGACATCATTGGAAGATGTGGGCGCCATGCTGTTCGCTTTATTGACAAGCAAACCAAAAATTGTGTAAGCCTTTACTTGTATCTTTTTCATGTATTCTCAACTAATATCACTGTAGGTTGGTGGTGTTATCTTTTCTGCCATGAAACCCGGCACGCTTCAACAAATGAAAGACAACCATGGCAGCATCATCAACCATCCAAGTGTCAAACGTGGTGCTGCATTTCAGGCCTATAACTATGGAAAGATGATCCCATATGGCGCACGTCAGCCCCAAGGTGGCCGTAGAGGCGATTGCTACACCACCTATCCTATGTTACGTGGTGACACTCAAGAAGATATCAAGGCAATTTTCAGGCATATCAAGGTACTTTCACACTTTCCCATGTTATAATTCACTCACAGTATGATTCTAGGATGCAGAAACTCTCCTCCGTACCATTTCATACGCTGCTCCTCTTGTTGTCAAAGATCTCCAAAATGTGACATCAGAGGCAAAAGCGCACCGCCTTGGGTCCACCGGATGTGTTACATTTTATTGCCGTAACTACGTTGCGCCACAGCACAAAGACCACGATGTCTCGTGGACCATTAGCACCCAGCTTGAGAGGAGAGGTAGAGATGATGAATGGAATTTTTCATTTACAGAGTGGGGGGTCTACATTCGCAACGTGGACAATACTACCTGGTGTGTGATTTTCGATAGTAATTCTCTCTCATCGCTAATAGTTACAAGGTGGTTTGATTCTTCTGACGTCCACGGAACTATCATGCCGGGTAACCGTGTACTTCAATCACAAGGTGAATGCCTCTCAATCGGCATTACCATGACAGCGAGGAAAAAGGACCAACAACAGGCTACTAAGATTCGGGATATGCACCAGAGGGCTCAGAAACTCACATTCGCTAGTCCATTTGGGGCTGCGGGAGTTTGAGCACCTCTTTCGAAATTTGGGGTCGATGAAGCACCTTCATGATCGACGTTCGGGAGCACAGGGTCACGGAATACTTCGAGCGCCGTTGTACAATCTCAGCCTTGTTGATATAACTCAGTACGCTCGGATAGAATGTACTCCTTGACATCGATGCAGTTTAGGTCGTCGCACATGTCTCTGAAAACTCTGCAGAAGGCTTTCAGTTTGCGAAGGTCAGTGTGATAGCGACACGTCGATAAAGTTAGTTGTCGAACTTCATAACGTGGGCACAAGGGGATGGCAGGGTGAATGTCATATTCGATTGATGCAAGGGCACGCTACCGCAGACCTAAATTACATGTAAACGAAGGTGACTGCAACAGGAACGACTCGTCCTCGTCCCTGTACCACAAATGATGCTTATCACTGAGAACGAACATATCATCAGCCCTCCTGCACTTCAACTAGAAGCAAGAGTGCAAGACCACCAACTCACCTCGAACGTCAACGGCTTGCACAGCCTGTCGTTTCGGTTGACGTGCCGTTTGCCCAATATGTCCGATGACAGCCGGATGCCATTGACAAAGGTCCTGACATCAAGCAAGCGAGAGGATGAAGGGCTTTCTGCAAGAACAAGGTCAGAGCATATTGAGGACCGTGCACAAAGACACGTGCAGATAACACATGCCTGTCAACAAACTCGACGCTGACGCCGAATGCACCGCTAAGGCTTTCAAGAGTGAGGCTGCGGTAGGACTCGAGAAGTTGGCTGTATGCCAAAATGCGCATCTCTCGTACATAGTAGCGGGTATGAGGCGAGAGGAGTCGCAAGGGCAGGAGATGCGTCTGCTCGAGGGTCGCTATGGGCATGGACACGACATGTCAGTCATTATAAATCACATCAGACAAACAGGGGCCTCGGAAGTGGATTGTGGGCGCGAAGAAACGTACCAAAGTCGTAAAGGTTGTCTAAGAGGTCTCCAAGGATCGGGACTTCGGGCAAAACAGATAACTTCTGGTGCGGTAATGAGCTACAGGAAATATTATCAGCGGCGGAAGATACCAGTTAGGAAAACGAGCACACCCGTTTCTTGAGATCTACTCGTTTGAGGGTGAGGGGATGATGGTGAGAGTGACGAAGTCGTTGTAGGTTGTGAGTTCAGTGGCAGTGAATGTCGATAGAGCGTCAAGGAGACGTACACCACCAGTCATAAACTGGCGGATGGCTAATTCGAGTAACGCAGAATGAGGCATACCCGCAGAAGTTACTAACTTATAATACGGCGCCAATTCTGCACACACCACCGATCTGGTCAATGCAAGTCAAGGTACCGAGATGATCTAATTACATACCGTGTGCCTTAATTCCTTCGAGTCACTGTTTTCTTGCACGAGTGAACAGGTGCTGCGGGAGGCCGAGATCTGGTGTGGAGACCCGCCGAATTACGGCGTGAAACACTTAGACGGTTCGGACGAGAAGTAACGTTGCTGGAGAGTTGGGGCAATAAGAGTGAACACGTGCTGCGGGAGGCTGAGATTTGGTCCACGCCGAATTTCGGCGTGAAGCAATAAGACGGTTGGACGAGAAGGAACGAGACAAGATCGAAGAGCAATGTGAGTAGCCAAGAGACCCGAGTCCGGTGCGGTAGTTACTGGTAATAGTATGGAAGGAAAACTGAACAGTCACGTGGTTCGATTTTGTAAGCAGTATGGCGTCTCTGATCCGAAGTCTTTGAAGTGTCTTTGAAGTGTCTCTGGAGTCAATCGTTCCAGTTCATCCGACCGACGTTCGTCGTCCCAACAGCATCACCGTCCAGTCCGAAAATACCGTTTACACCGACAATCATATCACCGCCAAGTACCTCAACCGCGGTGCTGATGTCGTGGTCTCAGATGGCCAGTTCACTATTTTGCCTACTGTCAAGCCTTATGAGTTCCAAACAACCCGCAAGGTTGGCAAGACTGGGTATGTCATCTATAAGTTTCGAAATGTACTATCATCTGACATGCACGCGCGATGGCAGACTCCACTCTCTGCGTGACCATCATCGCAAACAGGCACCAGATGTCCTGGAACACCAAGGAGGGAACCAGCAGCCCAACTACATTGGCTCTGTCCTCCATGCGTCCCCTGTTCGCATTAGCACTGAGCCGGGCACAGGTAAGGAAGTCCATGTCCCATCTCTGACGTGCTTCCAATGGTACACCCCAATGACCTTGTTCTTGGTGGCTGGGACATTTCCAGTCTGCCCATGGACAAGGCGATGGAACGTGCCAAGGTGCTCGACTACGATCTTCAGCGCTAGGTCAAGCCGCATATGGCCCTCCTTGGTCGTTCTCTTCCTTCCATCTACTATCCCGATTTCATTGCTGCCAACCATGAAGCGCTGATTTGCCGTTTTAGGCCGAGAACCAGCTTGATCGTGTCGTCGTTTTCTGGACTGCGAACACGGAATGCTACAGTGACATCATCCCCGGTGTTAACGACACGCCTGACAATGTCCTTGCTACGATCAAGACCATCCTTACTGAGCTGCTTACTCGAGTCAAATACCGCGGGGAGGGCCAGACTGATTTTGCGCCTCTCCACGCCGTCTTGTCACTCCTTTCATACATGTTCAAGGCGCCTCTCGTCAAACCTGGTCAGTACTGTTTTGGCTTATAGCCCATCATCACGCTAATGTACGCTCCCAGGTACCGACGTTGTCAACAGCCTCGGCAGGCAGCGTAACGCGCTTGAGAGCTTCCTGAAAGCCTGCTTTGGTCTCCAGGGCAACAGCGACCTTCTCTTGGAGACTCGCATCTGGTAAATGCCCACAATTTTTCTTTGCTATCATTGAGCAGTACGCCTGGTTTCAACTTGGCGTCACCGTCGGCCCCGAGCTTTCCCCGAACAATTCCACTCTTACTCCCACTCCTTCACCGGATGCCGGAGGCACAGGCCAGAGCGAAGCCTTCGACGCGTTTCTATGTAGCAGTCTAGTCGAACTCACGCAAGAACTCGAGCACGAAATCCACGCACACATCCTCCCCTCTCTCCAATCCTTGAAACCCTCATCGGTTGCCCCACTCAAGCTCCTCAGCGCGCTGCACACTCTGCATCCACTACACATGCACCTTCTGCACCTCCCGATCACGTGGCTCGCAGAGACAACCGAGCTTAAAGTGTAAGCTCACAGACACATTCCGACAGCCATAGCACAGAAGGCGGTCGAGTTCTGTCAAGAGCCTCGGAGCTCCGAGCTCAGTGGCCAAGTTATCATACCGCAGATAGTGTGCTGCCTGCATACCAAATGCCAACCACGCCTACCCGGACCAGCTCGCCGCATACCCCCACTCGACGCACCACTGACTTGCAAGGGCTGCGCGCGCTCTACCAATGTGCTGCCATACATATGTGTATTCCACCTGCTGGAGTGTCGTATCGTGGTCTACCGTTCCTCGAGTTGCGATCTGGAGACACGTTCGATGTGCTCAGGGAGTGTGGACATCCAAGCACACATCCTGATTTACCGTTATAGTGGACGATGGGGAGGCTATGGGTGTTGGGACTTGGCGGACGGTCGCTTTTTCCCCTTTGGCATTTGATATCAATCTGAATCTAAGGTTTCGAGGTGATTGTTTCCGGTTGTACTTTCTGTTCACACATCTTTACCCACTTCATCTGCATCCATCTTATGTAGTAGTACATCCGCATGCGCATCAACGATCCCTGTAGCATACACATACATACTTGTATTGGGTTTTCTGTAGATGTTACATACATGCTTATGTAATCGAGGAGGACAGTTCCAAGTGCCTACCCAACGGTGAATTGCCACTTGATGTCGTGGAACAGCCGTCTGTCAAATTGCCTCTGTGCTCTCCAAGCAGTTTCAGCATGATCATTGCAGGACTCACAGTCTCGATCCACCCCAGTGTCACTCACGACGACATTTGAAGTTTAACGTTCAGCGCTCAGCCTCGGCGCGAGCTCAGCAAAAACATTTTGGATCTCATCAATAATGCGCCATATCCTTCCTGCGATCACCGCAATCAAGCCGCAACGGAATGATATATTAAGCGCTCGTCGACATCATCCACAACTCGACAGTCTTGAGCATGGCGGACAGCGTAATGTGAGGCCAGGCGTGAGCGTTGTGATTCAGATACAGAGTGGAGATGGTGGAAGTTGTTGTCACCGTGAGCCTTCAAAACTTCATGTGTAGCTAACTGTTTCGTTCCAGCAATGGCATTATAATTTATGCGAACATGGTATAACAAGGGCTGCGCTCACAGTTGACCCCAAGAGCGACCGTCTTCAACTCTTCAAGCCTTTCACGCCTTTCGATGGCAAGACCTTCGTGAGCACGCTGCCCTTGATTGAGCCCCGCTACCTTGGTGGTCGGTCTTTCGCTCGTATCCACGGGATGAACTTGAAGAAGCAGGGCATGCTTGGTCTCACTTTCGCTAAAGGACTCTACGATAAGATTTGCTGGTATTAAGTAGAGTCTCCTACTGCTCAGGAAAACACGACGACTCGATCAACGGTAGACATGCTGCCCAGGTATAGTAAAGACTGATGTACTACTAATTGACCTTGGTCCAGGTCGCATTCACTCCCTTCGTCACTCATTGCAACGTCGTCGTCTGCCGCCGCGTTCAGCTATATCATCTGAATTCCAACTCATACTCTCGCAACCGTCCCTGGTGTTTCCATAACACTTTCAATCATCCTTCCGGCCCCATGGCACTGTCAGCTCAATCATACTCATATATAATCGTTTAGCTTTTTTTGTTTGCATCGTTTTCACCGGTTTGTATTTACTTTACAAAATAAACTCGATTCTTCATTTTGCCTTCGTGTGCTAAACGAGTCGTACCGTCCAGGAGTAGCAAACATTACAGAACGCTCAGAGTCTCGTATAACCTTGGCGTGCCACGTTCGCTGATGTGCCCACGCGCAGGTTCTCCCGCTAATTCTACTCGGACATCTTTGGTCTCAGCGCTTACTCTAATCATACCAGCGTCTATCGTGCCCAACAACTACACGTGCAGTCATCCCCTAAACCCTCATCTTCCTCTCACCCTCTCAGCCAAACTTCATCTACAGTCCACATATCCCTACCACCTTCTCCTACCGCTCATTCCACCCACCACTAAGCCCAGCATCGATCCTCATCATTTTATTCCATTGTTCCATCATGCCCAGTAGCGCAGAACTCCAATCCATAAGACTTGAAGGTAGGTCACTCTGTATCACCTTCGTATCTCTTTTGTGATCCTCCTGCTCTATCTACAGTTATCAGCGCGAAAAATTTCAAAGTCCCCTCCTCGCGCATACCTGCAGGTATTTACGCGTCCATCAATATCAATAGTGAACCACATCGACGGTGCGTCCTTTGCAAACACCGCGCGCGTATACCACTCATAATGATAATTTTCAATTTCTCTTATTTTTCAGATTTCTGCTTGTGGCACCTTTCATCCCCAACTCCGCTATCGTCGATACTGAGCAGGAGGACGTTGCATGGTGCACTTGCCTCTTTATTATACTATGGAATATGGAGGAGAGATGGAACAGGGCATAGTTAATTCACGGTATGATGATATGCAATATCAGCCCTCTAAAGCTGCAAGCCTCGCGCGAAGTTGCTCGATTTCGGTGTCCTAGTGAAATAGTACCACCGTCAACAAACGAAGATCACGTTTGCTGAGAATAACCCACTTTTTCTCGGCGAACTCGTTCGATTTCAGCCTGCGCGCAAATCTACGAAGACAAGTACAGATCAACAAACAAAGACCATGGTTTTTTTGCTACGAATAATGCAACTCTGTTTGGCGAAGTCGTTCTATTTCGGCACCTTCACATTCGTGTGGCATGGTGTAACCCAACACAATCATGTGATATATGAGTCACGTGCCAGCCGATGATCTTGAACTCGAGTCTCTGTCTACCTTTTTGTTTAACTCGGTGTAGAACGGTTCAACCTGGTTGGGAAGTCCTAGTATTATCCGCATCTCTCAACTAGGGAATATCATACCTCACCCCTTCCCACCAAAAAATTCTGCCATTGAGGCCAAATTTACCATAGGGCAAATCCCACTACCGCCATAGCGAGAATTATTCAGAAACAAACAAGCTCATGCGTTTTCAGGTGTTAGTGCCCAACAAACTGGAAGAACTATCCCCAACCATCCGGCGGGCTTGGGCTGCAGCAACCTCACTCTCCCAGGCTGTCTCTGAAGGGGGATGCCCTCTTGCTGCAAGCTGAACGCATCGATGTTGCACCTAAAAAAATCCCCGACTCCGCTCAAAGACACTGAGACGAGATATGAATGTCACGTAGCGCCTCCGTTTGCGGTCATCAATGCAGGTCCTAAATGCACAAAAGCTCATATCGAACAAATTACACTTGAACATTATCCGCCACAAACAAGCGAGTCTGTGGAACTTACACAACGACTTACGCTCTTGTGCGATACTTGGGCCCTTTTCAAGGCTGCGAGGGCTTGGGAGCTAGAAAAGAGGGGGAAGAGGAAGAAAGACCAAGACGACGAGGACATCGAGAGACTTTCTCGCGGAAGTAAACGCTCCATGCGGTCGCAACAGCACTCTACACGTGGTCATACCCCAAAGTCTGATCAACCCAAAGATCAGCCTCTACCGGGTAGTTGCAAGCGCAAATTGTCACCCGGTTTAAGTGGAGTCACTCTCGCCAGTCGTGCAGTCTTACACCTGAAAAAGCGACTGAGGACAGTCGACTTGAAAACGAGAGTCAGAGACTGGGTTGAGGAATCAACCCGAGCATCTCTAGACCCAGATCCTTAAATTGTCCTGTGCTCGCAGCTACTAAGTCATACATCGATGTGAATCATTGGTAGCCAATCCCACTTCTATCCTCCCCCGTCAGCCACCCGTCAATGGTGTCAACGTCATGGTGAATGGCAACGGATATCTTTCAATGAACGGTGACTCGCATGTCAAGTCTGAGGAACCGTCCAAGAACTGCAGCAGACGAATGGGACTTACTACTCCGGCCGATATCGACAAGTTTGACCACGACTCCATTCGCCGGGTAAGAATTGTACCGCAATTATTTTCTCAAGCAGCTCACACGTACGGTTAGGCTCAAGCGAAAACAAACCTAATCTCTCGACTATTATTAACAGTCCTGTGAGAAGCGAGGGCAGCCTATCCATTCGACGGACGTAAGGAATGAATGTACTAGGATAGCGCCCGATGGACCAACCTTGGCCTTTGAGAGGTTTCCAGTGCCAGGGTAGACGCGGCTCTCGAGCAGGTGTACTTCGGTAAGAATCATCTTGCCATCTAGCTTTTTTAACTCTGTCAAGAGTGTGTCGATACGCGACAAAGCTAGCTCGTACTGCAGTGCTTCAAATTGCCTGCACCAATAATCAGCATCGTCGTAAGAAGTAGCAGTATTCTTACAGGGAAACGAGATTAATTTCTAAGTTTTGTTTGACGAATATGCGCTTTGATCGCTCGATGTGGTCGGTTAGGACGTCGAGTTGAGTTTGCCGGCTGTTAGGGACATTAATCAAGTATGGCAAGTCGAGAACAGAGGGGCGCTCACTCAGCATGGCGGTCTTTGCCTTGGCATCACCAAAACTTCAAAACCTAGAGATGAGAAGATAAGGTCACGTACTAGCAGTTACAACAGGCCCGGCAGGTACCAGCAGCTCCAGATACGTTTGACAAAGACGCCTTGTCCTCTGAGGCAGACGTCCCCCGTCGTCGTAGCACACTACTCGTGGAATCAGTGGCTTCATCCGCTCGCCTTCTGTCAAAGTCTGCAACGAGCTGAGCAAATGACAGAAATAGAACCTCGGCTTGGGCAAGAGTAGAATCGAGTTCAATGGTCATGCTGAGCTCGTTGCAATACTAAAAGAAATTAGACTCAGTTTTCGGCAAGGCTAATGAACTTCAGACTTCACCTTCAAAATCAAAATCTCGTCGAACTGATCGAATACCTTGTTAGAGAGGAGATTCCATGGCAGGTAATTAGGGTACACGCCTCTACAAGATACCGGAGGATCATATCCCGATGGGACTCTAATACCGCCAAAGCGACGAAGAGAACAAATTCATTGCTGTAATAGTTCGTCCACAACACTCCCCATAGACACAGAACATCGTCAAAAGAGAATTCGCGTTTGAAAGTGATGAGAACCCATCTGGGACAGACAGCGTCAAGAATGCCTTGTCAGTATGTTTCAAGACTTACCGGAAGCAGAAGAACAAATTGAGACCGTCAGTTTTTTCTGCAGCAGACAAGATCAGATAGCTATTTAGGCAGAGAAAGGGTTTAAGAATGACCTAAATGTCGATATAGATCAGGATCCATGACACTGATCAGTTCTTGGAGCGTCGAGAGCTGCTTCTTCATTCCGCTCTGATCGCGAAGGAGATTTTGAATCTGTTGTAAAAGTCAGAGGCAGAATCATCATTCGGTTTCACATATACTCACCATACAATTCATTACCTCCGCAAAGCACCAGAAGGTCAACTCCTCGTCGGAACCCATCACAACATACAAAGGAGCGCAAAGGTCCGACATGCCCTGTACGTACCCTGTTCTCTCTTATTGAATACCGCACATGAATGTAGTAAACCAAATCCGCTCACCAAGCTCTTTGTTGTAAAAATTGTACGTGGGGAGAATGCCTGCGAGACGACCGATGTGTTCATTACTGGGAGATTGCGCACCGATATCCGACATTTGAGGAGAGATCGTAGTATACCGGCGGTTCCCATTTAGGCCGTTGTCAGCGGTATCCTCATAAGCACTGGAGAACAGTGGCTGAGTGCGGTCCGTGCGACGACAATCCACATCAATGCGGTAACGTTCTTCGAGGACATCCGGTCTGACAAAGACCTTAGGCACGCCACACCACTCATCTTTGATCTCATTATATCGCTTTCTACAGAATGGGTCAGAAGATATAGATCTGGTGGAGAATGCAACATTACCTCTTCTCCTCCCACTTCATTTCCCTCTCACTCTCAGTGATGTCCCATTCTTGGACACCAAGTATGAAGGGCCACATTTTCTTCCTCAGGCTTCCATGAGGAGTGATGCCTCTCCTAAAAACCTGGCGCCTCATCTCTTCAAGTCTGACTTTCGGTCGTCCATCATTATCAAACCACTTCGCCCAAAGCGCCTCGTCTATTGGGTGTGCCGGGTCTCGAGACCTTTTGGGAGAGGGAAGGTTGATCGTAGAGTGAAGAAGCTCGAACACGCCCAACGGGGATATCTCTTCAACCACATTCGAGGAGGAAGAGGGCAATGCCTGAGCCTCTCGTTTACGCGCTCGGTCGCCTTCTTCAGCCACTATGCAGGCCCAGCGAGCAAGATATACCCTCGCACTCTCAAACTCACCAACGCCCCCTTTCTCCACCCAACTGACCACTCCAAGTCGCCATTAACATTGACCAGACTCCTGACAGGGTCTGGGAGATGCGGGACGATTAGCTTAGCGAGAGGATGAGGAAGAATATTTTGCGCGGCGTGGCGCGTGGCTCTAGTGATATTTGAAAGCAGCGCCATCCGTGCTTGTGAGCTAGTCTGTGTGGTCGAGATGGAGGGCGGGTAAAGAGAGCGATGTAAAGCGGATGAATGAGTGGAATATGGGTTGGGAGGGTTTGCAGGAACACTAGATAATGGACATGGTCGCCTGTGAGCAGGTATAGGTGAGTGCGAAGAAGCATACGATGATTGCGCAAGGATATCATCCACAGCATCGTCATCGAATATCCGAGTGGTGTGCGTGTCTATGTCGGCTTTAGATGGATCGACGATGAATAAGGAAGGCTGTAATGTGGAGCGGAGTAGGTGGGCATAAGATCTTAGACGAGAGAGTAAATCCTCCCCTCCCCATGAAGTAGAGGGTCGAGAAGATGATGGTAATGATGTAGGAGAGTATGCACTAGTGGCGTTGTGCCTACAGATTAATATTAGCAACATTCGCCAGACAGGTTTACTTAGCTCACCTCCCACACCATAACACCAGCATCTGAAAATTATGGTTAGCCCTGCTCATGAATACACAGGATATTAGACGCACCCCATCCTTGCTTGTAAGCTTGGTCTACACACTGGGCGAGTAGGGTGGTGCTCATATAGCCATTGCTCGCATCCGCGGTGGTGGCTGGCTTGCAGATCACCAACTTGTCTAAAGATACTCCTGCTGCAGCAATCTGGAAGACTGAAGTCTTCGGCCACGTCGAAGACAATTTCGTAAGGAGGCCAGAACACGTTGTGTACTCAGTCGTGCCCTCTGGAATAGCTGGTCAATGACGAGCAAAGATAAGTGACTGCATGGCTCACGATTGTAGAACTATATGAAACCGGGAAAGGTGTATTGGTATCATGAAATTACCCTTTTTCAAAAAAAAATACTTGCTTGAACGTTGTACTGTAGGGTAGCGAATGAGCTCGCAATAATTTACAGCGATTTTCGCACCTACCCAATCAATTAACGATCCAATATTCTTGTTGACCGTCAAATAAGCTCCACTAGAGTACGTTGAGGAGAACCTATAAACAGGGATATTCAACTCGGCGGCGGGTCGCATGAATGCGATTGGGCTAATTACCATGGAGCAACAGCTAGATAAAGGTCGAGAAGTCAGCCAGGTCCAATCACTGGATTTTAAGGCAGACTCACGTGCGTGCGTTAAAATGTATTGACCTGCAGCGTGTTGTCAGTACATCCCCATCGCTCATAATAGAACTAGTAAACATGCCTTGCGGAAGCTTTGCACGAAGAGCTTTGGTGAAAGTGGTCAGCCATTTTTCTGCTGATCCATTCTCGGCATTCATGGCATTGAAGTCCTGTTGCAAAGGCAGGGTTCAGATGTGGACTGAATAGACGCGTTGTCGGTCGGACGGCTGCAGACAACATGAAAGACTTAGAGCCAGAGACTCGAAGTCTAGACAACTGTTCGAGTTCGGGAGCAATCGAGACGATCAACCATTGGGTCAACCCAACAGTCCAACCAATACGATGGCTGGACGCACGCGGCGTCGTGCCAGGCCAGTTGGCTAATAACTTGTAAATATGTACGGTAGACAACAACCCAGCTTTGCGTACTCTTTGCCTAACACAACTTGGCACTAACAGACAGTTCGGTCCCATAAAGTTTGAAAACCTTGTGGAGAAACTCAGTCACTGTTCCTGTTCGACAACTGTTCGATATCATAATTACATCGTTTGATCGAGGTACCTGATTTGCGAGGCTTGCACTGGTACTATGGCGAGTCCACTGACATGTCTTCGTGCAATGTAAATGTGGCACAGTTTGCATCTTGTCACGGTTAAACTGGAACACAACCCAGTTCTTCAAGTCGTGAACGCCGCTACATATCGTGTCATTCAATGACTATGTCTGTAGTGCTGTTAGCTACGCCGACCCCCATCTCTGTACTTGGCAAGGCAATGGGAAGTAAAGCGCATCCAACTTGGGTCTGGTGATAAGTAGTAGTACGGTCACCAAATCAGATTCTGCATGCGTGCTATATGAGTATGCGATAATTACAAGAGATAATATACACCGTGTTCGCTTGGATCCCTCATGCTTCATTGTCCTGATTCTTGCATCAAGACCCATTTATCACCCACTCGTGCATCCGACCCGAACCCACGTTTTGAGGATCGTCTGGGTCTGCATTGGGCAAGTCCTCTTTTCCTATTTGCGCCAGATCCGTGTACGCTTGTTCTTCACCGTGACCGCCATCCTGGCCGCCTGCTTCGCCAAGGACTATGGCGTCCGCGTGTTGGGCATCTTCACCCCAGTGTCCACCGTCTCGGTGATTGCCGTGCCCGAGGGTACCATGAGTCCTAGCCACCAATCCTCGGCCTCGGCCTCGGACCCCTTGCCATCCACGTCCATGACCTGCGGACTGGGCGCTCCAACTTGGTTCCTGCCACTGACCAGCTTGCACAGCATTTGCCTGACCAGGGAACGCGACTACACCACCCGTCATTATAAACTGCATGAGTTCTTCTTGAGTCGGTGTATCGCCGTAAGTACTGTGCCACATCTTTCCCAATGCTTCCCACGATGAGGGCGCAGTGAAATCAAACGTTGTGATATCAAATTGATCAAGTCCTGGTTGCTGCAGCGCTGGCGCCGAACTCGGTTTACGAGTTTCGACTTTCTGTGTAGATGTACTGGCAGCTACCGAGGGCAACTGGTCTGATACAGGTACACGATTTTCGGGTGCCGCCGTACGGGCAAGGTTTACAGATGGAACCATCGGAGGCTGGGTTTGAGCATCGACTGATGCGGCTCTAGGAGGAGTGGCAGAAGACGGTCTAATATCTCGTCCAAACTCGTCTTTTCCAGCTTCAGAAAGTTTTGCCGCATTTTGATTTGGGGCTACATCTCTGTTTGCTGCAGGTCTCTGAGGCGGACTATACGGACGTGGTCGCTGCACATTGAATCTGCGTGGGCTTCTGGAACGGCTATTTCTTGGCCGTGGTGAAGAATTCCAATCTCTATCTTTGAAACGATCATGGTCACGATCATCCCATCTACCCCGGCCCCAACCACGACCACGAAAACCACGCTGGAATCCCCCGCGTGAGTTGGAATCGTGAAAACCATCACGCTCTCTTCCGTGATCAAATTGGTTTGAACGGCTCTGCCAAGAATCTCTACCAGGATTGTGTTGGGTGTGTGAGGAAGAATAAGGTTGTGGCTCGCTGTTTAGATGAGAAGGGTGAGGATGTTGTGGCGCAGACGAGGGTTGTGTATTTCGCAATTGGATTGCAGGTTGCGTTGGAGCACCATTGGGGGCGTTTGCTGTCAAAGCCAGCTGTTGCAACAACGCTAGGTGCCCAGTGAGGGGTGGGGTAGACGCAGTGTTTGGCTGCAGGAACGGGATCAGAAGACCTCCAATTCGCGAAAGTAGGCACTTACATGCGTGGCTGCCCGGCGGCTTGTGCAGCTTGTCCAAGCAGGGCCAAAAGTGTGCGGCCAACTCCATCCAAGTACGACATCGTAGATTAGGTGCGAGCGCAGGAAAAGATAAGCATTGTTTTAGTGCGCGCAGGGAGAGAAAGAGAAAAATCAAAAGTCTGGATGAGTTGGGGGGTGTGCCAGACGCCCTGGGAGCGTGAGGAGTACAATTGTTGGAGCGAGCGAGTGGAACGACATCGGCTAGGGAGGATGATGTTTTGGTGCAATGAGATGTGGGGCGTGGGGGGGGGCTACGGTGAGTCGGTTGCGCTAGATTGGGTGAATGTGCTCGCAGTGCCTCTCATGCCTGTACCGCTCAGAGTGTAGTGTCCACGCAAGCGACATTCAGAAGACGAGATACTATCATCATCCGGAGGTACGTTGATGCTTCGTATTCTTCTGCGTGTTCGAGGTCGTCGAGGTGAAATCAGAGGCGAATGGATGCCCATGTGGTGAGTGCAGCCAGAGCATCTGGTGATTGCGGTCTGGAAGACTGCTATCCCGGCCAAGAGCACAGCAGTGGCTTCTTGGTCGCAGGAAAAAGCGATGCTGGGATACCCTCATCCCTAGTCGATAGCATCACCAATAGGCCTCGCACTCCGTTGACTAGGGCATGTGGTTTGTGCCTGCAAGCTTACGATGATGCTATATGGTGCGCAGCAGGCCTCCCGTTTCACTGTGACGCCCTCTGATGCTTTTGGCGGACCGGGTTGGTTGTCATAAAACACGACAGCCTCAACGCGGACCGTACTACTGCGCCTGGGTCGATGTACGTCCAGTCAGCTGTTGCAGATTCCAAAAACTCGTGAGAGGTTGTTGTGCCTGAGTTTGATAGCAGGGATACGCTCATCCATCTGGTCCCTGAAGGAATCTGTAAGTAGCATGAAGAGAGCGGAGCGCGAGTCGACATACGCAAATATAACTAGCAGAATATCACCAGCCGGATGAAGAAGCTAATGATGATCCCATATATTGGAAAGCGGGAGGATTCTGGTCAAATTGCGGACGCAAGTGTTTTTGAAGGTACACGCGCGACGTCTGTCAGACCATGGTCTTTGAATGCGACAAAACGCTAAAAAGCGAGGCGCCTATATGCTGGTATTTCTCCATGCCTTCCCTGAACCGACGGTTGTGCCAAAGAGATCGCAATGCTGAGCACTTTGGTGACAGGGACGAGATAGAACGTGGGTTGCGTGCCCACCACAGTGATGCAGGGAATAGACTCAGTGACGTGGACACTGTTTGCTAACGCTCTCCGCATTTGCTCCTCCCGATCAGCAAGATCCCGTGCGATCATTGTGAAAACTTTTTCGTGGCGTCGCTGAGCTGCTTGTGTGCGATCAAAGCAGTAGCAGGATAGCAGGCACATCCAAGCTGGCGGAAGCGATCTGCATTCGTATGGGCAATGGATGATTTGCCCGTGCCAGAGTCGTGATCTCATCCAGGATTTCATCTCGGGTCCCTGGCAAACACTTCTTTCTCGTGTCTAACCCTGCTTCTCTCGCATACGCCATCCCGCTCAGGTCTGTGTCCTCGACTGGAGCATGGATGTAAGAAAATGTCAAGAGTCTACCACATGATGCACTTGATTAGCTCCTGGGCACCATCCAACACCGCCGTGTCTCGCACTGCCCTATCTCGAAACTGCTGCATGAGGTCGTCGAACATGGTGGTCGTCGAAATGGTGTTGAATCTCTTTACTGCGTCGTCGGCTTCCGATGACATTTCTGCCGAGCCCGATCCCTGGAAAGCAATGTCGTGAGTTCGATGACGACTGCAGGCCGCCAGTAGACATACAAAAGTTCTTGCTTTTGGAGTAATCGCAAAAAAAATAAGAACACTCGAGCATTTGCTGACATATCCACGCGACAACACTTTCCATCGGTCGTTCTGGATGAGAAACATGTATGCTTCAGCCATTTTTGAAAGAAGCTGGGTGAAATGTTCATTGGTCAGGCATACATGAGAAATGTCGAGTACACTGGATGGGTACCTTCAACCCCATGCTGCCTTGGCCATGTTGCCTTGGTGTATGGGTAGATCTGTGCTGTACGGTAAGTGATACGGGTAAGTTACTGCCCGATGAAATTCCGTACCTCTGCTATCCAAGGGAATTGAACTTGGAACGAGAGCAATGGGGTGATGTTGGGTTGGTGCATATACTTACGTTTATTAGTAAGCTATATTATTGCTAATTGCTAATTATAGAATAATCACCCCACGTGACCTGATGATGTGAAAGAGGGGCTAGGAGATTTTTTTTCGAAAAGATGCCATTTCAGCAGCTTCGTCATGGCAAGGGGTAAAACGGTCCCCCTTGCCATGACCAAATTTCCCGTGCTTGCTACCCATGACCATCATGGACTGTGAATCATTTCCAAGTTTCCCTTGGTTGACGTGCTTCAACCGAGCTTCAATGTCATAAAGTGTCTTTGGCTTAGATTGTTCAGTCAGTTTGTCGATTTCACACGATTCTACATATATTTACACGATTTTCCACTTGCAGGTTCTGACTAACATAAGCTTCGATGTCCAGGACTCCAGGTCAAGCTACAAACTATTTGATCGGTTTCGATTGTGGACAGCAGCACGCCCGTCTTCGCGTCCTAGATTTTGTTCAATCCTCCTGTGGCAATCATTGATGCCTCAGGTGAGTATCTCACTGCGTACACCGCCTCGTGTCCTGTCTTGATTGGATTCAGACCTTCGACTGGTTCGCTGCTTTCCACATCCCACACTCTTGCCGTACCATCATGTGATCCGCTCATAACTCGCCCACCATTTGGACTCTAGCACACTGACTGCGCCAAAGTAGTGTGTCCTTTCCATTTCACGACAACCTTCCCCGCCTCGACATCCCACAACCTCACTGTCCCGTCATAGTCTCCGCTTGGCAATAGTCTTGCCACTTGGAGACAAAGACATGGCCATTATTAGTAGTGCCTTATCCCTTTCATCTCGTCACCCGCTACCTATCTGTACACCGCTCTCTAGGTCCCATGGTCGAAGCGAGCTGTCGCTCGAACATGTGATGATGTGCTGCCCACCGGGCAGGTGTGCAATGCCCCTAACTCCCTTGGTATGGCCTCGTATCGTCTTGCAGGGGGTTACTGCTAACGTCTTTTTCACATTAGCGGCAGTGGAAGACATAATGGGCGCTCGGGGATCTCGAACAAGGGAATCGTGGGCTATAATTGATCATGGGACGAAGCTGCGAATTTTCCGCCAAGTCGCCCTTGCCAAACAATTAATCACCTCTCGCGATTACTAGACCAAGTGAGTGTACGATCGTGTTGGTCGCGCGTCTTATCTCTGCGTAGCCTATTCTCTCTCGCAAACATGAGTCCCTCCTCCGGCCAAAGCCGCGGCTCGGCTTGGGCTCAATGACAGCTTTCAAAACAAAATGAGCAAGCGTGTCAATCTTCGCGGCAGGATTGCCCACAGAATAAAGTGTTGACGAAGACCGACCGATTTGCGAGATGTTGACCGGGACACACTCTGACATTTTCAAGTAAGGCATAACAAATGGTCGAGAGATGAACGATGCCACTGACCGACGGCCAAAGCCAAAAGCGAAAGCGAAAAACCGGAGATCATCGCGCACACGACCTGCATCATCAATCCAACGCTGGGGATTAAACGTCTGTGGTTCTGGAAAGACTTCAGGATCGTTTGCGATAGCCCTGAAGCACGAGCGTTAGACTTAAAGGTGAGAGGACGAAAATGATTGCCTACTGACCAATGGTTCCCAATCACAGTCGCACCTGCCAGAATGAGGTAGTTCTTTCAAATGATGTCCTTACTCGTGCGATGCGCAGACCCTGTGGTGCAAGGTGGTCGTTCATTATCGGCTAGACAATGTATTGTTTTACGCTGACCTGATGGTGTCCTATAACTACGACAATCCTATGGCCCTGTTTGAGCGAGAACACAGGTCCGTATTGTTCTGTCCATCTCGCGAATTGAAATGGCGCACTGCGTGAGGGGTTAGATAGAGATCATGTTGGTGTCCTGACAATGACTTACTATGACTTTAGCATCGTATTTCCTAATAGCCAACGTCCAGGCGGTCCAGGCGGTAATGGCAAACGTCTTGCGGCCTGGTATCGTTGTTTCACTATCCAGATGCTGGCTTAGTAAGATAATGATAAGGGTGCATGCGGCAATGATAATTGCCATTGAAATGGTCCAGCTTGCTGATAGTCACGATTCACCCCGCTACTTTGCAACGCGTCAAATACTCCAGACAATTGGTCAGCTTTGACGCTGGCTATAAAATTTTAAAACTTCAGCAAAGCCTTACACAAAACCACCATGCCAGAGTGGACGTGTACAGGGTGTGCTACTGTATTGCGCTTTGAAGAGGTTGATCAGAAGAAGGTCATCGGCAAGCACTGCAAGGCATGTGTACATCGGCAGAAGACTGCTGGTACCTGGCCAGTTCCTGCCATCGCAGGTACATTCTGCTGCCCCTTCCGATACCGCGGTTGTAGATTTTCAAACCAAATTGACCGAGTGCGCAAGCACTATGCCAAGTCAGTCGAGTGTCCAGGGCCTGGGACGGGAGACACACCCATGACCATCTACGGTCCTGCTGCTTCATTGTCATCGCAGGAACTGGGGAAATTTGTGGAGGCTTCATATCCAGCGGTATGTACAATCATTACTTCATCATAGTCTGATACTGATTTACTTAGGAGGGTCTGACTCCAATTGTCAAGACTGTGGACTACCGTCCTCGGGCGGCCAATGCACCCATCGCAACATCATTGTCATCGGCCTTGCCGCCCACTCAACCCAAATCAGCCTCGCCACCCACTGAACCCAAACCGCCCTTGCCGCCCACCAAACCCAACACACCTGACGTTCTTGTCGCTGAAAGGGTTCTTACCGATCATGCTGCCCCACTTGAAGGAGGGGTCTGCATTGAGATCTCTTCAGCTCAGGCTGCAGGTGCGTACACGCTCCTCTAAAAATCCTATCTTCTTAGATTATACAGTGCTCCTGGATGATACAGTAGTCTCTGATGATCAGGGCGACCCCGTCCCTCTGGATGATATGATAGTGCCCTTGGATGATCCTGTCAGCTCCCCTGCCCCAACAGCTGATCTCGTACCTTTGGATAGCTCAGCACTCTTAGACAACAGTCAGGGGAATCATGGCCCAGTGGGGGATGCAGTGCCCCTGGTTGATCCTATCACTGTAGCTGTCCAGAAGGCGGATAATAAACGCAAGGAGACTGCGTCTAGCAGTGAGACGGTAAGTCGTTTATTATCTACATGTATTACACTGATATCTGAAATTAGGATGGAAAGGGTGTGCAAAAGCGCATCAAACTCAACGCAACACCTACATACAGAGTACATTGTCCTAGGTGCAACGTATACATTGATGACAATAGTGCATCGCTCAGAGCTCATTTTAAGGAGAAGAAGGAGAAGAAGGAGAAGGGCAGCCTAAACCAATGGCATGTATACAGTTTCAGCTTTACACCAGCATGGGGAAACCGCAATATTCGTATATATCGGGAAGAAGATTTAAGGTTTGTATGCGCATGTGGCAAGTTTTCAGATTACAATCAGGACGCAATAGAGGAACACCTCAGCTCAGTGGATCACACTAATACAACAGTGGTGGACGGGCATGGCAAAGATAGATCCAAGCCTTGTTGGACCAGGGGGTAGTTACAGACTTATTTGTGTGCGGCTGGGGTTACAAATATTGGACATTGAGTCCTTTGATTGATCATCAAACATTCCCCTCAATTTCGTTGGTCTTCACGCTTGTTTTGCTCGCCCTATTTGAACAGATCATAAAGTGTGTAAAGTGTGCCTCAGCAATCCTCGCGTCTACCAGATTTTGCGCGTCAGATCTTGCCTGTAAGTCAATGGACGCGGCAACGAACCTCCAACATTCACGTTACGCGACGCATAAATGTTCGTTACATGGGATTTTGAGGCAAAGAGGGCGCAAGAGGCGTACCTGCGTCTGGAGTTACGCTTTCCATAGGGAATCGTAAAGGGTAGTGGTTGTAAACCGACAGGTTTCATAGAGTTCATTATTGCGTTGACGACGAAAGCCCGTGCTGGGTGGGCTGGTGATATATTGAAGGCATGCATTCAACCATGTTATTGTAATCACTTGATTCCTCCTTCATAAGATTTTCGTAGCTGCTCTAGACTAATAGGTGGGGATGGCGCTCCATCTAAATCCATCCTCATACATTCTCGCAATTAGCCTCTCAATGTCTCTGTTGTCCTCGAGGGCTATCGGAGGCCGTGCAGAACGACGCAACATCGGCACTCCCTTTGCGGCGAACCACCGTGAAGCAACGCGAGATGCTGTTTTCATGCAGTTGGCAACAAGCAACCGCGAGCCACGCTCCATTGTCTTCTGAGAGTACACTTGATAGGTAAGGTTAGGGAAGCCACAATAATACGAAGCGTTCCAAGTCGGTGTTGTCGGAGCGCCGTGGATTGGTTTTGCAGTAACCACAAGAGTACTCGATGGAGCTGAGAATATGAATGGATTTAGCGTCTGGCGGTTACGCTGTCGGAACTTGCGCGTCAAGTTGTCCATGAGACGTATATTCTCCACATCTTTTGATTCTAGTACAGGTACATGGGAGATTTCAGGGGTTTGGGGTGCTTCGAATGGGTAGCCAAATTGAACACCTCCGTTTCCCAGAAGTCGATCCACACTATCATAGTCGACTCTTTTGACGTTGCGAATGAGACCGGCTTTAACATCGTAGTCGACCATGTTGCCTTCAGCGTTTATCTTGAAGCTGAATGTAAGGACAGGTTCAGGCTCTCCCTTCCGAGAATGCGAGCCCAAACTTAGTTGGTCGTGGGTAAGGGAGGGAGGTAGCATAGACCATGTCTTGTGGATGAAGTGTGCGGAGGAGCCTATTCGACGTGCTGCCTCTGAGATAATATGAGTCGGTGGAAGGATAACAGTAGGGTCTGCAATGTGGACGTGCATCCAAGCCGAACCAGGCTCGTTAAGAACAGGTTCCACAGACAAGCCGTCGTCCAGCTCTTCTGCGCTCACATCGTCAATCACGTAGACTGGTAAGCTTCCGAAGTCGTGTCGCAAATGCTCGACGGGATCACGATCATAGAAGTCTTCCGGTCCTAATGGTTGCTTTCCCTTCGCCCGCGAGGGTCGCAGCAAAGACAGGCTCCTTTGGACAAGAGCGTGCTCATCTCTGGTACGCTGCGACTCCTCGTCTGGAGTCAGGTCCAGATTCAGCTCCTTCCTCTGGGTCACGATATCCTCCCAAGGGGCCATCTCCCCCATCTCTATCAGGAACTGCCGCGAACACACGTCGTCCACCATCTTATGAGCATGCAAGCCAATCCTCTTGATGATGGATGTGACCACTCCAGAAGAGGGATCAATACAAGTGTTACGCGTCCTGCGTAATGCAAGGTGCAAGACATCAAGGATGGTGCGATTGTCTGTGGAAAATGTGACATCATTTACGACAACTCTGCTCGGAGGCTCATCCCACGACTCGCTAGCCTTCTCTCTGGCAGTAAGAATAAGGCCCCGAGCTTTCTCGATAAACGCCTCCAGTTCCGGACTCCTTTGCCGCACCGTATCCACAACTTTCTGCAGTTTAACAACATGGTTTTCTGGCCGCACGTCGTACGTGAGCGCAAGTCTCTGAGACTGCATGTGCGGCACAAACTCGATAGGGCGACCCATGATATATTTATGCGTTGCGAAAAGAGTCGGCCAGCTCTCCGGTCTATAATCGTACACCAGCTTCGCAGCCTCTGAAAGACTGACGGACCCCCACTCGTCTGGGTGCTTCGCCCGCATGTGGGGATATAGCGATGCGTTCTTCTGCCCAATGACCATGAATGCCTTGTTTATTTCTTTCTCAGCCTCCCGTAGGTACTTCAGGATTTCAACCCGCGCATTAGTCTCTACGCGGTCCATTGGGGTTGCGCTGGTGCCTGCGCGGAGGGCAAGGTCCCTGTCAGCTATGTGAGGGACCTCGATGTACACATCTGACTCGACATGCTGAATGACTTCGCCTGTACTGATCAAGGAGAGATGCCACATGCGACCGTTCATATACGAATGGCCCAAGACTACACCATATGCATATATGCAACTCCTGCAATATCATAAGTCATCGAGAACAAGAAACAAATGACTCATAAACTCACCTTCTAATCTCAACAAGCGATCCAGCCTCTATATTAGAAACTAACGAAGCGTCCCACCCGCCCATCAGCCAATGTCGACCCAATGTCGACCAGCAGGAGCTCGTCCTTGGCGAGTTTCGAGACCTTTCTTTGTTTCTTCTCCCCCATACGAATGCCCAGCAAGCAGCAGAGAAGGAACGAACATATTTCAAGCTCTAAATTATCTTGAGAACGGGATAGCATATCCAAAACCAGGATGCTCACCAGTATAGACCCTCGGGAGCTTCTCAATTGCACCCAATACTTGACCAACGAGACAATCTGCTCTGCACAGCGCAGGGTCAATCTTGGTCCCAATACCAATTAGCTCTCCTGGAACTGTAAGTGATTGTTCTCGGCGTGCAGAGAGACGATCCTGCCAAAAATGGTCTTGCAGCGGTTCCGGCCCTGAGTGTTTTTCACCGGACGAATCTGGACTTCTTGCCTAGCCAGTAGGACGTCTGTGAGGACAGAACCACTGGTAACGCCACTTTTGAGTTCATCGACCTCTGCGCCAGGCTTGATGACATCGAAGGAATGAATAACGATGAGACGAGGATCAGAAGCAAAGTCGCAGACTGGGATAGGTATACGTTTTACATTGTATTCATGTTACTCCCGAACCATTGGCACCCGTGCTGACTTCTAAGCCGCGACTGTATGATGCCTCCAGTTCGGAGCTGAACAAGTCATACATATGTACCATGTATGATGTACATAGACGGTACTAAGGCACAAATTTTGGTTGGTTAATACATGGTCAACGGAGTATGCCGAAAATGTTGCAGAAACAAGACCAAACATTTTTTTGATGATGCACTGCGGAAGGGGAAAATAGGGGGGATGGCGAAGCTGCCCGTGGACTGGGCTAGGGCTCCGTGAAAAACTACCGAGTTTTTGACGTTGGAGTTTTTGACAGGTTTTTAACGTGTTTTTAACGAGTCGATAACTCGGGGTTGATATTGGGTGACTTCCCGTGGGCTAAATAATCTGGATTATCATAAACCGGAGCTCGAAAACAAATTTGAAAATGAGTCTGTAGGATAATCTGTAAAAAATACTAAACCGCAGACCAATAGATAATCCGGAATATTGACTGCATCCACCACTATGGATTCAGATGACTTGATAATTCAATCTCTAAAGAACGGAGCAGAGTTGCAACAGCAAGAAGATGACGACAAAGAAGCTGCGCTGGCTATTGCTGCCACCATCCTAGTTGGTGTTGAGCTCGCGCGCCAAAATCGTATCGAAAATCGGCAGCCACGACGTCTATATCTCTGCCGTCCGCAGCTCCTTCCAAACCCACGGAAAGATACCCCATGGCAGGTCCTGTTTGCCACCCAGAACAATCGTGCATTTATCACAACAATGGGGCTTGATGTCGAGACATTTAGCTCCATCCTCACTTCAGGCTTTGCAAAAAAGTGGTACAACACACCTATTCCAGAATTCAGAGATTTAGCTCTTCACAAAGCATCCAAATCAGTACATGTGAAAACAAGAAAAGTATATGAGGGATGTTTGGAGTGCAGGAACGGTAGTAGTATTGAACGGCGCCAGACAACAGAGTCTGCGCACATACGGCGCGGTATGATTATGTCAGCGGATATCGCTGGTGTAAGTGGTCCTAAAAAGGTAAGTATGGTTTATTCCGCGTCAGAATAATCTGTAGGGGGGGGGGGCAGACCCTCGTTGAATTTCAAACGGTGATGAAATGACACCCGGCATCGCGGCACACCTTCCTAATGCGTGAAATGATATTCTATTCAGGATTATTTAGGTCCACGGGAAGTCACCCATTGGGGTGTCAAAAACTCGTCAAAAACTAAAATATATATGTATATGATCTCGGGAACATAGCCTATCGAATTCTCCATCCGAACATCCGAAATCACCGAAAAATCGTTAAGATATGACCAACGATCTGTCAACTACTGTCCAATTGAGCGTTCGGCTGAATTTTCGATGTCACCGTCAATTCGATGGCGGATGAGCGTACAGCGTCAACGATGAATTGGTTGAACTCCGCGTTACGCAGCTCCCTCAAAAGTTCTACCATTGTCAGTCAGGTTCAAGTTCGGCAGTGGGCTTTGATGGATCCTGAACGTGTTCGCGCTGTCCCACTTTTTCTTCCTCCGCCTTCTCACTGTCCTGTCCCGTAGACCAAAAGGCCTCCCTCAAAACCAACAGTTAAGTTTCGTGACCTGGACAGTACTCTTTTCGATGTCGATCTCGATAGCAACGGTCAGAAAAGGAAACACGACAACTCCGAGTCGCAAGCAGAGGCTAACCCGGAGCCGCAGGACTCTAATTCAGACTCGGAGGACAATTGGTTGGAGGAGAGCGAGGACCCAGAGATTGAGCGTGATCCAATGTACAGGTCTTGTGATACGAGAGTACTTGTGGGTAGCGAGGATGCTCATCTTGATGCTCCTCGATTGTTGGACTTACTATCAGAGAAGCCGGTGGAAGGGGCAAGCAGGACACCTCAACTACAGGATAGCACAGTTCCAATGCCTCCGGGAGGGCCTGTACAGTGGGCATTTGCATTACCGTAGCGAAAAAATGTCAAAATGACCTGAAAAAACGCATTTTTTGAGTCTGTCAAAAACTGGTCAAAAACTAGTTTTTAACTCGTGTCAAAAACCCCTCGAGGGTGGGGGTGAGTTAAAAACTCGTCGTTAACTCCGTGGGTAGTTTTTCACGGAGCCCTAGACTGGGCAGCTTTGTCATGGCAGAGGGTAAAACGGTCCCTTGCCCAATTTTCCCGACGAACGTGGTCGTTCGGAACATTTGTCGTCCGTCGTCGTTGTTGTCGTGTTGCAATATTAGTGTTCTGCTAGTACTTTATTTGTTCTCCAAGTCTCTTTCGCGTGCTGCAAAACTCGCTCTCTCGTCCCACGCCACCAACAGCAACAACGAGCTTTCGATCATCTGATGGACACGTTCAGAGACTGTTCCAACACAATTGACGGTTTCTAGGTACGTCAGTAAACCGCCAAAGGAGTTCAGCTGAAGTTCTGGATCGAGGAGGCCAATTGAGCTGTGAGGAAGAAGGCCTTGACAAAGACTGGCACTGTGTACACCTTCAGAACAAAGCGCGCCGAGTTCTACGCCCTTGACCTTGCAGCTACCCTCGAGAAACCTGCATCACCCGCGGACATGACATCCAGAAACCGCGGTTCACCTATCTGCGGGAGCTCCGAGGCTACGATGCCAGCCCTTGTAATAAGGAAGGCGACTTTTTCACGGGTTCGGCACTCGCCTCGGCGCTGACGAAGCTCGTCTTGCGGTTCGATGAACTTACAAACGACCAGCCAAAGGCTAGCGCCCTCCGTGCTGAGGTACGTACTACTGTTGATGTTTCTATAGCATTCACCGACGCCTACCCAGTTCATGTTAATCGTGACGTCTATCATCTGCGTCGACCAGCCGAAGTTTGTCACGGTACTGATTGACAAGGATTCTCGGCCCGCTGCAGCTATGCAATTGCGCCTTCAACTCACTCTCCTTGCGCAAATTAGATACAAATACTGTGGGACTCGATGTCTCGTATGAGGTAGCAGACTCATCTCTTCAACATCTCCCTCCTGCAACCTTCTCCCTCCAGGCGCCTCTTCAATGTCAACGCTCGATGTTGCTCCAACCCTCCCTGCAACTTTCTGTCTGATCTTGCACATTCCATGCCAGCACCTTACCGCCCTCCTTTACCTCTACCCCGCATCTCTATACAAGTCCTCCCCTTCTCCACTAGTACTCTACAATCCTGAAAACGCAACTCTATTCGCACCATCCACTTTGAGTGGCGCCCCAGCTCACTCCCTCACTGGGGCGCCACTCACTCCCTCATAAAACAGGATAAATCATCACAAGACGAGATCACCCAGTGCAACAGCGGCATCATGTACTACCTGCCGTACCGTCCTCCACTTCGCATCGGAGGTGTAAATGCACAACTGGAACCAGCGATTGGATTGATCCTTGGATCATCACGTCAGCGTTCTATCACAGCGCCTCCTGCCTCGCACCAACAGCTGCCAAAGATGTTGCCAATACTCCAATTTGCGCCAGGGTCAGAGATGGTTCCCGTCCTTCGCACTCATAGCTTTTCATCTCTATCACAACTTCTAGAGGTTATCGGCTCTATATCCCATCTCCACTCCATTATTGGAGTTCTTGACGAATTCGAGGTTGAATTTGATAGAGAAAGAGAGCACCTCGTTAGTGATACCCTCCCTACTGCCCTCTACACCAGCTATACCCGTCACTGCTAATACCAATTCCATTGCTGCTAATAGAGCTAACGCTGGCCATACTCCTATACAACCTGCTCATTTCCCTAAAGCAACGGAACTCCCTCTCTCTCCTTCCGCTCTACTTCTCTTTCCCTACTATTCAAATCAAAACCACGAACTGATAATTGTCTTGCGTTGTCAGAGGATCAGAGTGCGATGTCACGTCAGGACCGCTTGGAGGAAGATCTAACCACAGGCCTACAGCCACACCAGCGAAACGGCGCTTCAGAATGCCGAAGAGGCTGTAAAAATCATGAAGCCACTTTCGGGACACGTGACATCTGGAGCATCCACCGTCCAAAATGCATCAGCGGGTCTTGAGGCTGCATATGATTTCCAGGATACATATCTTCAACTACTCAGGATATTCAATAATGTTATCGGGATGCTCGCAGAGGTATGGACAATATTTCTCAATGGAACTGAACTAATCCTGTTCCATAGGTACATCCATACGCAAAGATGGTACTGGGCGTGTTGTCTTGGGCCGCAAAAGTATGTTTGGTTTTGCTCTTATTCGTATCTTTATCTCAGTCGTTATGTGTGCAGGTAATTCTCGCTCAAGCAGATCGCAATACAGCGATACTCAACCTTCTCCAGAAGTCGTGTGACGTTTACGCCTTCATTACAGAAGACAAGAGACTTCACCAGATTTCGTCGATGCACACTATCCTGGGACAGTAGTTCTAGTGAATTGATTTGCGGAGATGGAGTCAGGGACATTTCATCGAGTATGATATCAAGTGTGCAGTTAATTCATCGTCTATTCTATGACCAATCATTGTGAAAGTTGAGATCTACCTGCTGGATCAATGGTTGAAATTTTATCAAATAGAAACGCAGTGTGCTGATGCGTGCCGGAACATATAAGATGCCTGCACTGTAGAAAGGTACAGCTTCCTTGCATGAATTCCTGATTGAAATATAATAACCCATCCTTAGAAATCTAGAGCAGATAGCGTCAAAATTCAAAGTAGTACATACTTTTATTTTTGCTCACTCAGTAAACATATCCTTGTTTTTCACAAGTACAATGCATCTGCCAGTCATCAGACAAAAGTATGAAGTCGCGTAGGAACTCAAAGCAAGAGGTATGTTACATAATTCAGGTCTATAGTAATGACATTATGCGCTGGAACAGGTGACCTCAAGGGCTGCTCCGCTTGGTAACCTCAAAATTGAGGAACCTCAACCAATCCTGGCCTACATGCTCAAACGCCTCATGCTGGGACGCAGCTAGAATGTCCCCATCCTCCCTAGCATAATGCATCTCCCCAGCTTCCCTGCCATGCCCCATGGCTAAGTTGGACGTGTCATTGAGTCGCCTAACGTTCTCATCCAAGGGTCCAGAGCGGGGATAAAGCACTCGCTGGAGAGCTTGAGCGAAATGTCGATGCACCCGCATGCCAATGGGCAATTGCAGATGATTCATATACCATTCTTGAATTGCGGCTGAGAGCTGACTGGGCTCCCAGCCCTTCCCTGAGGTCACGAACAGCCGTGTCTAGTACAAACAACATCTGTGAGCATAGCAGATTGCCAGAGGAAACGGTAAACGCACCTGGTACAGGGATGTTGCCTCTGCTTTACTTTCCTTTGTCCGAGCTTCAGATGTCAGAGTCAAAAGTAATTCAACAGGCCGGACCACCCGAAGGAAGGCTGCAAGTAACTCTGCAACTTGATACTGAATGACCCGAACAATGCATTTGTAAACCCCAGAAGTGCACGTTCCTTTATCATAATTTCCTATCATAACGAGGGTGTCGATGGTCCTAGATAAGAACAGGTGACGACGAGTTTCCTTGGAATTGCCGTGCTGCCAAAGTGCCTCCTCCGTTCCGCGACCCGGAGGCGATAGCATGTGGAGTAGTATATATATTTGAGTTAATACCCAAGAGACATCGGCCAGCCATTTGCGGACTTGGTTGGGATCCCACTGAATATTACCGTCAACTGAAACTTTGCAGAGGATGCCTTGCGAAGCCAGAGCATCTAAGAAAAGCGATGCGGGATTGCCTGGATTTTGGAAGTCACTTAAAGATAGCGGAAAGAGGCCATGGCTACGAGTTTTCTGGTCATAGCTGTCATAAGTGGGGAGCGTGAAAGCTGCAGGAGAAACTTTAATTCCTTTCAGCACCTTTTTGTGGAAGAATGCGATGGTGTCCTGGAGGGTGTTATGAAGTGCTGCCTTGTATTCCTCGACAATAATAACATGACCGTGGACCCGAACCTGCTTGCCAGCCTGGTCCCACACAACCATGGCAGGAGAAGGGGTGTTGCGAGCAATTCTGCTGAGGGCTCGAATCCACTCCCGCACGATCGCAAAGGGAGAAATTTTTTGGTCTGTCACCCACCGTCCAATGGTGTCTGTAACGAACCTAGATGGAATCATAAGAAAAATCCACGCGAGTAATTGTAAAGACTTACTTCATCCACTCTGCAGCATCATCTGCCACCACTGTATCCAGAGTCTCATCAGCGTCATCCAGTTCATCGTCAGAGCACACCACCATGCTGCTTCCTTTGCGCAGCACCTTACTCCCATTTTTGATAGCGCTATTCTTCCGGATGGCATTATTTTTTGCCATGAAGGCTTGGTACTCTTGGTTAATGAATGCCAGTACGTGCAGGCGGATCCCAAATTGGGTCTTGACGTGGTATGGTGTAAGCAAGGTAGGAGACTCAAAGCCTCCATCTACATGAACTGACCGCAAGCATATATAGGCTATGGTCGGGTTGGCATAGCTGTTGGCGAACATTTGAAGGGTGTTCCTAGGCATGTAAACAGTGTTGAGCAGGGATGAAATGCTGTCCTGTAGGCTTGCGTCATCCACCAGTGCATTCTTCAGGAGATCCATGAGCGAGAGGCCAGCCTTCAGCTGTTCTTCAGTCAAGGCAAGCTGATACTTAGAAGATGGTGGCTGCTGGGGTGAGACGGAACCAGGTATCATATATGCACGATCTGATATGCATCTGAGAATGATAGATATTAGTCGGACCTCCTCCAAAGCGTATGATACACGGGTCTTCATTTTAGCGGGCACATTGAATCTCTCGGAGGTTCCTTTTTCACCTCTATCAAACTTGTTAGCTGTGTTAGGTGGGGAAGGCTTGAAATACTTACGGTCGAGGGGCCACCAATAACTGTCGCACCACAGAGTTAGTGTTAGGTACAGTCTCGCATAGCCCCAGGAAGCGCTTTGTCACTGCGCGCTTGAGTTTCCAGAGTGAAGTGTCAGAGCGCCTGGGCAAATCCACAAGCTCGTGCAACTCTTTCGACTGATAGGGCTGGATATGTTTCATAGCACCCACCTGCAGAAAAAAAGGTACAACCGCTGCTTCATTAACTTGTGAGTCAACAATATCTGCTTGATGCCTGGAAAGTAATGAAGCCAGCATGCTGCTGGCTGGGCTCGTCTCTTCACCATGTGCAGAGGGTAGTAGGTTGCTACTAGACCGCTGCTGATGTCGCCGGACTGCGAACCAGGTCCGCACATTAATATCTTGGTCAAATGACTGGATTGGGCATTTCAAGAAACAATCTCGGATAGGAATTGGGCGCCTGACCCCTGACATCTTCTTTTCAACATGCTGGTTCCAGTGGTCCTCCAGCGAATGAGTGCCGCAGGCTTCAGGAAGAGCATAATCACATTTTGGGCACACAAGTCCTGGGATGGGAGGGCGAATGTGTAGGATTGGACCGTATTGGTTTGGCAATGGGCGAAGGTCACGTAGCTCTCCACAAGTAGCCACAATATCTGGGTAGTTCAAGATGACGTCTCTCATGAACTGGATTTGAAGAGCGCTCGGTGTTTTTGATGTTTTACAAAATGGGATCTGATGTGGTCCGCGAGGGCTGGATTCTGCTAGTTTTTTACTAGGAGTGTAGCAGTGCGTCATCAATTTCTCAAGCGGAACACCATAGCCACACGATGCGCCATTATGCAGTGATTTGCACAGAATTACCCCATAGTCCGGGAGGTAACCGCAGTTCACCGATTCAAGCAAATTATTGAATTCCAGTTCATTGATTGCAGGCAGAGCTTCATTATCATCGTCCAAGGTGAGCGATACTGTGCGATATGCACGGCTGTATGGAGCCGATCAGTACAGCACCGCAGCCAAAGGCCCCAAGCCAAGCAACTCACAACCCCTGCAAACCAGACCATACCCGCTTTCTCCTGGGGTTAGATAGTAGATTGATACCAAAGCTCTTGAGGCATATGTCCGATTGGGGGACTATAGTAGCCACTTCGGGAAATTGGAATGCGGTGCGGGAGTAAGACAGTGATGGTCTGTCAATATTCCAATTACTTGAGCCAAACTGAGCGGGGATGTTGGGTTGAAAGGGTATACTACATTCAGATCCCCCCAATGCTGAATCACAGTCCAACAAAGGAACATCAGCCACTGGTCCTGCATTGTGACCCAAATGAGATGAAGCGTTGGCAGTACCTTCCAAAAGCTCTGTTTCGGTGGGTCAGTCCCAATACAGTCCAAAGAATGATGATAGTAGCCCACCGTCAAGTGCAATTTGCACATCTTCATCCTTCTCTGCTCCAATCTCTATTTGCTCAGCCACAAGGGCTTGCAAGCCTTCTTCTTCGTTCTCAGTCTCGTCTGATTCGTCCCCAGAGCAGAGCTCTCTAGAATCGTTGGTACTTAGACTAGCCTTTTCAGGATCTGCCTACATTAAATATCAAAAAGCCAGGCTATCGTGGCGGCTTCCACTCACTTTCGTGGTTGGCGGGATACAGTACCCTTCTGATGGCACTTTCCAAGGCTGACCTAGTAGCATCATCGAAACCGGTCTCCCCTTCATTTATGCTGTATGTCAAAGAATAACTAAGACAGCTGTTGAGGGAGTAAAGTTATGTACGTACACAAAAATATCATTATTGTTCCGACTGGCTTCGATGGTGATTCCAAAGGAGAAAAGTTTCGAGCTTCCTGCCGCCAGTTTGTGTACAGCCCTTAAATTTTCTGCGAGGTCAAAACTAATTATTGTTAGCATTATCATAACATAAACAAAATGGACATACGCTGGGAGACTGGCAAGGGAAGGAGACGCGTGCATAACAGTAGGTGCAGCCTGGATTTCATCTACCATGAGTTTGAGAGGCAAATCCCCCTCCACAGTAGCCGCCAGGAATGATGTGTTGGGATGGGGTTCAAAAGCATTGACAGCCTTGTCTGCAGCAAAGTCTGTATTGCGGATAGCAGACAGGCGAAGTGCAGCATCAGGCTGTGACTGCATTAACTTGCGTTCTTCCCAAGGGATGAAGCAGCTCGACCTCTTCTTTGTCCGGTCCAACTCTGCTGATATTTCAGCACCGTCCTGGGTGCTATATATGCGTTTACGCTTGGAGGGCTGGGCTTTTGAGGTTGCAGTCACAGCCAGATTCTCTGCATTGAAGAAGTTGTATATGAGTATCTGTGTATGATTGCAACTATTACGCTTACCAGTTGCAGGTTGTGGTCTAGCCTTCTTCCATTCATTTACCAGGTGCTGAGCACAGCCGTCTTTGAGTACCCAGCTTGATGGCCATGGCTTCCCAGCATGATCGCAACCTGCCCACAAGACCTGATACTTTTTCTCATTCTCAGCCAAGATTTTAACCGCTGTCCAAAGACTTTTTGGCGATTCCTGGTATGTAGACATGCTCAACAGAAAGGAAAGTATGCAGAAATTTCATAAACGGTTACCAGCATCAACTTATCACAAAAATTGCTCAACCCTAACATGGTCATGTCTACGGCATCAGTACCACAGTGTCGGGTATATCGGCTGCCAGCCTATGTATGTTCTTGTCATCCTAGGGAACGCTAAGTTCAATCAAGATGGGCATCTACGATGTAGTTCAGCTTGCGACATTGTTCATCATCTAGATAGTTCAGACATTGTACATCACTCAGATATATCCATGTAATGAATTGTATTTTGTATCTATACGATGGAACAAGAACGTATGATACAGTGTAATGTACGAAAACGCAAGTCAATGTAGTCCGGAGTCCGGAAAAGGCATGCATCAGGAAGATGAAATAAAACAACAAGAATGTGAGTCAGGAGGAATGACTCCATGACGAAAGCGCGAAAGTATGAGAGCGCGAGAACTGAGTGAAAACGAGTCCTGCAACTATCAAATCGAGCGCGTCTTCATCTAACTGTGAACAATGATACCATCGGCGGCAAGAAAGCAATACAAAGACGGATCACACACAAGCAATCCACAGGACGAGACCACGCACTGTATCATCGAAATCATGCTCTCCAAATTCCGGCGCCTCATCGACAGACGTCATCATCGTCCCAAGCGAAGCTTACCGACCATGCCCACCTTTGAATGGCGTGTTGAGTGGCGTGCACGGAGAACCTATCTGTCCACCGCTCAAGGGACTGGGTAAGGCCCCAATCCAGACGACATCGAAGTGTCCACTCCAACGCTGTCTGCACCCGGAGATACAGGGGGCTCGACGATGTCTGCTAGGGTTGTCGGTACCGACCCAGATTGTGCTCGAGCCAGGAAAGCTTTTGCCTCTTCGGCATTGAAAAGTTCTGGAGGGAGCCGCTCGTTTCGATGTCTGACTTCCATCTGTAGAAAGATGTCACGAACACCGAGAGCGTATGCAGGGAAAGTAGTTGTACGTACGCGTCCTCGAAGTTGGAAATGGCATCTTTAATGCCCTCTCCAATGCTAGCGTGCCGTATGGCAATTTTCTAGAACCAGATATGCTCTTGAGCTCCGAAACCTTCTCTGACTCCTCTCCGCGCCAGATTCGTCAGACTAGCGCAACGCACAGGCAAGGACTCCATACCGGAATGAAGCAAACACACGCACCACCCTTCCAACTGCAATCTTTCGCCTCGCCTCTTCGTGGCGGACTACTCGTAAAACAACTTTGTCCTCATCAGACTCCTCAAGTTCTTCTTGGTCGCAAGTGTTTACCACGGTGACAAGCATATCTGTGACTATACGCGCCGCTCAGTTCTGAATAGATGATCTGAATAACCTCCCAGGACGTACTTTTCTCTCCCACAAAGGGCAAACTTCATGCAAACACGTCCATGAAGTTAGGTGGCCAGTACGAATGAAGTGTGCGGTTAAACTGAACTTACTATGAAAGCGGGACATGGCCGTTGCACCATCGCCGTCGAGTAAGCAGTGACCAGTCGTATACAATTTGAGAGCGGGATATCCTGTGGTTCTGTCAGTATCGGGTGAATGTATGCACCTACCAAAGACTCTTTGTCGTTGCTGTAGTTGCATCATGAGCTAGGCTAGGCAGAAACTCGATATTATGAATGGAAGAGAGTGGAAGCAGTGCGTATATACTCACCTTCAGGCAATAAATGCAGATACACACTGTGCAGAAATACTATGTACAAGAAGGGACAGATCAGCTGAGCTACAAGCGTTATGGTGGTGGTGGGAAGAGAAGTGCGTAAGTGGAGAAGAGTATGGAAGACAGGACTGCCGCGCTCACTTAGTCATGTCACAAACACATATAAGGCAATAAGACTCCGTGCAGAAGTTCGACGTACACTTCAAACTTGAATAAATAAGCTATTTACAAGTGTTTTTTCTGACTGGTTGGACTCAGTTATGCTGACTTGAAAGTGTCATAGGTGCGCTATATTGGAATGTTATGTGCCGTGTATGTTGAGAAGGCTCAGCAACTGACCTTGTTCTAATGATCCATCTATCACAATCAGCCTCGCTATGCTGTGTATGTCTCTTCACACCCACTACGTTCATCTCTTCTGACCGGCGGCATGAAGTTAGTATTCCAACAATCTCGGTAACAGATGCAGTGAGTCTTCTGCACGGGCCGATACCGTCTATCCCCCAAATTAACTGCAGCGCTCTGTAGGGGTGAGTGTGAGTCGTGACCAGCTCATTGGTTCGCTTCAATGACCACCACAGATGTGGGGCTATCTGGAGTGTGTGATTCACGCAAGGTTGATCTCTAACTGAATTCTTTAGGCCGGAATCTGTACATCGTACAGGATTTGACAATTGTTGTGGTATTTCCGATACTTTGCGGTAAGCTTTGCAATTGCAGGACCGCAGTGATATCAATTTCACTGAATCATCTTGCAAGTCATCATGGTCGCTCGACTACATGCCATGTATCAACGATCCCGAAAGATGCTATTGTCGTCATCTTCCTGACTGACAACATTTTCAACGGAGTGGTCACCGCAATAGGGATCAAGCATACTTCGATGGGTACGCTTACTCGCGGATGAAAGTGTGCATGATACTCATTGATGAATACCAGAGGCATTCATTCTCTCCGGCACCTATCAATGCATGATCAACAATGCGGAAGATACTCACTTCTGAGTTCCATTACTTGGATATTCGCTATTGTGTGGGAGGTTCTCGCGCTGTGTCTCGCAATTCGGATTGCTGTAATACACTTCCGTGAACTGCGACGACATTCTGCTGGAGGGATTATCGGGGACTGTTTCACTGTGTTGATGAAATTTCACATCATTTACTTTGCGAGGTGAGCTCATAATATGATTCCGGTTTTATTTTCACGCTAAAGCTCTGCACGTCCTAGTTTTGTTGTTGTTTCTTGCTTCCAGATCGGTTACGCTCTCATCAGTATGCCGATCTGCTGGTGACATCTGTGAACATGATTCATCATTTCTATAGGATCAATTCGCCCTGGAAACGCAGATTTATCTTGGCTTTCTTCAAAGTTTCACGTTCATCCAAATATTTGTGCTGGGACTGTGGCTGATCCTCGGTATTCAAGAATTCAACGCTAAGCTCGTGACCGACTCTGACCAGGATCTCGAGCGTATACAACACAAGCATCGATGTATACGCCAAGTCGTAGAAAGAAAAAAGTATATGAAAATGAGCGGCAAGGTAGCTGTTCGAGCTTGATCATTAGCTTTACCAGCGTACATGGAAGGTGTTGAACGTGCCTCTCGCAGCTGTCACATTTCCGGACTGACTGAAAAGAGCGGTCGTGACCAACATACGATTGGTGACTTAACTTACTGTAGAGTTCGTCCTTTTTGTGTTACTGTTTTTGTTGTCTGGTTGAACGGCACTTGGCCACACATTTATTAAAAAAAACAAAGCTGCCAGAGGTGCACGGAGTCCCTGCATCACACCTGCCTAATATGAGTGTGGTCACACTATGTAACGGAGCGCGGCAGTCCTGTCTTTCATAGAAGAGAGACCTGGTTGAGCTGCTCAAGTTCAACTTCAAGTTGCCAAGGGCCCACCTGAGTGTATTTAATTTACTAATTAGTAATTACATCAGGTACCTATTCCTGACAATGACAATGACAATGTTAGTACTTAATGCCATAGCTCGGTTCTGGTCCGCTCAGGCTTGGTCTTGTCCGGTGGACGGAGAATGTATTGGATGAGGCTGGCTGCATACCAGATCAAGGTAGTGGGTCATCATCATTAGCATCATGGTAGAATGTAATCTTGGATGCATCCTTGAGGCTCCTGTCTGCAAGATGAGTTAAATTCAGTCATTGTAGATTTCAGAACTGTTCAGAACCCATGGGGAATGATCCCAGACAACACAGACCAAGAACCATACTTCAGTTCAGTTAGGGTGTCATGCTAGTGGACTAGACTGTCTAGAACCAGACCATTGGTCAGGTTCGACCCATTAGCTGGCGACATCTGCTCTTGCCATTTGGCATTGATGCACATCTTATTGGCCATCGTGCAAATCAATGGAAACTGCAGGTCATCTTCAGCAGCAACATGAGTGACATGTGCACAATGATGCATGGCAACATTTTGTTCATGAGTAGCAAGATGTGCAAAGCAACATCATGCACAGGGAAAATGCTTGAAGACAAAGGATAGTCCACCACATTGGACAGCACATGAATGGACACAAAGTAAGTCACAAACATAATCCCACATATCAGAGGCCTTGACTGACACTGAATGAGAATAAGCCAAATCATCAAAATGGGCACGAGTGATCATGGAAAAATGATCAATCAAGCGACATAGGGTAGGAGCAGATACTGACAAAGATACTCCAGCTGGATACTGCTGAGACATGGTGAACTGCTCTCAAGATACTCCACAATACTCAAACAAATGTCAAAGCAAGAAAGTGGAGATGACTGACACCCTATCATCATCCAGTTGCACATCTGAAACAACAAGAAAAGCAGGAGGCACAAGTGAGTGTGAGGAAGCAACAGCAGAAGACGAGGATGCAGCCATAGCACAAAGGTAGTGGCAAAAGAGGATCAACAAAGGCACTGAGAAAACAGGAGATAAATATCTGCCCATTACCAGCCTCAGTGCTACATCAGGAAATCTGCCATTTCCATGATGAGCTGAGAGATCTGAAGGAAATGGTAAGCTGATGGACTATGTATGTGATATACTGTACATCTGAGGTCAGACCAAACAGAATGTACAGGTGAGACAGATGCTCGACCTGGCAGAATATCAACACCTGCAGAATGATCATATGATCATTGAATCCAAAATACATCATTTCAGACAACACAGTATATTTATTCATCAGAAAAGCAGCAACTACAGCTCAACCAGAGTAATCAGATGCACACAAGGTCATGTTTCATGATCCTCCAGTACCACAGACTACGTGTCCCCCAAACCAGCAATTTTTTCAGGAATATCAGGTAAAAACAGATGCAAGAAACATCAGGCTCTCATATTTATGAAGAGACAGGTAGTCTGCATCTTGGAACCTCAATACAAACAGGATTTATCAAATACACAGAAAGGCTAAACATCCATGTCATTCATATTTAGTCCCAACAGGCAGGCACATGACCAGACAGTTAGAAATACAGAATCTCAACAAGTTAGATTTCAAAATCTATAGGCTCCTGTGTGTAACATTGTACTACAAACTGAACATACTAGCTTCTGTGAAAGGATGTGGGACCTGATCAACACTGCGAAAACTTGGAAAAAGAAGTTGCCAAGATTTGAACATGAAACAAATACCACTTAGCATCCACTTTGATGACAAACTAACCAATACACTACAGTCACATATTCTGAAATGGAACAATTCCCAGCTATATAGTAATTGCATGGCAAATCCACGAAAGAAACTAACTGTCCATTGCAGTAGTACTAGTACATTGAGAAAACATGTAGGGTAGTAAGAGCAAATCATGTAGTAGTAGTAGTACACGTGAAAACAAACAACAATTGCAAACTTGCATGAACCATGAACAACATATCAGTAGTAGTACTAGTGGCGTCTCCCTTGCTTGTTGGAGTTTGCAGCCCGGGCATCCTCAGCATCCTCGACCTCATCGATGGTGCACTTGAGAAAATTTTCATGCCACTTATGATACCTCCTGAATGCCGTTTGCTTCACAGCTGTCTCCAAGCCATCAACACATGCATCCCAAACCACAGTGTCTGGAACAGTCCATTGCTTGAGGGGTTTGATTAAGGCACTGAAAAAAACACATGAATTCCTAAAACTATTGACAGATAATACTTACACATGGGGGTCATTGCGGTGCGGAGGATGCTCCCCCTCCAGATGCCATACCATTGAGTCACAAACTCTTTGAAGGGTACACCTGAATAAATGCTGGATGTTTTGAAGTCCAGCAGTGTCTTGTTGCGGGAAGAGAACCTGTCAGCATCACATGAAATAAGTCAGAATAAGTCGAAACGAGTGGTAATATATGCTACGTACCATGCTGGCATAATATTGTGCTTTGCGGTTAGTAGTCCTCAACCGTCCGTTCGGGGGGCGGAGCCACATGGTAATGGTTACCTTGAGGGGTTGTAGCCAAGTGTGCGAGCAAGACAAGATTCCACTACCACCTGCACTCCCACCAACCTGTTTGATGTGCCCAACCTTCTTTTTATTCAACTCCTGTTCCATCACCCACTCATCGCTTGGCAACATGTGCGTTTGTGCCTCAGCAATGTGGAAATGGGTGCCACCCTCGACGTGAGGGTTCTTGTCCGCAAAGAGTTGGATCTTTGCTTCTGCTGCCTCAGAAGATTGCGAGAAGGATATCTCGAAGGGCCATAGGGGATGGAACTCAGCATCTTGTGTCTCGCATTGAACGAGCATATCAGGAATTCCGAGATTATGTTTGTCTTTGTCATCTTTGTCATCTTCGCCCTTTTTGACCATCGTATTCATGTGGACGCAGAGGGCAGTATGTAGTGCAGATGGAAGAGGTATGGATGATATAATGGCTCCCACTGTAGTGTGCAGGGGCATTAGAATCAATTCGTGGACTGGGGTTGGCAGGTTGACAAAGAGTTGTTGGAGATGGGGGATGTATGATAGTCCGGGCAAAGCATTGGATCAGTGCAGATGTGGGAAGTGAAGAGAGAAAAGCTTACTTGCGAGTTAAATGGTCATCAAATTCAATCGCATCCAGAATATAATGATAATCATTCTCTGACATGTCTGAAAACACCTAGTATGGCAATCAGCCTGAGAAAGATAAGAACTGTGGTGAATTCTCATACCTCATGTTCGGGACCCTTGCCGCCCTTCCAAATGGTGGCGATAATATGCTGGCAGAAATCTGCATAGCTTAGGAAATCACATCCATGATCAATTCAAGCAAACCTTACTTACCATCTTTTGGGCCCAAAGCTAGTGGCTTCGGCGACTTCGACTTTAACAGGAGGCGAAGTTTTGGCTCTAGGCTTGAAATTGACTCCCCTGAAGTGCAAGACTTGCTACTTCTTAACAAACTTGCTGAGGGTCTGGAGCCTTGCTTGAATGTGCCAGCATCTGGAGAGTGCTCTTTACCAGCAGCATGTTTGAGTTCTACAGGTACTAGTACAGTGGGCTGAGAGCGCCACGCAGGACTGCGCTCATAAAAACACCCCTGCCCATTTGTTGTGCTTTGTTGTAAGAAAGTGAGAGATTTAGAAGGCATGGTTTTGCTTGCTTGTTGCAACCATTTGATTCTCTCCTTATAAACAAAAGTGGCGGTATCGGCTGGATCCCTAGCTTAAAAAAGCCAGCGTTCGCTGTCGAGGCCATGGCTAGGGGTGGTAGGTGGAAGAAACATTGAATTGACATTTGGAAGGTCAATACTAATAGATGTGGACTCGCAGGCCTGCCAGTGTAGTTGGACACATCATAGAGCCCGAGAGGCAGTGACATGATGGCTTCTAAAAAGACATGCAGCAATAGTATTGGGAATGCTAGTCACGGTGACCATGTCCTATGATCACCAACCTTATCAAGTTAGTAGTACTGAAACGCAAAAACCAGAGACACATACTATTAATATTACTAGTAGTAGTAGGCATGGAGTGGAAATACCACTGCCAGCCTTGCCCATTCAAAATTCAAACCTACTAGTACTAGAATCAAAAGAGTCCGGCAGCGAGTCAGCGACAGAACTAGTAGTAGCAGTACTAGTATTCACCTTCGTCGTTGCGGAGTTAATGTGAATGTTATTAGTACTGATGAATTATCTGCAAAGTTATGGTGAGTACGCACTGGCAGCCTGAATGTAGCTAGATGACTTGATTTAATGTTGAACCAAATAATGGATGTACTGCCAGTGTTGGTGGGAGGAGTCACAGAGACTATTGAGTACAGAAATACTGAAGCAATGATTCCTGATGAAAGTACTGGAGTGTTGAAGGCATGAAGTGCTAGACTGACTCGGTGCTGAATTAATGGCTGCAGTTGACTTACGGGCCACAGCTAATTTAGTAACAGTCGGATACTACTATGTGAGACCTGCAAGTTGAAAGACATATATACATTCACCAGTATACTAGTACTATGTTCATACTACAAATTTTTAGAATGAGATCTCAAAAGTGTGATAATCCGAAAATCTGTTAACATAGAAAGCTTGAAATGCAATCAAAGAATCTGTATGTGTCAAATCATGATCAAGAAACTGGGAACCATATATTGGGATAAGTGCACTGGTCGCAAAATGGTATCTAAATGAACAACAGAAAGAAGGTGTTCTCTACGATCGTCAAGTTCTGGTTCAACCATCCACATACCTGTGTTAGGGCATGGTTGATCGCCAATGGTCGAAAACCAGCGAACGAGTGCACAAGGATATTCCACACTTCGAAAAGTGAAGGAGAATAACAGGATAACCTGTGCAACATATAACCCTCGGAATCCTGGTAGAGTCGGATCATGTTCAATGAAAACACAATCATGGCGAGCTGGGCCACCACGCCAACTATGTGCAACACGGATAGTGTAACAGATCATGCCGTTGACCTCACAGATGTCACTAGCAGCATAAAACGATGCTACAGCAGAGTGAAAGATATCCACCTTCCCATTGAAGTCCGGGCATTGTGAAATATCCATGTCACATCCCAGAATAGCATGACCAGGATTGTGCTGATCATGTAGAAATTAGTGTATAAGGTTACGAAAGGAAGGTGTGCCAATCATTTCACCAATCGCCCGGGCACATCGGGGGTAACTGGACACTGAAAGAAGTAGTTAGAATATCTTTGAAAAAGCTGAAAAAGATTCACCTTGTCTCTTCGCTAGCTGTACGATCACCTCAGCCTTGTCATCACCCTCATCCGCAACAGCATCTTCCATGTCTTGATCATCACAATAAAGGAAGAAGTCTGGGTCTATGTCCAGCACTCAATTCAGATCAATCGTGAGGTCGAGAGAAAAAGAACCAACTTACCAGAATGATTTGCATCCGGATCAATTGGCTCAACACCAGGTGGGAGTAAAGGGTGATCAAGCAGACCTATGGCAAACTTCCCTGCTTGGAATGAAGCAAGCTTATCAAGCTGATGGTTTGTTACCAACATTTGATCGAGAGGTAGCCAGCCACTCGAGTGTCGCCAAGGTTCCTTTACTGCCTTATGGTGCTTTGACTCTGTGAGAGAAGAGCATAATCCATTAGGAGTGCCAAACTGCTGCGTTAGATAACCGTAATGGCATAAAGAATGTTGTTGGGGTAGAGATATTCCATTGGGACGGACACTGACATCCATGAAGACAGTACGTTTGTCGTGAAAGCCCTCGAGAGCTGTTTGCAAAGAATCTAGATCGGCTTCATCGAGACTTGAGCGACGGACTACATAGCAGAAGTCAAGGAAGTAGCGGATCGCTCGAAGCATCTTCTCAGGAACATGTCCCGCAATGGCTGGTAAAAAGACCTGAAAGTAGTAAAGTAGTATCAGTAATTTGGATATGTCAGTATATGTGAATTTTCGTACCTTCATTAAAGCCTTCGAGTCATCACCTGTCCATTGTTTGAATCTTTGTCCCTGAGGAAAATGTCGCAGGCCTGGAAATGAAGGCACTACAGCTATGCTAGAACAAAGGAGGTTGTCAGTAGAGTGATTTCAACAAAATCTCAATGAAATATTTTACTGGCGATCAATATCTGCCCATATTTGTTCTGCCTTTTTTTCTCCGTAGGTGATAAGGAAGTACTCACCCACCCAAGCCACAATATGATCTTTGAATGTTCCTTTAATTATTTGGTGAAGAATGTCAGGAGCGAGCAGTTCATGTATGTCAGTGCGCGGAAAATATGCTGTGAATGGCTACACAATTTCATATTCATTACTGCGATTGAGTTTGCTGCACTTACTAGAATGCCACTTATAATTCCCCAACCCTGCTTGAGCTGTGTATCTGAGTAACCGCACATTAGAATTTTTGTATGTTGGTGAGATCACCGACCAGATGGCGAGTCGTCCAAATGTGCTCGATCAGCAGTACACCTGAATAACTAGAAGTCAATCACCACTGAAAATCCAAGGCTAAAAGGTGCGAGCCCCTTCAGTAACATTTCCCGACTTAGTCGGACAGCCAAAGGTTGAGAATCAACCCAGTTAGGCGGGCCATCCAGCGTGGGCCCATGCATGACTGAGCACAGATGGGCCCACACATAATTCAGCACCCATGTTGGTGGGTGGGCCAGGTGAGATTGATAGGATGAGTGGGCCGATTATCATGGGACACAGGTACCAGGCCTGATGGATAGGCCCAACAAGTTTTTCTTTGGCCCACACATGTCATCTCGGAAAGGTCAGCTAATTGTTTTCGGCCCAAAATAATATATACATATATGATCTTGCAGGGGCCGACGGTTGCGTGCATTTGATCATGGAAGGGCCAGCCAATCATATGTCGGCCAATACAATCTGGCTATGGGCTGACGGTTGCATGCATATGATTTCGGGTCAGTAATGTCGGCCCAAGGCGATGGGCGCATTTGATCTCAGATGGGTCAGTCGATCATTTTTCGGCCTATATGATTTTGCTACAGGCCGACAGTTGGGTGCATGTATTGAATCTCAGAAGGGCTGGCCACATGTCAGCCCAAGGGAATAGGTGGGCTCATTTAATCTTGAAAGGGCCAGCCGATCATGTTTCGGCCAATATGGTCTTGCTATGGGCCGACAGTTGAGCGTATTTCATCTTGGAAGGGCCAGCCATACGTCAGGCCGAGGCAATAGGTGGGTGCATTTAATCTCGGAAGGGCCAGCATATCATGTTCCGGTCAATATGGTCTTGCTATGGGCTGACAGTTGAGCACATTTGATCTTGGAAGGGCCAGCCATGTGTCGGCCCAAGGCAATGGGGTATATGATTTCAGAACAACCAGCTGACTATTTTCAGCCCAAGAAAATATAGGAAGGATGCGGTTGGCCTATAGTTATTTCGACCCAAGATGATGTAAAGGTGATCTCAGCAGGGCAGTTTCATGTGCATTTTCAGGACTGCCAGTCCGGCCCAGTGAGTTGTACGTGGCAGTATGAATGCGGATCTTGGAATGGCTGACAGTTAATCCCAGTTATTCATACTCACAGTAGAATACCCAATTAAGCTCGGAAGGACTTACCGAGTGATGTTGGGGGCAAGAAATATGTATTCAGCACCGGCAGAGCTGATGGCTGGGCTCAGCGTCAGATGAATATATATAGGCACATTATCATGTGATGTAGGATACAGGAGAATCTCGAATCTCGGAAGGTTGAAGGATGGCCTAGCTAGTTATAATCAGCCGAAGGAAATATAGATTTGATTACAGAAGGGATCACTATTGGGTTCAGGTAGTGTTGTATGGCCAGAAGATCATACATAAGGGCCAGCTTGTTATCTTGTAGCTCAAATGAACATACCTACGATTCCCGGAAGGGTTAGAAATACGGAACTCAATTTTGGGGCCAGATATATCTGCGATAGTTTAGGATAAGGTAACGGATAGAACACAAATCGATAAATCTGATATTGGAAGGTGTTACAAATGGGCACATCGGATGTCCAATCGGTCCGGTAGACAATAACAGTTGGGCCGATCAAATATGGTGAGCGGCTGAGTGTAAATCTAATTGCGTCGAGCTTGCCTCTTCCGGAGTGTGGCGGAAGGGTAGTAGATGGGGTAAACATCCTTCAACCTGTATACTATTTGATTGAGAACGTGTTACACATAGCTATCATTCGGAGCAGGAAGTAGTGATGAATGGTTGCTGATATGGGGCCTGGTGAGTGCATGAACGGCCGAAGTGTAATATAAAGCAGGAACGGTATGTACCCATTCGTAACACATTCCGGTGTATCTATGTATCTCCTGGACTCGCACAAGGTGACCAGGGAACACTCGTGTGCCATTCAATACTGTGTTTATTAAGAACTCATATCTTTCTGCGGTATGATATCCTTGACACTTTCCAGTGGCGCTTGACTTCAATATTAAAAAGGTGAGCGTTGCCAGGTGCAACAACGGTATGTAATGAAAACAAGTAAAGACAGTAATACGATTATGAGTGTCAGGATCCGATACCTATCCATCGGATATAGTTGAAAGTTCACTGCAGAGCTCAATGCATGCATCCACATCAACCGGCAAAACTGCAGGATCCGGAGTTTTGGTGATTTGTGCAGCAGATACAGAAGTCCTGATATGGCCGTGGACACCCATCAAAACGGACACATCCCACGTGTGAGTCCACTGTCTACCAATGGCAGAGATGTTCAGGTCGTCGTCATGATTAGCTAGCCAAGCTGGAAGGTGCACATTCCCGTGATGAGGGGGAGCATACGCAGTGGTGTCGATCCGAGGATGGTATGCGGTCAGATCATCCATATGGTCCCGAAGGGACATGGTTAAATGTCCAAGTGATGACGATGTTGCTTTCCATTCCGAATCCGAGTATCTGAGTTTTCGCTCCAGTACGTCCAACAGCCGCCCAACCACCTCTTCCACCAAATCAAGTCGTTCTTCCAAATCATCGACCCTGTCATTAGTAGCGAGACCATCAAGTCGCCTGCCCAGGTCTTGAATGCTCTGCAGGATGTCCCTTGCAGTCAGCTCACATTCTGCAGGATTCACGAGTGCTACTGATTGTCCTTGGGGCTCAACGGACATGGATGAGCCCATTGTTGGGATTGGCAGTACCTCTGTTTGAGCCAGCATGACATCCATGTACTTCGGCTCACCCGCCAAGGCCAAATCTGAAGCTGTTTAAGTTTTCTGTACCATCGGTGGCACAGCAACACTCACCTTCATGTTCTACTATATTGTCCTCAACTACAGACAATGACCGATTGGGCAGCATGGGCATCTTCCGGGACCTGGTATTAACCACCGTTTTGTTAATAACTCGGGACTTCGGAGCACGCGACTTGGAGTGTCTGGTAGGATTGGCAACTGCCTTGGCTGCCATGGCCTTGGCTTTCGCTTGCATTCTCTCCCGGACACCAACTCCGTTGATCGCACATGTGACCTTCATTTCATCACAATTAGTGCAGGCAAGTCAAATGCATCCAAATTTCTTGACCGGAAGGACAAGACAGGCCACCCCCAATTTGCTACACTTATCACACTTCTGTGGGTGGTGACGAACAGAAAACTTTGCATGTTTTAGCTTAGATTGGTATGCACAAACGGACTGGCTTACCTCTGCTGCCGTGGCGATAGCAGAATCCCTACCCCATTCAATGGGCTGTCAATATCAAAGTCAGAATCGGTGGTAGGTGGAATGAAGTCAACACACCCTGGTCTCTGCATCCCAGAAACCTCTCTCATTGGCCATCTCAGTTGAATCTGAATGTTCCGGTGCCACATTCTTATCGGCGGGAACATGTAAGAATCTGGTGGGTCACCAGTGCCTGTGCTAGGATAACGGGACTTACCTCTATGACAGAGGCAATGTCAGTATGCTCATTCTGCTCATCACCCGATACATGCTTGCTCCTCTTCTGACTCGACTTGCCTAACCGAGATGGAGCACTCGGTATGTTCCCCAATTTCACCTCTTCCGTGCCATTATCTTCTGCCTTCCTCTTCTTCCTGTTTCCGGCCTTTGGTGCTGTCTTCGCCGCGTTCTTTGTCCCTGGCACAAATAGGTTATATTTGGAGGGGATAGAAACTGCGGACACAGGAAGCGGGGTCAGAGGTTCCAGCGCCATTGAGGTGGGAGAAGGCAACCGCAGTGCAATTGCCTGTGAAGGACTATTGACAAAGTCCCTATCTATGGGAAGAGGAGACAAGGTGGGTGGAGGCACTATGGCCAGCGGTGCAAAATGGACGGCCGCAGGAGTTCCGGACGATGTTACCGGTTCAGATTTCAAAAGAATGGGAATCTCATCTGCTGCATGAGAGCGGTAGTTTAGCGTTTTCTTGAACCGCGGGTGACCCTTGATTCTCAGATCATTGTCTATCACAGATGTCCAATCCAGCATTGTCTGAAAAGTGCCAGCCTTTGAGCACTCTCGCACAACGGCAGCGCATGACAGTAGCTGCGGGGAAAAGGATGTCGCATTCCCTCCATGAAGTTTTAAGTCTTTCGCCTACGCCAAATGTGTTAATATCGATGACATAATGAAGTGCGAGCAAGAAAAAGTACTCACCACGCATCTGGCAATCTCATCCGAGATTCTGAGGACCTCTGGATCACCAGACTCCAACAACATGCACCGCTTGATCAGCAATTGCACGGCCGCCAGCGTAGTATCCAGCACTTCGTTAGCTGTATCAGTGGGTGTCATGATGAAATTAAAAAAATAAAGTATTGTAGGTTAATGGGTGTTATGGTATAACGGAAGGAACAAAAAGGTGACTTTGAAAAACTTGCACACGGGTCGGGATTTATATTCATGAGTCGGTTGTGGCTCTTTCCGAGTGCTGTTGATGCAGAACCCATGGATTTCATTATGACATAATAGTATGCCACATCTACCATTGTTCCACTACATTGAGTTACCACAGTGGCACCGGTCGATTTGTATTGCAATCATCATCGACTCCCTTTTTCAAACCAGACTATCATGACCTTCAGAAAAGTTAGGTTTCTTACTCCTGAACAGCCATATCTTGGCGATATCGCCTCCACCTGCTCTACCTACAGCAGCCATGCCAGCGAAGACGGTCTGGTAGCGCTAGGGCGTGCTTCTGATAAGGGTCTCATCGACTGGTGGGGCTCTTACATCCCATTGGAGTTGTGGACTCCTCCTGCATTGTTGAGGAAACCAAGGATGAAAGGAGTTGTCGGATTGGAAAACTATCTGAAGTTTAAAAGTAAGAACAGCTTTTTCTTAGCCGGAATACTAACAACGGTGCAACAACAGAATACGACTTGACACAAGAGTTTCCTGCCGACCACGAAAAGATGGATGATTTGTTCGCACAAAGGGATCAAGGTGAGTTCGTTCATTTGAGAGCAATGATTTTCACTCACTGGACAATGCATCATAGTATACGAGCTCTGTTTCAACGGCCACTTCGACAAGATAGGGAGTATGCTTGCCGGTGAGTCTCCCATTAGCCCAAAGGTTCTTTCCTCACTCAACAAATGGTGCAAGATATGTATGCTATGGAATCAAGGCAAACATTCAGAAATGTTGCCCAAACTCCGCAAGTAACTTTACCCGGAGGGGAATGTTCCACCTATGCGGAGACAGCACCCAGAACAAGGTATGATGATTCCTACGACTGCGGATGGGACGATCCTAGTTCGGCCGAGTCAGTGGAAGATCCCTACGACTGCGGATGGGAGCTTTCTGCTGATACTCAAAGTATTGTGCAATCAGCTGAGTTGCCAGATGCCTATGACTGTGGGTGGGATTGTCCTATGGATGATCAAGGCATCCCGCAATCATGTGGGTCAGCGGAAGATGCTTATGACTGCGGTTGGGATCATCCTATGGATGATCAAGCCATCCTGCAATTGGGTGAGTCAGCGGAAGATGCCCATGATTGCGGATGGGATCATCCGATGGATGACCAAGCCATCCTGCAATCGAGTGAGCCGGCAGCAGATGCCTATGATTGTGGATGGGATCATCCGATGGATGATCAAGGCGTCCAACAATCGGGTGAGTCAGCGGCAAATGTGGACAGGTCTGTTGAAGATCCCTATGACTGTGGATGGGACAACCCTATGAATGTGACAGAAGCCTCTTCAAATGTGACGGAGGAATATGTTGGCATAGATGCATCCCAAGATGGAGGATCAGCAGGGGATGATCCATATGACTGTGGATGGGATGCCCCGGAAGTCAGCAGACCCACTGCCACTGGCAGTAACACAGTGGATGAATTTGCCTCTTCTGGTGAGCAAGCAGGTGAATGCTTCCATACAAGTATTGTATTATAACGCCTGACTTTCTGTAGAGCATTGGCCAAGTTTGCTAGAAGACAATGAAACAAATGTCTTCGAACATGCAGAACACTCTATGAGGTCTGTGATCCGAATCTTGCATGACATTCGGCCTGACAATAGTAAGTGTTCAGATTTTAGAGCGACTGCCTTTGACATCTTCGGTAGTTCATCACAATGCAAACAGCATTGCAACAACTGCTGGGCATGTCCTCGACCCCATGTTGACACCGACCTCCTTCGGGACTCAAGGCAGTATCGGGGCTCACACGGAGGCAAGAAATAGAGTGGCGGAACTGGGTGAGGACATTGCAACTGTCCACCATTTACTCAACGTCCACCGCCGCATTATGACGCAGCTGGATGTCATGATAGCAAACTGTGCAAAGTGACCGGCCCATGTAGATAATATATCATGTCCCGGGAAACAAATAAATGTAGTATATATTTATATCACCATATATGTACATATGTATGTATGAAGGCCAAGAGGGCCAAATAACCGCTCAAGTTCCCTCATGTGTAAGCGGATAATCATGATCTCGGATATAGATATGTATTGCAGGAAGGAGGTGTAATGGATTCAAATAAATTTCATCATAGTCAAACTTGGCTTGACAAACCAAGCATACCGACCACACCATCTCGGAAGCTATGACAACGGCAATGTCGGAATTCCAACCGATGATGAAATCGTATGGTTGGCAACATTGTGATATCCTCAAATTTATACATGTGTAGAATATACGGATATAGCGGGTACACGAAAGGGATTCATAAACACTCAGTACGATTATGTCCGGTACCGAATAAAATCAGCCTGATTGTATCTGGCAAGGTGGTACATTGCGAAGTCGGCCAAACTGTACTTTGCATACTCTGTATGTGGAGTTCGAGCATGGTTATGCACGCTATCCCACATAAACCAGGCCCATACAATTCTATTGCCCTCACTAACCTGGACACCGTGCCTCACAAGTCAGCCAGAATAGCTGACCATGACGCCCGGATTATAAGCTAGATCTATTCCTAAATTTGTCAGATTCATGACTGCGTTGTCATAGCTTCCGATAGAAGTAAGAATGTCAAATCCTTCTGGGGGGCATTTGGGATCACGATGACCCAGCGTGTCTCTGTTGCATACAACAGCAGCACCGGTACAGTATAGGACCGGCATTTGAGCCAGCGAATTTTGTTGGCCGTCTCAAGTTAACACTCCTCCATTAAACAAAAATCTGATGTGACAGTTATGTTTAGTTATACAATGACCATACTAATGCAACACTATAGAGCAATCAAATGGGTGACGAGTGTGCAATGCAATGATCAGTAAAATGTCTCGATATCTGTTTTTTTCACCACTTGAGCCAGCCCTAAAATGGATATAGCGCACATCTAAGCGCCAACTCGGATTATCGTGTCGTAATGATTCTCAGGTTAGTTACTACTACTCCTCTTCATCCTCGTCACTGGCATTCTCATGGTCATCACCGTCAACATCAAGCTCATCACCTGCAGTGCCCTCCGCAAGTACCGGTTTAGGTAACGGCGCCTCCAATTTACCTCGCGTTGGCTTTTTCCACGCCAGCCGACGCTTCTCCAACTTCGCGAGTTCTTTTTCCTCCTTCCACCGCTCCAAGTCCATTTGATACTTCCCCTTTAATTCCCTGTTACGCTTCTTTCTTGCTTCTTCCGTCTTCTTCCACTCCTCCAAAACTGCAGCATGTTGTTCTCTCCCCTCTTTTCGAGCTTGCTTGGCCACTTCTTCATCTGCTGCTGCTTTCTCATGGTCGACAACTCGCGTGTAGAAAGCATCTCCACTCAGATAACAAGGTAAGCCATTTCCCATTAACTTCCCGCGTTTTTTTGAATTATTCTTCGCCTCTTCCTGTGCTGCGAGTTGCCCATGCAATGAGTCACAGTACATCCCCTGTAGAATTATTGTGGACTGCATCCCACCCATCATAGCTTTCTGTGCAGCCTCTCGTTCATGAGCTGCCGCTAGTCCCTGCTGAAGCGCCCATTCTCTCTGTGTTTCAGGTTCGAAGTCAAGAAGTTCGGATTTTCGTTTCCGGGAAGGCGAGATAGATGTGGGGATGTAGCGAGGAAATTGTGATGACGAGTGCAATGGGCTACTTGACACAAGGAAAGATGCTGATGTTGATGCTAGAGAATTCACAACTGTGCGAGAGAAGTCATCGAGTGGGGAAGGGGTGGATGGGCCAGCGACAGCATTGTTTGGGGACAAGCAGGTGAGTGATTCGAAAAAGCTACTTGGTGTTTGAGTTGATGAAGAACGGAAGGCATTTTCAGTAACTTCTATGTCGTCAAATGGCAGTGAGGGATTTTCGACTGAGTGTGCATTTTGATACTGATGAATAGCATCTGCAAGAACTCGTACTGGACTGGGCTGCAGCAATGGTAGATGCCCTTGGTTTGAAGTAACGAGGCTCGTGGCCATCATGTCTGTTGTAATGACCTGACGGTTCAGTGGGCACACACCAGTCCTCTCGAAAGCAGCTTTAATGGTTGCGGGAGTTACAGCTCGGATGTGAGCTTTTTGATACACCTGAATAAAGTTCTTTTTGGTGATTTTTTGTCCTGTAGTACGCTCGAACTCATCCCGCTCTTCTGACCAGCAGCGTTTGAGTGTACCGAACACAGCCACGTCAAGCCCCTGGTAGATGTGTGTTGTGTGTGCAGGGTAACATAATACATGGATGTTCTGTTGACGTGCATAGGACAGGAAGGCCTCTGTATAATGAGAGTTGTGCCCATCAACGAGAAGCAGCCGGGGATGGCCATTGGCCTTTTCGCAGGTCTTCTTATCAAAATCCTTGATCCAATGGTGACCAATAACACCATCAGTCCACCCTTTCGTCGAGTGAGCAACCCTTCATTTTTTGAGCAACTTTACAACATGTGTGATAGCAAGTACTCACGATGCCCCCAGATTGTTATTATGATGCCACTGGGTTCCAAAAGCTTTACCCTTGTATATGACAGTGGGTGGTATCTCGGTGCCGTCTGCACAGATTGTAACCATAACGGTGATGTTCTCTCGATTTCCATCTCGTTGTTGGTACTGAATCTTTGCCCCAGAAGGACCAAAAACACGCTCCTTGTTTCCACCACCTGGCTGGAATCCAGTCTCGTCTGCTGCCCAAATGCAATCTTCTTCTATACCCAGTGATGTCATAGCACCTTCTAGTAGTGTGAACCATTGATCATGAGTTGTGGGATTGACAGCGCGACCACGAGCGGTGTCAAGAGATCGAGTCCAGAATCTGCCAAGCTTGTCCATGTGTTTTTCAACAAACCGGTCAGTCCAATTTTTTCCTACTCCTTCAGCTGGGAACTTTTCCTTAAGTCGTGCTCGTAGAATGGCATCAACATGTTCCTTGAGTCGACGATGACCAATCGGAAATCCACGACGTCCAAGTTCAAGACAATACTCAACAACCTTCTCTGCCTCCTCTGATTTTAACCATGCTCTTTCCTCTGCCATGTACTGGGCGCTGCTTCTATTCCCTGCAAGTCGACGCGAGACAGTCATGTGGTCAACGACCACTGGTTTCCCAGTTTCTGCTCGATATTCCTCCTGGACTTCTCGACAGATGGCACGGAGGCTTTTGGTAGGCTGATCTTTTCTCTGCTCGGCACGGTACTCATTGATGGCTCGAGTAATGGCAATCTCTTGCTCTTGCCTAGCAAGTTGTTTTTTCCTGGTGACTGATTTTGGACGACCAACCATGACTGAGATATGCAGAATATGACTGCAGGATGGTGTTCATCGAGCCTGTAAACAAAAGTCCAAATTGGGTTAGTTTCGCAATCTTGTCCTGATAAACACATTTGATAATGGATTTTGAGACCCTCGTCCGGGATCCCAGTGGCAGCATGTTGTTGTGTGTAGGACATATATCATTGTACTGAAACTGTACTAGGGATATAGATCTTTCATTTGGCAGGATTTTTGACATTGATAATTGAATACTTCCTTCTCGCTGCATTGATTAGTGCCAAAAGAGGGCATGTTTCTGACCTGTAGCATGCATATACAATTTTTTTTTCATTTCTACTCGACAGTATCTCAGATGCATGTATTTAGAATATATCTGTGCTATCCGATGTGTCAATAAGCAAATGTTGAGTGTGTGGTAGCTGTTTGGCTCAAATGACGGTGCTGGCTCAAATGCCGGTCCTATACTGTATATGCCGACGCCCAATGTTGCAAACAGCGGTACATCTCATCTTGCCCTTGCTCCACTGCCCAAAGCCCAAGTTCAACATGAGTGGACATCAAGGCCCAGTACAATTGCGGATGCATCACCCGAAGGGCAGCAGATGACAGGAGAGCCAGCTGCTGCATATCCATAATTGAAGAGAGATTGCAATCGCCTTTTAGGGTACCCGAAACTTCCGGTATGAACCTTTTTCTGGGATCCTGAGATGGTGGGCCTTGACACTACTGTCGTTAAGGATGACGTGATTACAGCAAAACTTGTGCTCACCTCCCGCCCCTGTTGGAACTAGCAGGGAGAAATATTGATGCACCCAGGAATCAAACCAGGTTCCATGGCTGCGTGGAAGTTGGAATAGTTGGTCCGCCATTTGCTTGTCCTTCCGGTTGACGCCTTTCCGGTGGTGATGCTTTTTCGCAACAAGTCCCCCATACTGACTGTGGCAATGAACATATCTCACTTATGTGCTTTGGTGAGTGTCATGTCATATTTGAGCGAATCTCCGCCCACCTGCAGAGACCAATTCAACGCACCTGGGAGATACCATAGAATGATCCAGTAACTGGCATCAATCACCACCGATGGGCTATCTAAGAACATGCGTTCGGCAGGAGGAAACTTTGCCAACAATGCTTCTTCACGAGCGTCATTCAACCCTGACTCCCGTTTGGCCAAGGCCTTGTTGTACCTAATGATATCAATATCCAATTTGACTACATCTGTCAGAGCAGAGTAGCAATAGTCAATGCCTGAACTCACTGGGATGTTGATATGCTTCCGCCAGCACAAAGGCTAGGTGTCCACAAGCAAGCGCAGTTTCAGGATCGAGTTCCAGAGGTGTAGGAACAAGAGGTCTCCCGGCAACATGCACGGTGAACTGCTGCTCTACCCATTCGCTTGCTATGTCAACAGCATTCAGAGCCCAATCCCATGGAATGAATGATGTTGCGTGAGTATGTAGATCACTCTCAGCCAGTTTTTCATGGTAGGTCATCCAATACTCATCGGATATCATGGTGGGGAGGCACGGTAAGTCCTGCAAGCACAGCTGGCATCTTATACGGATATTGTCCAACCTACGGTTGTCTTTATGATGTAAAATATCACACTCCTCAATATTATTAATAGCAAACATGAGGCATCCGGGTGTATAGGAATGGCGCGTGTCAACCCATTGTAATATTTTCATAGGTGCTGGAGATAGGCTATATAATATTTACATACAAACGAATCACTTCACTACACATAAAATTTGCTTCCGTGACTATTTACATAATGGCTCTGCGTCAGCATACAAAGGGATGTAACTCAGGGAATGGATCTCCACGAGGTGATGTTCCTATCCGACCATTGTTGTAATCCTGCTCCAATATGGCCATGGCCGCATGGGATGCTGCCATTGCCACACGGACCTCGTCTACTGGCTGCTCCAGCCGATTCATTGCATCCACCGCTGCTCCAGTGACCTCAAGCTTACTGACAAGGAGTTGGCCAAGGTCGAGACCGAGTCGGGCGACTTCAGTCTGGAGCACTTGAAGTTGTTGAAGCAGTGGGTCCTCACTGTGTGGGTGGATGATTGGTTCAGGCATCATCAACCCCAAGGCAGGCTGATTATTTGTGCATAAAAATCAGCATCTATACTGAATTATATTCAGGATCACTTACCCGCTGTGTGAAGTGCTCAGCCGTTAGGTCCTTCACCTCGGCTACTGAGAACCACAGAGGCATTTGCATAGGAAAATAATGGAATGTGGCCGTCCACCAACAGTGCCGGTATCTTGGAACAACGCGATAGCCAGATATTGCATTGCCAACATTGTCAGGTGGACAGTTCTAGAAGTCCTCAAAGAGATTGACGCGATCACCTTCTGTTTGGTAGGTAGCAGCAAGCAGGAGAACCTTGCTGAGATATGTCGGCATGCTTGTATTGATATTCATAGCTGTGCATATGCTGACAAACGGCGTCACAAACCGCTGGAACTCCAGATTAGTCAAGCGGTCCGCACAGGATTGGAAATTAACTTACATCCACTTCCCAGATCAGGTGTTGAACAAATGAATGCCGGTAAGCGCTTGATGGGTTCTGCTCTGTCATCTGAGCGATATGGATAGCAGTGAATCTGGAGGTGGCGTATTTGAACACATGGGCTGCATCCCAAATGGACAACGCACCGATGCGAGACTCGGAGAGTGTAGGAATCTGGTCGGTCATGATTTCTAATATGATAACAACAGTAGGGAAATACAACCGGGCCTGACCTCCTGGTTTATATGTGTTGTTGGAGATTCAAAATCCACATCCGGTAATGTAATTCATAATGACCAGTTTCCATTGTTCAAGTGATTGTGCCTGGACCAGTAGATCTAATGCATTGAATGACATATATTATGTGTGCTACGATCAATTAATGATACTATACATTCAACAATCAAGCATTTATCGTGAACTTTGGATTTGCCTTTAGAAAACTTGCACGTGCATGTTCGGCCAATTCGTGGTACATGTGGGCCTGCCAAATTGCATAACATTTGTGCCCTTCTGGGAGTGGATCGCCATTGTGGGTGATGCATGACAACCATGAGCATGCCTTGCGGAGGAAGAACTGCACAGTCCAACCCATTTCATGTTCAACCAGTAGCAGTTCTTCCGACCACCAATCATGCAATGCTTTCGTGCGAAGCCAATGAACCCTGTAAACTGTGCCCTGTCATTGATGGGTTAACATAATAAGTGAACCATTACAGACATTCATTCATCCAATTGCTGCTGACAGAATCTCCCTGAACATCAAGAGACCAGAACCACGGAAGCGTGGAGTTTCTTTGTCCCCAAGCATTGGGATCGGCGACAGCAGCAGTAGCTTTGAGATGACTTCTCTCCATCCGGAGATATTTCTCTAAGAGGTTGTGAGCTTGGAGATTGCCGAGTTGCACCTGGCATTTCAAATAAATCGTCGTTTGCTGTCTGATGACCCTTTCCACCAAATGTACCTGAGTCCACGCCCTGGTTGACTTTGCCTGGGATTTGGCCAGACGAACTGTGGTGCAGAAGAGCACAGCCTTATCAGCTAGCAGAACTCAGATTGCTTGCAGGGTGCCATTGGCCTGCCCTTCCCGAAGTGCAACTTCCTGACCCACAAGGTGGATGACACCCAGCTCAGTACACCTTTTGATGCCAATATTCGATGGGAGAGGTATAACCACCTTCTTGGGATGGAAGAAATTGCATTGAGGGACATGGTCGGAATCATGGTCACTCTCGGTAAACAAGTCTCCTTCGCCCTCTGAATCATCTATAAATTCAACCTCAAGATCTCTGATATTGTCATCCAGATCAAAGTCTTCTCTGAAATGAGTGACTGCCGTGGTTGTAAATTCATCTATCCGACTTTGCAGCTTTGTATGACGTCTCACTATCTCCAGGCGCTGCATTTCGGTGGAGTGTTTTCCCAATCTCCGGATGTCGATCAAGAGAGATATTTGCAGCTCTTCTATAGTGATACCAGATGTGATCCATGTAGCAGCACCGCACTTTGCATGCCCTCCTCCGTTACTGGTCCGAGAAGACAGTAAAGCCAACTCTTGCTGTTTCCTCGTCAGTGCTATCAACATTTGATCACTGATGGTGCAGATCGGACGTATATTGGCCGTGACTCACCCTTTTGCAGCTGGACGTCGAATATGTCCATTGCCGATGGATCCGTGCTTCAATGCAATTGTGCTTCTCGATCTTGTTCCACCCATGCTTTGACCATGGCAGGATCCGCGGTTTCATTGAGCTTCTCAAATGCTGTCATGCTTTCGGACACTCCCTTCACTGCTTCTCGATATTTCCGACATAGGAAACCACCTGGAGAGTGTTAGTATTAAATATGTAAGGAAGAATATATCTCAACTCATTCTGATCATTTTCATAAAATTTGAGTCGTTCATTTGGTAATCAAGACATTCCTGTTGATGGGGAGTGGACATCCCTCTCACAGAGGGAGATATGATATTCAGGGGCGCCCACAATGTCTCCATGATCTCCCCGTTGATCCTGGCTGCCCCTGTGATAAAGGTGGATGCATACCGGACATAGCATTTGTCCTGATGACCATGGACATGCCAAAGTCCTATTCCCGGAACGATCTCCATACCGGCCAGAATGCTCAAGTGTGAACTGTCATTTACCCTGCACCGCAAATATTTGTTATATTGGCAATTAACGTCATAAAATGTCAAAGCTCAACTGAGTCCATTGGTATTATGGCTCAAAGCGTGACATAGAGCATAGTCCATGTTCATGTGTCTAATCTCCGATGTGAGGTTTAATGATAATGAGTGACATGTGTGATCTTACCTTTCGCCTTTCTGAAAATTGACAATGGAATGGGGGACGAAACAGCCATGTCGAGCACATGCGCAACCGCCTATTCCTGTAGCTTCCAGTTTGTGTCGGGAAGCATTTGCTTGATTTACAGCCCGATGGTTGTTACATTCCAACATGTGCACATTTTCTTTGGCACCAGCAAGATGCATCTTGTATTGTTCTCTGGTCACCATGAAACACCTTCCATTGGTCAACCATACTTCATCTTCTGGACGAGTAGGATGGAGATGTTCTGCTTTAAAATTACCATCCATTACTAGTGATCTGGCATATATCCATTCCGGATGGTTGCTGTCTCTTTTGGCCGGCTGCGGTGCATTGATACCGGGTTGTGGACAGGTGGGGCAAAACAGGGCAAGTTCACCTGGATGCGGAAGTCTTCTCTCATGAGCAAAGCCGTTCCATTTCAGAAGTTTCAGTTGACGCCATTGCCTTCCAACACGCATTAATTCCCTATACCGGTCCTGTCCGGAGGTCAGTTAATACGATGATGACCAACTGGCACCTCAGACATACAGGGACTAGATGCGGAAATGTGCTAGATGTCATTCTCCTTAATTTAGAGTAGTAATTCATAGCTGAAGTCCTGCATTCCAAGTTGTCGAGGAGAAAACTATCCAGTACTGAAAATGTGAATGCTGATTTGGGCCGACTGAAACATGCCAGAAACATGCCCATTGCAAACAGCTGCCTGTCTGGGGTAGCGGCATTTGGGCATTTACAATACCTGATGAGGAGTGAATGGACTCTGGATTTGTCAACCACTGTTGTGCATTCTTTTGCATGTAGAAATGGCAGCTCCGGTATTGCTGAGTAGTCAGAGGACAGTTCGCAAGTGGGCTCGTCTAAGTCCTCCCATTCATGGATATCCTTGAGACACGGACACGGAAGCCCACTATGCCCCAGATGAAATTCCATATCGATCTTTGCCAATGATGTCGCTTCGAAAAAGCTCCCGTTCCATTTGCTTATTTTGTAAAATGGCAATCGTCTATGCTCATCTTGACAGCATTTGATGCAAAACATGGGATCACCGAGGCAATCGTGGCACTGGTACACAACCGAATCTGCATTGCATAACGAACAAGACTTGTTCGAAGGTGGAGCCTCCCGTTCTAGAAGGACTCGAAGGTAATCGTCCTTCTGAGCCATCCATTCCTGGAGATAATCATTTGGGCTCTGAGATCCTGGTCAGCCTTGAACGGGTGAAGAACGCAGAGTATCATACCTTGGTCTTTTTTTTCGCTAGCAACACGTTAAGCGAACCAATAGGGCCATGATCACTCCAGTCTGCATTATGGGAATTGAAGTCAGGTGTGTACTGAGGGAGCATCGTACTGGAGCTTTGTTTTGTGGGAGACTTTGTTGGAGATGACTGTGCGGATTGACTTGGCTGGTGTCATTTCACCGGACACCATTTGCCTTTCCGGCCCTGAGTGGTCTTTTTTACTTTCCATTCGACCAGCTGAACTGTTCTTGGAGGACTCAATATCCTTACCCTGGATTTACCCATGAACATGGTATGAAGTTGTGTGAAATATAGGACAGTAGAATTACAGCAGCAACCTCTGCTCACTTAATAGCCAAAATGAAGGGAGGGCACATAACACTCTTATTACAGACATTTAACAAACACACACTCACCATCACACCCCAGTACATCCTATCACTATCCTCCGTAGTATATAATGTCTGATCACGACTCTGGCTCTGAATCTGAATCTAACAAACAGCCTGCGTTAAATGAAGATGAGGTCGCTATCCTGCAGTCCTACATTGAGCAATGGGACTTGGCTGAGGTATTGGACCGCAACAAGGTCTTGAAAGCAGCTGCAACCAAGGCTCGGACAAAGGCTCCAGTGATGGGTATACGACTGCTGAAAGATCACAAGGCAGTGAGTATTGTATCATTTTCAGCACCAAATAAGCTTTGATATTCGGTAGGTCTACGAGACATGGTTCCAAAACCAAGGAATGAAGAGGAAGCTGGCTAAACCCCCTATCAAGATGGGGCAGAGATGGACCGAAAGAAGTGTTATAGACACCTCCCGGAAGAAAGAACTATTAAAAACAATCCAAGATGAGACTGGAGCTAAGCCAGGGACGAAAGAAATGATCAACCATTACACCAAGCAGCTCAACCTCCTCATTGCATCCTTGCCCCCAGAAGAACTCAAAGAAGCCAAAGAGACGGCTGATATATGGAACCGTCAGGGTGTTCCGGATGACGTCAAGTCCGACATTGCCAGGAAAAAAAGCAATGACATGATTCATCATTTCGCAACCGAGATGTGGAACCGGGTGGGAATGAGGGTCTTTGTTGTGTCAGCTTGGAAAAATGAAGAGGGTAAGATTCATGTGGCTGGGTGAGTGATCCGATGGATGCAATCAGTAGCTTCTCACATTTCTGGCAGTCACGACTATAACAATGAATATGGTGGTGCCGACTCTTTCATGAAGACTCGCAAATGGGATGCCATCCTCCCAGAATGGGATTCATATGCAGAGAGCGCATTTGGTAGAGTCCTAAACCGGCTTCTGTGTAGCGGAGACTAACAAAAATCAGATGGTAACTTGGATGGCGATGCAGTTGCAACTCGCAAAAAAGGTCGACAGGACAAAACTTACATCCTTGATGTTGGTGACAACGGATATCCCGTGCTCCCTGCATGTGATTCTATGGATCTGGACACGAAGAAAGCAGTTGTGCGCGCATTTTTGACTTGGCATTACAGTAGGTCACCGTTTGCCTCTCGGAAGTAATCTAACTGTTGAAAAGGAAAATGTTGTGGGGATCCAAAATTTTCAATCCCATGGAAGTATGTCATTCCTAGATGCGGTGAGATCATTCTGACAGAGTGCCTTCCGGAAGGACACAATCTCGCAGAGCCTTCAAAGTTAAGGCAGGTCCATGCCATGGAACTGCTACAGTTCTGGTATAACCGACAGGAAGAGGGCGAAGAGCACGTATTGGAATTTATCGGTTGGTGGGACAATGATAAAGAGGATATGGTGCTTGCTGCAGACATGGAAGTACCGGTGACAACACCGAGAAAGAATAAGAGAAAGCTCAAGGAGATGTCAGATCCGCCAAGGAAGCAGGCATGTCAATGGCAGCAGTCTCCAGCAGGACGATCGCAATCCGGTATCAATGCTAAGACAAAAAGGGCCGTGTGAGAGCCGGAAACGAACATCCGACATGGAACTGCCGCTTCAGGTCATGCACAAAAGAATCACAAGGGGAAGAGGCCATCAAACAAAGAATCTGACGACGCACGAACTATCAGCGACGAGTCCCTTGCTGAACAATCCAATGGATCGGAGGATGATATTCCTAGTGGCCTAACGGCGATTGTGCCAAAACGCTGTAGCGGCCGTCCAGTCCTGATCCCCGGTAGCAACGACTCCGACAGTGAGGTTGAGGAAAATATTCATGAAAAGTCTGTTAAACCGGTGGGCGCAAGAGGCAAAAAGGTTGCATTTCCGATCCAGGCCGCTGCTGTTGATATGAGATCATCAAAGAAGGGTGCAGCGGTTGAGAAGCCAAGAGACGGCCCTCGGAAGCATGTGCAAAAGGGCCCTGACCCTGACCGTTTGGCATCCACCGTGACACACAAAGCCATTGCACCAAGGCAGCAGATGGCAGATCTACCGACGGAAGCTGGTAGATCATCTCATGAGCGCAATGATGCTGTGGTCGGTGCGAAAGCTCGAGGGCAGAAAAGGACTGCCAAAGAATGTTTGGAAGGATCTCCTGCTAAATGGAAAAGAAGTCGACGAGTTCAACAGGATAAAGTGGCTTTTATAGAGGCTAAGGAGAAGCCAAGGAAGAAACAGTTTGAAGAAGCTACTGATGGGTCACCCTCAAAACGGACGAGGAGTAAGACTTCACAACCTGCTGCAGGCAAGCGCTCCCGGAAGCTGAACTCTTGGTATAACGATTATGTGAAGCCCTAAGGCATTTCGGAGTGTTATGACACCTGCGCCTTAGATGGCTTTCAATTTTGTGGAATGGATCTGGTAAGGTTTTATTGACTTTGAAGATAGAAGTTTTCAAGTTGTTTGTATGTCCAGCCCCTTGTATTGCTCACTAGCTCATTTTACACCAACATGGAAGTTATTTGGACTAATTATATATGGCAATTGAGTCATTGCATGTGAGGCTGCCGCTGCTCTATACCGGTGATCATGGCATCTAGTGGGTCCATTATCCAGCAGTGAATGTTGAGCAAATGGTGAATATTAATGACATCTGCACCAAGTTCGGTCACCCGATCTTTTGCATCTGTGTATGCACCGAACAGACTTCGATTTGCCATGAATGTGATTGCTGGCCGAGGGTCAGGCACACGTGCGACCGCTGGTGTGACAATGCTGTGTATGTATCGATTGACTGCCTCACGTGTAGGTCAGGCATGATTGAGCTGCAAGATCAACATACTCACAGTCATTATGTCCTATGCTATTTAGTCGTTGGATAGCTCAATGCATGGACTCTTTGGCCTCCTCAAACACATTGGGATCGGCTGGTGAAAAGGACTGCCCTGTATATATCGGACATTAGCAAAGAATGCAGCGAGTCACATATGACTTACTTGAGGTGGCAGGTGAAGATGTAAGGTCTATAACATCTCTCCCCTCTGGCGATGTCAGGTCAATGACATCAATTTCCTCTCTCATCTCAGACACTTCCGGTTGCTCCTTGATTGTTATGTTATCCATCGGATCATCCCACCCGCAATCGTAAAGATCCTCGGTGCTGTCCTTTTCAATGTCCGGAAGTTTGTTTTCTATATCAATGTCATCCACTTTGAATGAATTTAGTGAATCCGATCTAGACCAATCAGTGGGAACTATGTGCTGATTTGTACTATAGTCCCCATGTTCATCGGAAGGATTATAAAATATCTTGGCAGTTGTGGTCATCGCAAAGTCCTGCCACCCGCATCCATATGTATCATCAGTGCTATCTCCTGGTGTTGTGGTTTTTTCTGGCAATGCAGCATCATCCTCCCATCCGCAGTCGTAAGGATCGGCCATCGACGACTTGGAGAGAGCCATCTCCTGGACAACTGGATCATCCCACCCGCACTCATATGAACGATTTCCCGCCTGTCTCAGTTGACTAACCTTGTCAATAGAGTGCGACAATTGAGCCGTATCATCCGTTGAATCACGGCCTTCCTGGCAGAAGGGTTGATTTATACCTTCATCCTGGCTTGGATTCAATCCTGTGAACCTGTCAGTTGGGATTGAAACAACAAAATGCCCACTAACTTTCTTCCGATGAGATATTCATTGGTGAGGCTTCGGTATCCATGGTATCCTCCCATCCGCAATCATAAGGGTCTGCAGCGGCAGACTTATTTGGCGATACCGCCCTGTTCACCATCAGATCATCCCATTTGGACTCGTATAAATTATCTGCAGGTATAGGTTCCTGCAAAACTTCATTTCTCATCGGATTTGACAATGCAGCCCAGTCTGCTTTGCAGTTGAGTAAGCAAATATTGGCTGCCAAGATTGTACTCGCCTTCCTCCGGTTCAGCATTTTCTAATCCTATAACCTGGTTAGTAGAAGTGTGAAAAAGTACATAACCGACAAACTTTCTCCCGGCATTATGACTTCATTCAGAGCTGCAGTTTCGTCCTCCCATCCACAATCATAAGGATCGGGCATCGATAACTGATTTGAGGGTGCAATAGCACCATCCCATCCGCAATCGTAGGGATCATCAATGAGAGTCGTGGAATCCAGAACCGGATCCATGGGATGTGGTGATGTCTGTGAATTTGGCGTATGTTCTATTTCATCAACACAAGTTAGCATATTCCTGGCAGCCAGGTTGTGCCAACCTTCGGATGTTGCATTTCCTAATAATATTAATATGGTTGATTCTCATGAGTTATTGAACAAACACACCTTCTCCAGGCTTCGCAGCTTCTTCCGGAGCTGTGGTGCCATCCTCCCATCCGCAATCGTATGGATCGGGTGTGGAAAACTCATGAACAGGAGCAGCTCCATCGACAGTTGGATCGTCCCATCCGCAATCATAAGGATCTTGGAGAATTGTTGATTCCATCACCATACTGATGGTGTTTGGTGATGTCTGTGATTTAGCTGAATCTTCTGATTGATCAACATAAGTTAGCTTGATCCTGGCTGCCAGCGTGCTAACCTTCCGATGTTGCACCTCCTAATTCTATTAATAAGTTCAGTCACTGGACAAATCTAGTTGTGCCGATAACTGACCATCAGGACCTTCAATTGTTCGGGAATGTTGGCCTCTTAAAAAGTTTGGGGTCCGGAGCAATTCAGTTACATACATGTCTAATACAATTTGTTAGACAAATGGATGAGGCATTTTCCATGCTCACCGGACAGCATGCTTGTGACTTCATCAAAGTCACCGTTGAAACAAAGCTCGTATTCTGTGGACAAGGTTTGTTCAACCACGCCAGCAATCCAGCAAATGGCTGACTTTTCTCTTTCTTTCCCATGGAATCACTCCGATATTCATAATAATGGGGAAGCTCGGCACAGAACTTATATACTTTAATGGGAATGTTTTCAGAATACCGGGCCGAATAGGGGTTATGGTGAACTTGCATTTATACACCGGATATGATTTCAGTCCGATGATTCCTTGAAATGTCAGAATGCTCTCTGGTTTGGGGGGAATCCATGACTCTAAAGGGACATAGATGCCCCACCAATCGATCAGATCCTCCTCCAATGCGCAGTGGTCCTGTACCGGGGAGTCAGTGAGTGTAGAACACTGATATTGAGACTCGGTAGAATAGATGCTGGAGAGTTTGTCATCAGCATATGAGAACACTTCGTCGCCAGCATGTGACATAGTTGGAGTGGCACAACGAACATGTAGCTCAGACATGATCTTATGTGTGAAAATGAAGTCAGAGAACATCATGATAAATATGCGCCAAGATATACTGTGATATCTACGGCAATTGAGTATGATGTAGGCCACACGTTTCTCAGAAACACCCACCACCGACATATTGGTATAGATCCCGATATGGGTAAAATTTCTCTGAGTCATTCCTTTTTCTCTTCCCCAGAGAGTTGCGCTGTTATAAACTCACCAAAGTTTTGCATCTAGTGCTATGACACCTTCCGAAGCAGATGCTGCTCTGAATGACACATTAGAGGATGTGCAATCACTTATAAAGCGATGTATGAAGTTGAAGGAGGGCGATTCAGCGGCGGGGTTGGCATTATCGGATGAAATCGCTAGACGTGTGGTACGTCTGCTGCCGTTTATGCAGTGTTAATGTTGGTACTAACACAACTGGTTACAGGCAAAAGACTTAAAACTCTACGCAGGCCATGCAACATCATTCTCCCCCCAGCTGCTGTCATGTGTGGTGGTCGTACAGCAGTATTCCAAGGCTGGCGTCTTTCAAGCATTGCTGGACTGGACAACCGTCGTCGTCGATGATCCGCGCATCAAGCATCATCCAAGATTCCACAAGACGGTAAATTATCGTCATGTCACCAGTTTTGGGGTCACGGAACCCATTGCTTCCGTTTTGGCGGATGCGCAAGCTACCTCCTCAACGCTGCCCTTTGATGCCACTCTGGAGGGCAGGTCGATTGCTCACGTTCAAGACCCTGCCCTCACAAGGCAAATCTTGAGCCTGGCCATACATCTACCCCAGCAGCCTTGTTTGACCAGGTCCCGCTGACTCCTCCCTGAACAGTAATGGCACCATTGGAACCACTGACTCCTCTTTACCCTTCCACCGCAGCTGCGCCAAGCAAGGATGATCCTAGTGTGACAGGAAACATGAAGACACAAACGAAGACTGTTCAACAACCCGCCAAGTGGAAGAACAGACAAGCAGAAGATGATGTCACAAATGAAACTCACGGGACGCGTAGACCAGCACCACACCCATTATCCCGGCAATCTGCTCCCAAAAGGAAGAAGAAGTTCATGTCGGATGATGAGGAGAACCGCCCGACCAGAAGCATACTTATCACCCAGAAGGTGCTATGTCCTTCTTTTGCTGTTTGTACTTCTGACTTTAGCATGAATGTTGCAGCACAAATCGTTGCCATTGAGGGCAAGTGCAGTTGCAGGACCAGTCAATCCAATGCCCTCAGACACAGTCAATAAAGGTTTCTGGGATGCAGACACCAGGGTAGGTCGTCATCTACTCGGTGATTCCATTTTAATGCTTCTTTCTCTAGCCAGCTGGATGGGGTCGTGATTCCACCATTGCAATGGCGGCGGAGGTGGGTTCTTGATACTCTGGATGCTAATATCAGGTGATGTATGTTGTTCCAGTATTCCGTTCGCTATCACCCCCGAAAGTGTGACAAATGCGTCAAATTGGATGTACCTTGTATTGTACTGCCAGACAAGAAACATGGGTTCACATGACTTGCCTGTGCCAACTGCGATGAAATGAAGATAACCTGCGCAATTGACGGCATTGGCGTCCAGGAGAGGTTGCAAGCAAAGTCGAAGGGAGATGAAGCTCTTCCTCCCAAATGTACCCAAATCTGCACCCCCAAATCGCACCCCACCAAAACTCAAGCTAAATCTGTCACCACAAAAAGAAAGAAAAACCCTGCTCGTGGGTTCACCCGTGCCGGACAAAAGGCTGTCGTGTTAGATTTATCGGGCGGTAAGCACATCTATATCAACCTTCGGACGAGCAAAAATCAATCAAATTTCAGACTCACATGCGGACCAACCAATGGAGGGTGTGACTCAACATCCGGATCCACTGGCACCCCCGGCCATGCAGCCTTTGGAGACAGTGTTACCCCCGGCAACGGCCCAACCAATCACCGATCCTGCGGTTGGGTCAAGCAGACTCCGACATCAGCCCAAGCCCAAGCCAACTGCCAGAGATATACTGCATAGCATACATGACCTCGGTAGACGGTTCAATCTCCTTGCCACAAATGAATGGGTGGACACGTTAGACACAAGGTTAGGTGTGATGGAGAAGACATTAGATGTGAGGTTGACCGTGCTGGAGAAATGTTTAAGCACTTCGAATCAGCATTGGACTGCGACATCATCATCTCTGGGCAATTTGGCCATGGCTCTTCGGAAGCACAAAGACAATTGGATGGTACACCATCCTCGTGAGAGCATAGCCAGAGACTCACAGTCACAGCAACATAAGGCCATGTATCCGTTGTGGTCACTCCACAATACCGGCAGCGGTGATGAGGAGGCTGCCTCACAAATTGTGAGGCAGCCCCCTAGTGTCAACAGCAAACGGCTAGATAATGCCAGGAGATCTGTATCTACAGCTGTACCTGGAACATCACTTCCGTTCGCCTCCTCTCCTTTATCTTCCTGATTCTCTAGTGCCCCGCCCAGCACATCCAGCGAGTAGATCGTTGTCACATCCAGCTGTGCGTGTCATGACTAAAGGAGCCTAATGCCATTGTCTTGTATTTCTATAAGATAGCAGTGAGGAGATGTATGAAGGTTTGCAATAGAAGAATCAGATGTTCCACTAAATTGAAAGTTTGCTGTGTCGGGAATGTTTGGCATAAAATGGCCTACTTTCAAGACGATTCTGCCGAATGATATGTTTATTGATGCATCATCATATGGCAAACATATGATCAAAGCGGTGCTTCCAGGATGGGCCAGCTGGTTTCACCAATGTTGTTTTCGGCCCAAGAAGTCGCGTTTTGTGTCGTTGGATGGGCCAGACAAGAAAGAATTTGGTTGTGGTGGCTGTGTATGAATGTATTAATCATGGAAATCTGCCCAGGTAGATGGGCTGCACAACAGGGACCTGTGGGGAGCAGGCCAACTCATCGCTCCTCTAGGGTTATGGATGAGCCCAGCTAGTTATTTTTGGGCCCATAAGCATATGCTTTGATCTCGGTAATGCTGACGGGAGGGCTCAGCTAGTCATTGTTAGGCCCAGTGGGGCTCAATCAGCAAAGGTCCAGTTGACCAAAAAGCATGAGTTTCATCTCGGAAGGGCCAGGAAGTGATGTTTCGGCCTGTGTTATAAGCATGTAACTCTCTGAGAGGCGACCAAGCTAAGATGGATAATCTCGGAACATTTGACGGATGGGCTCAGCCATTTATTGTGAGGTCTGTGAACATTACAAGGGCAAACTGACATGCCAAGCAATTGATTGTGTGCGTAATGCGGTTTTGGCAAAGCACAGTTGGTCATTGGATGACCCAGCACATATCTACACTATCTTACGGATGGGCCCTACTAGTGAACTGTTGCTCTCGGAAGGGCTTGTACACTGGCTTAAAAATGTCAGATATGGGTCTCTGGTGAATATAGATGCAATCCAGGATGGGATTGGGCATTGGAACCATTACAAATAGCAGAGCAATGCAACTTTTGATGTGATACCGGAAGAGAGATATATATTGACGTTTGCAGATTGACCTCTCTGGAAATTCAACAAATCAATTTCACAGATGATGTGAAAACCCTTGTAGATCATGAGCCAAATGGATCCATTTATGTGATAAGTGCATGGCAACATCAGCATACATGATTATCTAGAAGTTACATCCCAAGCATTCCCCAGAATTGCCAAACAGGTGATCTTGACCTACTATGCACGCCCCAATTGTCATCATGAGCATCTTCTGTATGATACGCAAGACATCCAATCAGATTGTGGCGATGTCTGGTATCGGAAGATGGTATGATGACCTGCGGCTACGTATGTACCAAGTAATCCGGTCAGCTACTATATTTGGTAGCCACAACTTACATGGGCTCAGTTACTACAAAGATGAAGCAATGCCAACAGTTTGATATAGGAGCCCATACAGATAAAAAGATGATATATGTGTTAGCGTGCTGGCTACCTATCACCCCCAGAGCTATAATCGGACGCAATCATTGTTCCGTAGCTCAGCATGCCAGAACTTGTATCATGCCTGGGCTACAACCAGATGAACTATATACACTGCAGTATATTATGCTATTGGAAGTTCAAGCTTCATGCAATCACCATGAAGCCAGGTGTATGTGACTAGGTGGGACCAAGCAGTACACACAAAAACCATTCAAAAAGGAATAGGTGACATACAATATGTGCTGGAGCATCAAACTGGGTAAAATCACAGAATCTCCGCAATATCGGCAACCCGCACAGTATATCTAAGAGTCCGAACATAGATAATGCTTTCAATGTAAGGACAGTGAGCAACTAGTCCGGTAGCATATTTCCGGGGGAATGTACAGATGTGCCGGAGGTAATTAAATACCGGATAGAGTTCAATATGAATGCTGATCCGGATCCGACATTGACATAGATGTAGGAGGGGTGCACTGTTTTGTATAACATCCGTAATGACATTCATATAGCTATCTGCCCGCTTATCAACACCGTGAGTCCGGTCAGAAATATTATCTGCCGCCATCGTTCTGTAGTTGGAAGTGGTAAAACTTTCACTGACAAGAACTATGTCCACCGGAGGATTATTCTATTGGATGTCACAGTGTCATGCAATCACGGTCCTCGTAACTAGGGGAGACAACCTATTCAAGAAAACGACAATGCAGTCTATATGTACAAATGAAAAGGATAGAGGTGAACTACAGGGAACGGTGACCAGGAATAGCATAGTCAGGCAAAGAGCAGCTAAAATTACAGGATATATATGTACCCGGGTATCATAACATAGCAAACTAGTTTGTGTTTGAGGTTCTAGATGTGCCTACATATCTCTTCACTGGGAATCCGATTAGTTGAGCCGTTGCTCCAAGGCCTTCAACCGCTGGTTGAAGACACTCTCTACCAAAGCCACTCTCGCCTCCAATGCTTCCACGCGCTCATTGGTAGCAAAGAGATCCAATCTCCTTCCGAGGTCCTGGATGCTCTCCAGGATGTGCCTTGCTGTGGGCTCTGGATCTATGTTGTTGGTCGGAGCAGGGTGGTCATCCTGTTCTGGCTGTGGGACGGGTTCTGATGTCGACACAGTTGGGAGCGGTTGCATGAGCGTATTGCCAGGCAGTACATCCTTTGGTTGTTGCCCAGCCTCTAGGTAAGCTAGATGAGGTCAAGTTCCTTGGATCCAACAGAAAACTTACCTGTCTCTTTGTGTCCGAGGCCAGAGGAGCCATGTGGGGTGGTTTTCTGGGAAGAACGGCCAGCCAGAGTCTGGGAGATCACCCGGGACTTGGGAATGCGGGCTCCGGAGTGCTTGTCAGAATTGGATAACACTGCAGCGGTCTCAGCTTGCAACCTCTCCCTCACACCAACACTGTCGATAGCACACGTGATTTTCATCTGATCACAGTTTGCACACGCAAGTCGCATGCATCCGAACTTTCTGTCCGGAAGAACAAGGCAGGGTATATTGAGTTTCCTGCACTTGTCGCACTTCTGGGGGTGGTGACGCACGGAATGCTGTCAATTTGTTAGCTTTTCAAAGTAGTTATGCACCAAATGGAATGTTTTACCTCCAACGGCATGGCGATATGAGAATCATGGCCCCATTGAGCAGGCTAAATAAATTGGTGAGTATAGGAGCTGCGCAAAGTACAAATAACAAACCCTAGTTTCTGCATCCTGGAAGCACCCGTCCTGGGCCTTGTTGCACGAGTCCGGAACTGCCGGATCGGAATATTTCTCAGCGGTGACAGGCAATGATTCCTTGCGCTATGCGGTTGGTGAGCGATTTGGTTGTGGATTGATGCAATGGATATACCTTTGGTTTTGCATAGATAGTGCTGGTTGGCACGTTGTCTTTGTCATCCGATAGGAACTTCTTCTTCCTTTTGTGTTTCGGTTTTGAAGGCAGGGCAGACAACTTGGGTGCGTCGGCCAAAATGTGGTCATAGGTATCCCCGTCTTCAGCCTTTCTCTTCTTGCTGTTGCCGGGTTTCTTCTGTGTGGTGGCCACAAAAAGGTTGTATTTCATGGGAGCAGCAGGAGGTACTGAAAGGAGCGGAGAAATCTGCGGATCTCTGGGCGTTGAAGGCAGCGATATTAGCTTGGGTTGCGTGACCGATGTGAGAATCGGATCCGGATCAGTAAGGGATGCAGTTGGCGAGATAGCCAAGACTCTGGAGGGCAGCATCACGGTGTCGGTTGGTGACCGGTCAGCCGACGCAGCAGCCTGCAGAAGTTCGAAGTTGGAAGGAACCTCAATCGCAGCGGGAATGGGGTAGCCCACAGTCTTCTCGAATCGCAGGTGACTCTTGATCCTAGGGTCATTGTCCGCCACAGAGCTCCAGTCGGGGACGTGCTGAAAAGTACCACCCTTGGAGTACTGCCATATGATGGCAGTGCAGGAAAGTAGTTGTGGGGAAAATGAAGTTGCATCCCCTGCATGAGTTTTCAAGTCTTTTGCCTGGGGCGAAATGGGTAAGGTTGGACATAATTCAAAAATACAAGAGAAATAAAACTCACCATGCGCCTGGCGATGTCATCCAATAACCTCAAAGTCTCTGGATCGCCCTCCTTCAACTTCATGCAACACTTGATGAGTGGTTGCACGGCCGCCAGAGTGGCGTTTAGGGCATCGTTTGCTGCCTCGGAAGGTGTCATGGTTGAATATTAGGAAAGATGGTGCACCCACAAAGGTTGATATCACGTCAGTTGTAGGCACTGTGAAAGCTTGGAAATGTGGAGCGGGTGTAATATTATTGTGAGATAATGGAACTACTGCAACAATTGTCTTGTTCGATTGCCACAGGTCAGGTATCCACACCGGGAAAGGCCGAGCACCACCTGTGTCCGGACAATTACATGTGGATTGGACGGTCATCCAATCACTTGACTGTGGCAATCGAACAAGACAATTGTCGCAGTAGTTCCATTATCTCACAATAATATTACACCCGCTCCACATTTCCAAGCTTTTACAGTGCCCACAACTGACGTGATATCAACCTTTGTGGGTGCACCATCTTTCCTAATATTCAACCATGACACCTTCCGAGGCAGCAAACGATGCCCTAAACGCCACTCTGGCGGCCGTGCAACCACTCATCAAGTGTTGCATGAAGTTGAAGGAGGGCGATCCAGAGACTTTGAGGTTATTGGATGACATCGCCAGGCGCATGGTGAGTTTTATTTCTCTTGTATTTTTGAATTATGTCCAACCTTACCCATTTCGCCCCAGGCAAAAGACTTGAAAACTCATGCAGGGGATGCAACTTCATTTTCCCCGCAACTACTTTCCTGCACTGCCATCATATGGCAGTACTCCAAGGGTGGTACTTTTCAGCGCGTCCCCAACTGGAGCTCTGTTACTGACAATGACCCACAGATCAAGGATCATCCGCGATTCGAGAAGACCGTGGACTATCACCCACCCTCTGAGCTTGATGTTCCTTCAATTGCAACATCGAGCACAATTCCCACCACCATTCCCACAACAACTCCAGCTCTTATTGTCCTGCCATCCTGTGCGGACACGGATATGATTATCAAGCCGGCAGCAGAACTGAGACTATCTTCGCACTTACGAGCACATCAGAATCCATCCCGCATGGACCTGGATCTCATCGCCAAGCTGGTAGCGCAACCAAAACGATCTTCCCGCCCATGAGTGCTCAAGAACCTGCCCCCTCTCGGTCGTCCGGCACATCCACCCTTGAGATACCGCCACCTGTATGTGGCCAAAGCTGAGAGGGAACAGTGGAAGGCACTTTTCCTGGCCAGTGATAGCAAGAAGAGAATGGTGGGCGATGAAGATACAGATGGGGCCGTTGTGATTGAAGCCCCCAAGTTGCCTTCCTCGCCCCAAGAGCCTCTGAAAAAGAAGAGGAAGTTGATGTCAGATGCGTCAACCGGAATCATTGATGCGAAACTGAAGGTATGTCAGTTGATCTTGGTTGATGCAGCAAATGGCTTACCGCTCCAGGCATTACTGTCTGTTGCTCCTGACAAGGCTGTTCTGCCAGGCAATGACCAGGGTTTCCAGGATTCAGACATTCGGGTAAGTGATTCGCACTTATTCATAGCGCTGATGCTGACCCATTGTCAAGCCTGCAGAATGGGGCTCAGATGATTGTATCGCTACTCCGTTCCAGGTAAGTCGTTGTGTCTATCTGTACCAGGACAACCTAACAAATGTCCAGCATTCTGTTCGTTTCCATCCCCGGAAGTGCGACAAGTGCACAAAAATGGACATACCATGCGTTGTCCTTCCGGACAAAAAGTTCGGATGCACGCGACTTGCGTGTGCAAATTGCAACCTCATGAAGGTCACCTGTGCGATCGACGGTGTCGGCGTGAGGAAGAGAATGCAGGCAAAGGTGTCCGCAGGTTCCTCGAATTCTGCCGAACACTCTGGAACACGCATTTGGAAGTCCCATGTGATCTCTCCGGTTATACTTGACATCGCCAAAGGTGAGCTTTCCGTCCAAATGGAAGGATGTTAACCCATTGAAATGACTCTTAGAGGCGGAGCAACAACCTGGCCTGCCGGCTGATGTGCCGATCAAAACGCTTGTGATCGATACCACAAGCCAACGGCCCGAACGGGGTGATCAGTTTGCACCGACCAACCGCGCTGATCCCGAGCCAACTGCAAGAGACATCCTGCAGGGCATTCAGGACCTTGGCAGGAGATTTGATCTCCTGGCCACCAATGAGCAGCTGGACACCTTGGATGTAAGAGTTCGTTCAGTGGAGACTAACCTCCACCAGCGGTTGAAAGCACTGGAGCAATGCCTTAACGCCTCGGATGCCTGGTAGAGAGCAATGTCACCCTATCCAGTACATCTCGGATCGACTAGTTTCCGGGATTCTTTATATCATGATACCCTATATAATCTGTACTTTTAGCTACATCATTCCTTACTATGCTGTTCACGGTCCCCATCTCCTGTAGCTCGGTTCTGGGTTTATGTGATTTGTAGATATGAGCTGCATTGTTGTTTCATTCAATATCTTGTCTTCCCTAGTGAGGATATGCTTTACTTCATGATTACATGAAGCTGTGATATTCATGTGGTAGTGGCAATGAAAGTTTTGAGACTCCCGACTATGGCACAATGATCGCAGCCGATGATTTTCTGAGCATTATAACAATGTGCATCATCGTGGACGGTACACGTATGGTGCATCCCTCCGACATGTATATCAACGTCGGATCCGGATCAGCATTCGTATCAAACTTTGTCCCGTATTTCATTACTCGTTTCTGTTGCACCAGTTGCATCTGTAAAACTAGTCTCTGACTCAAAGTGCACTGAGTTGGCCAAAATTCCCTAGCCGAGCCCTTCCAAGATCCAACACTTGCACTGGGCTTATCCAGAAGCCCCTCTGAGATTATTTGCACATGTACTAGGCTGAAGAATATCCTGCTGGGCGCAACTGTTGGTCCTTCCGAAATCAGATGCCTATCATGGGCCAGACCAAATAACTAGCTGGCCCTTCGAGAATACAATGCAGTCCCATGCCGTATATTCAGCTTAGTCGGCCCTTCCGAGATCAAATGCATATTCTCTTGGGCCCATCCGTAGGCCCATCCAAGACTACCCGGCATATGTACTGGGCCAGATGGGACTATACGTTGCCCCTCTGGGCAGGATCATATGCATATCTGGTGGGCCGAAAAAACTTGCTGGGCCCATCCGTGACCCCTACCAAATCAGTACCACATCCATATACTAATGGCTCACCCATCACTACCGGGAATTCCTTCATGGTAGGCCCACTTGACTTGCCTGCATATTGGGGCCCACCTTGACTGGCCCGATCTGCGTGAATGTGCATGTGCTGGGCCAGTTCGGGCCTTCCAGATATTGGTGCACTGAGCCTAAACCTTACCAGCCAGACCGATCCGCATATTGAATGTGAGGACCAATTGGGCCCTTCCAGATGCTTGTGTACTGGGCCGATCCGCACCTGAATTTGTTATGTGCCGGGCCAGGTCTTGCATATTTGACCTATCCGCACACTGAATTGGTATCTACTGGGCCCAAAATAACCAGTTGGCCCATCCACTAACCCTTCCCAGTATTGTGATGGGCCCAGGAATAACTGGTCGGCTCACTTCCGATACTGTCAATAACCAGCTGGGCTCATCCGTAAGCTATTCCGATACGAGCTGAGCCCATTCACCAGCCATGCCTGATACTGTTATGGGCTCAAAATTTTCCTGTTGGCTCTTCCAACATCAAATTTCCTCAAGAATAAGTAGCTAGGCCCATCTGTACCCCCCTTCCGAGATATATAACTGGGCCCATGTACCTTGTGGCCCATTACAATTGTCCCATTCATCCTATGGCATCGACACTTGACCCACCCGCTAGCATGGGCGCTATTCCACACTGTGGGCCCATCCGTGCATAAGCACACATGGGCCCACATTGGATGGCCCGCCTAACTGGGTCGATTCTCAACCTTTGGCTGTCTGACTAAGTCGAAAATAAAGTTCTGAATTATGTGAAGGTGCTTACCGTGCACACCAATTTTGAGCAATGCAAGCAAGTAGACATTGTTTGGGGTAATTGGCGATGTATGGACCAAGGCCATACACGGCCCGTCGATAGTAACCATCAGCGCACTTGACAACCTCTGGTCTCTCCATTGCAGGACGAAAGGTCTCGAGGATGGCTTTCAACGATGTGTGAAAAATGTGTCGTTGGAAATCAGGAAATTCATCTGTCGTGTCATGATCACGCTCAGCTATCATAATTTATAAGTTTAGTAAGAAGTGTCTTGTACAGCCGAAATAAACATACTCTGTGGGATGCACAGAAAACCTACGAGGCTCACAGACTCCTTGTGAGCGCGACGGACATTGTTATGAAGGTTACCCATAGATATATAGAGTGGGTAGAAATCATTTTGGCCAGTTGCCACAGAGACCGTAGTTTTATCGCTACCGAGGATGATGGGAACAAGCATTGCACCATGACAGTCTGGATCTTTGGCCAGCGTGTTCTGTCAGATGGCCATGATCAGTACTACCGATAGACAACTATTCATGGACTCACAGATTGGCTCCAAGCCCAATTTTCAGTCATAAAGTCAGACCATACACGCTGACCTTGCTCTCCAAACACTTGTTGAGCCAAATAGTCAATGTTATCAGCGAACTCCAGGTTTGCAAGTTGATTTCTTACTAACTCGCGGGGGTCACGATACCACACCTTGTACTTGGTGTGCTTCCATGGGGTAACAGATGGACCAGGTGGCAAGTTCTCAGATGCAGCATGTCAGAGTATGAGAGATTGCCAAGGAACAGCACTTGAAGAGATGGCGTCAATGGTATGATGGACATGGCGGTCACTACTGAAAGGAGGACGGCCTTTGAACTCCTTGAAGGATCCTAAAACCTGCATGAGTTCATCAACTTGCTTCCCGGACATCTGATTCCACTGAAAAATAAAGTCCGTGAGCTCAAAGTGGCCACGCGATGTAAATGGCTCCCAGGTGTCATTGGTAGCCTGAGGATGATCTGGGACGGGAGGATGATCTCCATTCAAGAAGTTTCCCGCAGCATCACAAGGGGAACCATCGAGAATAGGGTGTGGGATATAGTAGGATCCCTTTAATGTATCATTGGGAGCATCCTGCCCAGTATCTGACCCACCATGAGTACTAGAGTGATCTTCTGCGAAAGCACACTGACGTGGACAAGCGGGTCATGGAGGCTGAATATGCACTGTGTTGCGGTGTTGTCGATATCCTGACATGGACTTGAACCCACGACGGCACTCTGCACCTGCCATGGGATCAGTACAGTAATACTTGCGAGGGCAAAATTCGGGTTCCGCCATATTCTGTAATACTCATTAGTACTTGCAGTAGAAGTGCAGCAAATTGATGGTTACACTATTTGCATGACAAACAAGGACCCTCAACAGACTTAAGTTAGCAGGAAAAACCCGATGTGTACAAAGTCTATTGCTAGGACTGGTATTCAACCGGGCACTGTCACTCTACACCGATAAAACTGAGTGATGGTCAAGACTTGCGAGTCAAACAAAGACAAGCGACCTGGTATACCAGACATCAGGGAATCGACCCGAAATTGATATGACCAGGTAGAGTTGACAGATGAACCCCATTATGTTATGTCTAGATTTAGAATTATACATTATTATCTTTGCACAACACATGTATGAAAAAATATATAACTATGCTAGGGACACATCATTTTGATATACATCTTGTAAGTATGCAGCATATGTATGAAAAATTATATAGCTATGCTAGGAGCATCTCATTGTGACATGCATCTTACAAGCATGCAACAAATATTTGAACTAATATATGACTATGCTAGGAAGATATCATTTTGACATGCATCTTGCAAGTATGTGACAAATATATGAAAAAATATATGTCTATGTCAGAGATATATCATTTTTGTATGCATTTTGTAAGTATGCAACATATGTATGAAAGAATACAAAGTTATGTGAGGGGTGTCTCATTTTGATATGTATCTTACAAGTCTGCAACAAATATTTGAAAGAGTATATTACTATGCTAGGGACATATCAGTTTGACATGCATCTTACAAACAGGTGACAAATACATGAAAGAATATATAGTTATACTAGGCATTGTGAAATCCACCCAAAATTGATATGACATTGGCAATCAAGACACATTATTACATGACATGTTGTAGCCTTACATATTATTATCATGGTGTCACAGATATGTGAAACAAGTGTGTATCTTAGAACGAGACAACACCGTGATAGTAACTGTGCCATCCATGCAGTATAACAGAGATACATAATTAGCATCAGGAAAACTACCGGTTGCTTTTTTGTACTTTATTTGTCACTTAATACACGAAAAGGGACGCATAAATAGATTGAAAGAAAAATGCAAGCCACTTAATTAAGCCCACTCATTGTCTGGATTTTCGCTTATTTCACACTTATTTCACTTAATTAAGCAGAAAAAGCGGCACAGGCATTTGATAGCAGGATACTAACAGGGATACATCTACATATTGTATTGAAGGACAGTGCGATTTCCAATATGGTGTCGACGCCATGTGCCAGTGCGCGCTCCACTTGAGCCCCTTTGAGGCTCCACTGTGACCGTCCTCATTCGAGTGCTCCTGCACTCGTTCAACGCCCATAGACCTCATCCATCATGTCTCTGACTTCAACAATGCTGTTGACTTCCTTTCAAATGGCTTAGTGCGAACTTGAAATGTGCGAGCATGAGTCTTTGACTCATCCATTAAATATGGTCGCACAAGCAGCTCAGAAGGGAGACTGCAATTTACAGTCCAGCTTGAGCGTGCTGGACTGAAAGAGAATGTGATGGTGAGGCAGGCAATGTCACTCTCCTGTGAGGAATCTAAACCTCGACAAATCTGTGATGAAGAGTGCTGATGCAGACAGGACTTTCCAGAGCGTGATATCACTGAGACTCTCAAAGTGCTGTTTGCAACAGAGAACAAATAGGAAAAGACAACGGAGAACGTAGTGTACAGGTCCATCTCTCACGATAGAAAATGTCCAAAGGTGAACGAACCACTTGTTATAATTCAAGGTGTGATTTTTATCAAGGCAAGCGAACCATGAAGATATGAAGGAAACAGTGAACTCGGTCCCCTTGACGTGGATACCCTATTGTAGACCACAACAAGCAAACAGTCAATTGTCTTATAATATCCAAAGTGCGAGACGTCAAAACGCATTGAACAAGCAGAAGCGATACAACCACCCTAACTAGAAAAGACTTCAACTATGATCACCCTGGTTCGCCACCATCACCACCTCCATAAGCACAATCTGCCACTCAACCGTGAGCATCGTCATCGCTGCCTGGTATAGAGCACTGTTTTGATTCTGGAATGCTATGAGAAAGGTCATTGTCAGTAGAGAACAGTATAAAACAGTAAGAACGAACGACGCACTCTGTAATGCTTCCTTGAAGGTGACATATGTGTTGATGTTGTCGAGTGGACTGAAAAACCCTAATTCTTCCTCGATCTCTGATTCTTCTGATATATCTGACTCGTCATCTCCTCCTGTTTCTGCTTTCTCAGATTTTTCTCTTAGGCAAGCACCCTATGATATTTGTGAGCAGTAGGTTGTAAATATGGAATTGTGGCAAACCTCTTTCGCTAGGATCTCGAGATATGCAGAATCTTCATCCCATACATCCTCTAAACACAGGTGTCAGGAGCCAGAACATGCAATAAGGCAATATACGCTTACCATCTTTGTCTCCCTCAAGATTGAGATATTTAGTTTCGTCCTCATCTTCATCATTGTCCCCTTTAACCAGCTGATCCTCCAACACCTTGCATTCTACAAAACCGCACCATCAGTCAGGTCATCAGTCATACTAACAATCTGCAACCCACTTGCAACAGCCTGAGGCAGCCCCTTGAAGATATTCAAAGCGCCGCCCACAATTCCAGGCCATCCATCTCTCAATCCCTCCGGAATCACGCCAGCCTCCATCTCCAACAACTTACACAGCGCCAAAATGCTCAGTTTCTTGTCGTGCACGCGTGGGAGCTTATTGTTGCTGTTGATTGCTGCGAACCAGCGCTCAAAAAATGTGCATGAGAATCCTGGCTTGTAGGCCTCCATGAAATGGAGCGTCGCAGAGGCATTGTAGAGGATGGTGTTGACCAGAATCTCGAGGTTGGCAAGGTGGAATGAGGCAGTCTCACCTTCATCGATGTGTTCTGCGGCGATGGTGATGATGTATTGAAGTTGCTGTAGAAGCAGGATAAGAAGATGTCTCAGGTGAGGATCACAAACACAAAGACTTACGTGGTCCACATGGCCATGCAAGTTAAGAAGCATTGACTCTGCCAGCTTGCATCCGTTAATCTTGTCATTATCACCCAGCTATGGGCTTGTCATAGCCGTGCGGTACATATCCAGCACTTTCGACCTGTAGTCAGGGTGTGCTTTCAGCACATCGGTACCATATGACATGAAGTTGTCCAGCGAGGGGAGCATTTCTGTAAATTGCCACCTCCATGAGTCACACAATCTAGAGAATACGCAGAAAGTAGTGGGCTGCACCATCAAGGAAATCAACAGCATCGCTCTTGAAGAGGTCATAAGTCAACTCGAACACCGGCCACATGTTTGGTGATATTGCATGAAGATGGAAGGTAAGGGCATCTACGAGGTCATACATATTATCAAACAGATCTATAAACACTATAATCAGTGATGCCCTTCATACAAAAATGATCAGACGCACCGATCAACTTATTCTCAAGGGTGAACCGGATGATGGGAATGATCACCTCCTGCACCTGCAACAGAATCTCTGGCAACAAGTCAATGCACGAAACCACCTACCCAGCTTTATCAGATGCATTGAACGAACATGATAGCGAGAGTACACGCACGGTCCCAATAGTTTTGGCGACCCCCATGGCGCCATATACTTTATCGTCATTGCCATCTGACACAAGTGATTCCACATTGATGCCGTCCGGGAGTGTTTCATTCTGCTGTGCCAGACCCTCTCTTGCAAGGCGTAAGTAAGACTCACACTACATACATGCCGTCAGCGTATTATAGTAGTGACTGGAGGACAAGGCGCTCGCCAGGCGTGCCATGAGCTGTGAAGCCACAGGCATAAGCTCATTTTGGAACCAGTCCACCATAGCTTCCATGCTGTGATTCAGGATATCGAGGTCCGTCTCATCGGAGAGCTTGAGAAGATCTGCAACAGCCACCATCGAGATAAATGAGTGCATCAGTGGGTTAGACACAAGACGTACCTTGCACGACCTTGCCTACTTGCGGAGAGATGGCATCCCTGACTAAAGAATTCAAGTTAGCTTGGACACAGCATAAGAGCAATAAATGATTTCCAATGCACCAGAATCATAGATGACAACCAGCTCAGTGATGGCCAACGCAGCTTGCACGCGTACCGGGAGTTCCTGATCATCCAGGGCCAATGCCACAGCACAGGAGTGGTTGTTCAAGTTCTATGCAGGATTGATGTTAGCACAAAAACAACACTTATAGTAGATATGTCTACCTCTTCGGTAGCCCATGTGATACCGGCCTTGGTCACTACACCAAGCACCTCACATGCCTGAACCGCATCAGCACAAGAAAGTTGACGGAGATAAATAGACATATGACACTCCGCAAGTATGGCTCCTGCAATGTGAACTTGGGCAGGACATACTGTACCATGAACTGCTCGATGCTTCCCTTGACATTGGGATGGCGGACAATAAAGGGGCCAAGGACTGACATCATTCAAGTCAGGGCGCCGAAGTGCTGAGCTGGTGTGGGATTGCTATATCGTATTCTTGTGAGTTAATGGATGTATTAGATGTAACAGGGATGCACGAGGGCAATACCGTGTTAATGAACTGGAGCATCGGGAGGAAGGACATTTTTGTGTGGTTGCTTGTGAGGGAGAGAAGGAACAAGGTGGCGCCACTTATGGGGGATGAGAAGTTCTTGTACTTGTCTTTGGCATGTGAGACACTGACACGGATAACAGGAGAGATCATGTAAACTCACCGACACTAGCATGGACATATTCTATGGGATCTGCCTCCCACATGGCTTGTTTGGACACATTGAAAGTGAGCTGGGGGAATGCAAAGTTAGCCACGAGGTTGTCGACATGGGGCTTCAGGAATATCCACGTCAACTTCAGCTTGATACTATGGATAAACACATCAGCATAATCTGAGGGATCGAAGGTCAATGTAATCCATTCTGTGAAAAACTGGAAGATTTGGTATTGGCATTTCTTGCCCAACCACGCCTGTCCTGAAACGTATAGCTCGACTTGGTGGAGGTACACCTTGAAGATTTTGGGAGCAAAGGCAGTCGCGAAGTTCTGTGCAAATACACCATACTCCTTCTGCATTGGTGACGGGAGCTGAGAGGGATTGCCGAAACTACGATGCTCTTAGAGACGCATAGAACATTCAAAGAAAATACACACCGATGGAAATACTATAGTGTAAATCTAAGACACATTGTATACCAATCAGTAGTTACTACTCAATGAGAATTCGATAAAAAAACTCACTGGGAATGGTAAGGACAAACTGAGAGTGGGACATGGCTGTGGTACCATTAGCGTCGCCCTAAGAAGCTTGAAAGACGATAACATACACATCCTAAGAATGGAACATGGCCGTGGCACCATCAGCGTTGCCTAAGAAGCTCCAAAGACAAGATACGCACTGACCGAGAGTGGTACATGGTAGCAGAACATGGCTGTGGCACCATCAGCGTTCCCTAAGGGCCTCAAAAGACAAGATGATCATGCACTGACGGAGAGTTGGACATAGCCATGGCACCATCGGCGTCATCTAAGGACCTCAAAAGACGAGATCACGCGCCGACTGAGAGTGGAACATGGCCATGGTACATCAGCATCACCCAAGGAATTTGAAAAGACAAGATCACACACTGACTTAGAACAGAACATGGCCATGGCACCATCCGAGTCAGCGATTCAGCATCGCCTAAGAGAAATGTGGCACAGAGAAACACTTTGCAACTTTTCAAATTAAAAGTCACATGATAGTAGTACAAACAAACACGCACACAAAAGCAACCAGTGATTTATCTGACGACTACTAATCTACCATCTTTCACACTGATCGTTGTTCTATCATAAGGACATACAATGAGTAGCTAAATGCCAGACCTACATGGACATATGAACTTGACTCAAAATTTGTTGAGAGAAATTGTAAGGTGCATGAACCAAGCAAAGTAAAGGTAACAGCAAAAAAGACAAAAAATCACTTGGCATCTACTACAGGAGTCACATCCTTCGTTCCCGGCCAGCAACCTTGTTTCTACTCCCCTTTCTGGTTGTTTTTTGTGGATGTGCTGCAGCACCAGCTTTCCCCTTCTTTCCTTTGGCTGGTGGCGTGACACAAGTTAAAGGAGTGATACGCACGTCGATGGTGCCCTTCATGACCAGGCAATAGACAGTCACTTGGTGATGAGACTTTCCTCGAATCTTGTCTGGCCATTCCTTCCACTCTGACATGGAAGGCCTTGCCTTTTGCTTGTTCGACTCTCAATCCTTATCTCTCAGTCATGCCCACCTTCTCAACACTCTTATTCGTGCTCCGCAATCCAACATGCAAGGCCTCACATTTTGCTCGTTCAACTCTCAATCCTTATCTCTCAGTCATGCTCACCTTCTCATTTGTTCTCTGCAATCCGACATGGAAGGCCTCACCTTTTGCTCATTCAACTCTCAATCCTTATCTCTCAGTCATGCTCACCTTCTTGGCCACCGTCACAAAACATACTGAGGGCTATCCTATTCTTGTACTGGATACTGAAGAGCTGAACTAGAGGCCCACGAAACATAAGAGACCAGCCTGCGATATTACACTGATTACTCGTGCTGATTTCATATTATGTTGTAAGGTCAGGCTATGCCTTTATTACATGGCCAGAACATAAGCACATTTCAAGGTGCATCACGGTATTTTTCTTCTTGGTGCTGGCACATCACTGCAGCCTGAGGCATGATGAGAATTGGTGTACGTATAATTATTGCCAAGACTCGGACATCTTCGGCTGTGGCATCCACGAGGTATGCAAAACATTTTACCTTATATACTGGGGTGTTGCGCTGACCGCTTTCTTGTCTCCCTTCCCTCCAGTTCATTTTGCATCATGTCACATCTGTCTGGGAACACATTTGATGATGAATCGGATGAAGAACCTTTCATCGAATCAGTTGCAATTCCAGGGCCAAACACATCAAAGGGAGACCTCGTAGAGGTATGCTCTAAATGCTCGACTACGATAATACCCATCTAACGAATCCTCTCTTGTGCTAGGCACTTAAGGCGCTGCAGGTTCAGGTTCAGAAGCTTGTCGAGGACAATCATACTCTTTGTGAGGAGAACAAAGTTCTGATCACTGAGAAGCCCAAACGAAAACGTCGTGCGGAAGCACCTGATGAACTTTTGGCCCATGAGCAAACAATAACGCTTTATGCTCGTAAATACGGCCTGACTGTTGAAATGTTCCCTAATCCCGACCTTCTCAGCAAGCCACGTCCTGAGAACCCAACTCCATTCAACAGCCAAGACCGGTACCTGACAGGAATGACACAAGAATCAGCGTTCTTGGACGAACTATTTCATCACTTCCCCGATCGCATACACAGCGCCATGGAAAGTTTGTATTTCAGTGATCTCGTAAGTATTCTATGTTTTGATATTACTAAATGTAACTGACAATTCATCTGAAGGTAATGAAATCCATTTCTGAGGCTCGCTCGTCAGAGATCAATAAGCTGTGTAGTGTCGCTGGTGATATATTTGGCCTTCCAGGGATGTACTTCGCCAATACCAACTACCGCAGAGCTGATGTCATGGAAATATGGGACATGCTTGGAGTGTCAGCGACGAATCCAAAGTACAAGACTTTTCCACTGGTATTGTTTCTTGGAATGCAGGAAGACTCGTCCTTGAAGACTGTGTTCGGAAACTGGGAGCTTTTGGCTAAGGTAGGCTTTTTGGCTGTGTATTTTTGCAGACTACGTGACGATGCACCTCTAAATAGGATCTGAAGGCTGCACTACGTGGTGTCACTTCACTTCATCAAGAGACAAGCGGCAGACCAAAGACAAATGCACGCAAATGGAACTTCGAGCAGGTCACACCAGGGTCCATTGCATGGGCCGCCATTATTGTGAGTCATCCACCCTACATCGAGTGACGGTATTGCTAAGCTAATATCGCAGGCAATCTTTCTGCTGTCGCCTGACACAGAATTTCAGAAGTCTGGCTTAGGAAAGTCATCCGGTATCAACTACAAAGATCTATTCGACCACTATAAGAAGCTCTTGCTCACAAAGTGGGATAGCCATCACATCCAGACTATCGTTCAAAACATCAACCGCGAAGTTTTCGGCTCTGCAAAGTCTTCTGCCTCTGGCCCGGCTGGTCAGGAAGGTCACTCCAGCAAAATCATTCGCGCCATGAATGCGCTGGACATGGATAGTGATAGTGAATCAGATGTACCTACGCCATCTTCTACAGCACAAGCCACCACTGCCTCTCGGTCTGATGTTATCGAGGTGGCACAGCCTCCAGAACATTTTGTCACCCCACCTCTCAGTGCTGCTTCTACTCTCAGTACTGCTTCCACCCTCAGCACCGCTTCCAGAAAGCACACCAAAGTACCTGTAACGATGGGCCTAGAAGCCACTAATGCTGTAGTCATGGTGCAGGATTCAGATGTGGGACCTGGTCCAGAACAACCAACTCGGGGTAGAGGAAAGACGAGGGCAAAGAAGCTTGCAGCTCCAGGTGTTCGTTGTGGTACTCGCGCTCGCTATGGATAGATATATTAATGGTCACACTTCATGTTGTACTGCCTGCTGTTGCTTTTAAATTTGATTTCATTGTAGTTTGCACTTGTGCGCTCAATTAAATTGGACGTGAAAATGATAAAATATTAAGCAAGCAGCATTCTAATAAATTTCCCACATTTCATTATTAATCATATCTGCTATTAGAAAATTTGTTCTAAGTCTCTTCGTTTCATTCTCTCTTCACTCTGCCATTATGTCATTTAATATCGCCACTCTTTCAATCTCAGAATCTGTCTTTTTTGAACTCATAGTATATTATGTGCTTGGAATCATTCTGGTGAGTCTGATTCAATCTGGTGTCATCATTGTGTTTCATTGACAGGCAAGACCAGACATTTGTCGGTTCTCTACCGACAATTTTCTGTTCGCGCTTTGCGACACCTTTGGCATGGGCTTCCAAAGTGGGTTGTTCATTGGTAGGTCGTCAACAGATATTAGTCCACGAGTCGTGTGCTAAAAAATTGACCAGGGCAACATCCTCATTGATATTCTCAACATTCATGGTGTTCTGGCCGATGCTCGTCGTATTAGTCTAAGTGCAATGGTGAGCGTGTTGACATGGCACTGCCAAGGTTCTGATGGTTCTAACTTTTTTCAGCATGACTTCAGTCCAAAGGTGCATTTAAAATGACCTATTCATCAATGCAATACAGCCAGACAAAGCTTCGTGACGCACGATAGCAACAACTGGCGAATGGACACCACTCTCATTGCTTACCTCCAATCTCACTCTGCCTGCATCACCGGGTTGGCTGTATCTCCAGATCGTGCGTTCTTTGTTTCATGTTCAGATGACATGTCTGTTAAAGTACGGGATACAGCACGGCTGGAACGCAGTGCGACAATTCAGAGTAAACCTCATAGCCAGCATCATGTGCCTGTCAAGAGCGTATGCATTGTTTTGCTAGTGCAGCGGAAGACTTGTGAGTGGCTTGTTGACCTTGCATCCTCTCGCATTGATGTCTTTTTCATGATTCTGGTATACAGGAGACGCATATGAGTGACTACGGTAAAAAAGATAATAAGATGACTAATATTATAAAATACAAATACAAAAAAAAATGATTGAACAACATTGTAAGGGGGACTATTTTTATTACAATTGTTGGTGGCATCATTGGAACCGGTTGCAATGCTCACTGCGGCTGAGTGGTGCAAACAGTCCATTATGATGACTAAGATTGATTGCAATGGGTTGCAATGACCATTACAAGACACCCTCTATTATTAGAAGCCATTTCAAGCGGAGGTTTGTATTTGAACATTTCAATGCTTTGTAATCCATTGAAAGCTGAATTAGGAAGTTCCGACACTGGAAGTCCTTTGGAGGACAGGACATCCAAAGGTCTGAAAGTTAGGATGTCTGAAGGTCTGGAGATCTGAAGGCCAGGATATCTGTCATATCCCGCATTCTGGACCCGGACCTATCACATACATCATTTCCGGACTTCCGGATCCGGCCAACTTCTATCTATCGTCCGGATTCGACCCACGTCTATCTTCTGTGCCTTATCCCTTTGTATGTTCCTTCTCCAGTTAGACTATACTCATTTTCCATACCTTGTTTCATTTCCGCCTTTATTTTCCTATGTTCTCATCTCCGTCTTCATTTACTATTTTCCGATAGACTAGTGTTTGAATTTTCTATACACTCCGTCCACAGCCTCACATAGCTTCGGACTGCGCAGACTGATTCTCTGTTAAGTCCTCAGTAGTATATAAACCCTGTAGAATCTTTGTACTTCCTCAGTTTGAATATTATCTTAGACTCTGCTCATTCCCTTCTCCGTCGGACTTGAGTTTCTCCTCTTGTCGTCCTCCGCTAGTCTGAGGATTGACTCCTATAGACTTCTCACTTCCGCCTCTACCTCTGGTAGTCCTCCACTGTTTCCTTTCTAGTTCAGACATTATCCAGATTAGTCTTATACCTCGTTCCCGAACGTCCGCTGGAATTCCCACGCATCGGACATCGGACTCTGGACTCGTCTGACAACCTTCAGACATTGTCCAACAGCCCTCAGAAGTTAGGGGCACGTACTTGGGTAAGGGGCGCAGCGCACGAGCTGAAGCCAAGCCCTTCGGATCCGACCCTTGAGCATGTTCTTAACAATATCCAGAGAACTGAAAAAGCAGACAGGAGAAGAAGAGCTACTACAGACAAGGTCCAGAGTAGAAACAGAGAGAGATAGAGTACACTGAAGTGCCTAAGCATGGACAGAGATGGATGGGAGGAATCCAGAGGATCAGAAATCTGGCCTAGGAGTTCAACCCCTAGGCCTAGTAAAAGGCAAGACTGAGGTGGACCAAAGTCCAAGACACAGGAGAGAGCAAGTCTAAGATAATATTTGAAGTGAGGAAACTCTACAGGATTTGTATTTATATATTGAAGGGAATCTGAGAGGATCAGTAAGCTGAAGACTAATGCTATGTACAAGCATGTGGAACATTAATAAGTATGAATGGTTCATAAGTAAATGAAACTCAGAGATGAACAGAGTAAAAGGATCAATAAGCAAGGTGTAAATAGAGATAACCAAAGTCCAGAGTTAAGGAGATTACCATCAGGGGATAGACACTGAATTAAGGTTTGAGGTGATGGCAAGCAATAGAAAGTTGATAGCAGGTGATAGCAGGTGATAGCAGGTGATAGCAGATGATAGAAAATAATAGAAATTTGATAGTAAGTTGATAGCAGGTGATAGCAAGTGATAGTAAGTTGGTGACAAGTGATAGCAGGTGATAGCAAGTTGGTGCCAAGTGATAGCAAGCAAGTTGGTGACCTCAGATAGCAATATTGGATTTGTGTACTCAAGCAAGAACAGGCCGGGAAAGATTAGGTCACAAATTCATGAGATCTCAACAGATTACAAAGATTGGACCAGTAGCAGAATCAGAATGATGGAGAACACAAGTTTTATTAAGACCATTAAGCATGAGGAGCACCTTTGTATATTCACCAGAAGCAAGTCATAGTATATAATAGCAAGTTAGTGATAAGTGACAGCAGGTGATAGCAGGTTGGTGACAGGTGATAGCAAGTTGGTGACAGATGATAGCAGGTGTCATATCCCGTATTCCGGACCTACATCCAACAATGGACCCCCTGTCCATGTTCTTTATCTGTCCAGATCTCTGTACCTTTGCATATCTACACATCCGGATCTGAAATCTGAACACCCAATCTAATATCTAGTTATCAGGATCTCCGGATCTGACTTTGCTTTATATCTGAAGCCAAACCTTAAATCAGTGCCCATCCCCTTATGGTAATCACCTGTCTCCGGTCTTTGGTTATCTCTGTGTCCATTTTGCTTATTGATCCTTGTATGAGTTTCATCTCCGAGTTCATTTCCCTATGATTCATTTCTCTTACTAATACATTTCGACATGCTTGTACAATAGCCTTACCCCTCTGCTTACTGATCTGCACAGACTTGTCTCTATATAAACTCCTGTAGATACTCCTGTATTTCCTCAGTCTGAATATCATATTAGTCCTCGCACTAGATCTCACTCTAAGTCCTCATACTAGTTCTTTCCTTCTAAATATCCACCTGAGGGAGCTCCACTCATCTGATCCTCTGATCCTCTATTCCTCTGAGTTTCCAGAAGTTTCTCCGGATCTTTCCTGTGGTCCTCCAGACCTATTCTGCTTCAGACTTTGTCCTTGGCAGCCTTTCCTCTGTTTGCTTCTACTCAGGATGTGTCCTGAGAGTAGCCATTATACATATCCATATCAGGACAAAACCTCCATTGTAATTTCCGGAAGTTCCTCCAGAACTTTCCCACACTCCTCCAGAAGTTACTTACACTCATCCAAAAAGTATTTCCAAATTTTCCCGCGCTCCTTCGGAACCCACACTCCTCCAGAAGTTACTTACACTCATCTGGAAAGTATTTCCAAAGTTTCTCGCGGACTTCCTTAGACTTTCTCTGGACATCATTCTGAAATTAAGGGCACAGTGCACAAGCTGAAGCTGTTACGCACTCAAATAGATCTGTTATACGGAGCCCTAAGAGGGGCGTTGTCCGCTAATGTTCGTGACGTAACCGGTATGGCAAGTGAGACTGGCGACGACAAGTTGGCAGTGATCACAGTATGCGCGTGTCACGTGACTTCTAAGATGGATGTCTTTGAAGTCGCTCAAAGTAAGGACAGTCTTGTCCAAACGATGAGGTCGATTGAGGTAGACTTAGTCATGATGAGCAACTAAGAAAAGATACTAGAGACTGAAGCTTTTAGGAGGCTTCAGAGGGAAGTATGTTCCAGGGAAGATTGAGTAGATTCAAGTTAGAGAATCTAGTACAAGGTGACCGACTACTTATACTAAGTGGAGAGGGTTAAGGGCAAGGCTACCGCGCAGTAGGTAAGGGTAAAGGGGAAACGAGAATGGTATAGGTGCGTTGGCAACAGAGCCGGGTGAGTGGTGGATGGTCGAATGCAGAATGAGACTGAGAAACGTTGGAACGGACCAACGGTAAGAATACAACGTGCGGGAATCCGCAGTCAGAAGGGAACAGAAAGGGAAAGCCACATTGGTGGCATGAGTCGGACCGAGTCATAGGTGCGGGACCACATTGGTGGTCGAATCAAGGGAGGAACGTGCATGCATGTGCATAGAGGCGGGCGATGCGAGGGACGGGAATGGTCCCAAGGATCCGGTCAATGGAAAGTCGGTAAAGGAGGGCGAGCCAGTAGATGGTGAGGGCGAGGATGAAGGGAAAATGATAGGGGGGCCACGTGACCGATGTTACTTGTAACAGAAGCCAAGCCCCTCGGAATCAGTCCTACCTTTGTGTACGGTCTTAACAGCAGGTAGTGCTGCCGTGGTCCGGTTCGGTCCGGTTCAGAGGGTCCTGGACGAGAACCGAGAACCGGACCACAGAGAACAGTTCTCTGTGGTCCGGTTCAGTTTTTTTCTGGTCCGAACTCGAACCGAACCTGAAAATTTTCAGTGGCGAGCATGAAAAAAAAAACATTGAAATACTAGTTTACACATTGAGTAGCTACTCCAATGACATGGCTACATACCCCTCTCTGCCTCTGTAGCCGCTGATCCAAGAGCTAACTGATTTGATCTATACAAATGGTGAGAATGAAATAAAACACAATAACAACCAATGCTTACCGTGGGGAATGTGAACCTGCGGCGTCTGATCCAGACAAGCAATTTGAAGTAAGCTGCCGGTTAACCGCCATTAGGATGTGATTTCACTGGCGGAAAAAGGTGGTAAAATGTTAGTTTCCCTGCTGTGTGAATGACACGACTTTTACTCGAGCATATTAGCGAAAGCTCATTCAAGTCCCAATGTACGACCTCGGCTTTGTATGCGGTGTGCTTGCGGTCGGATCCTAGATGGTATTTTAGTATACGCCTTTGCGGGTTAGTACGGCTGCGGCTCCTACCCCTCCACTGTGACTTGAGCAATCCGTAGACTATTGGTTGCTTTTTGACCAAGTTTTGCAGCGGATCTATCGTTTCGACATCGTCGGGGTATATTTGGAAGGTTGTCAAGTGATAAATGGTGCCAGGATATGTTTTGGTGCTTGATGACGTGTTTGAGATGTGGGTGGAGAGGGTGGCGTTGGGGTAGAGTGGCGAGGCGTATCACAGCTCGATGGCATGTCTTCTGGAGGAGAAGGGGGGTGGGCAGTAGATTAGCGTGCGTGTCTTTGCCGTTCCTAGGGATCCCCTCTGTTCTCTTGTCGAGTTGTCGCAGAATATTGGTTTGAAAGCGGGGTGAGAGACAGCGGGCAAGAGACAGAGGGTGAGAGACAGTGGGCGAGAGCAGCCAGCGGGCATGTGAGAC